AAACAGTTCGTGGGAGAAACAACAATGAGAGGAAATTCAGTGTGAATATTCAACAAAATATCCATAGTTTAGGCTAGTGATCAACAGAAGACTCAACTGATTTCGTTAACAATATTGATCATTAAAAGGAGAAAAGTAAGCTCAAACTCATTTACAAAAATCACATAGAAAGCATCAACTTAGGTACCTGACAAGAGAGATGTTCTTCAAATGCCCAAACCTGACCTAGGGTATTTTAAACATCCAAATCTATAATCTGATCTTAAATACCCAAATCAAACCGAAATTGAAGTGATATGAAAGCTAAAACAACATCGTTTAATGGATATAGAGTAAATTTGTTTTTGAACCTACACATTCACACTGTTTTAAATATATGCAAATTTGATAGGGGCATTATTGTTACATAAAGATGGTACTTTTTTATTTTTCATAAAAAAATGACATCACGAACAGCTAATTTTCAACAGATTTATTTAATACGGGGCAATTTGCTCAAAAGATATATAATACAATAGGTTATATGCACTTTTTTTTTCTTTTAATAATGGTGTTTTTTGCACATTTTTTATAAAGCGAGTGATTTTTTGCACCTAACCTTGTTAAGAATTTTAAAAGTTGGATAATAAGATTTTTTTTCTTCTTCATATAATTGGGAATGGTAACAGTACGTTAGAAAATCATCCATACCAACTTCACACCTATTTAAATTCGTATGCCATCTCCACATCCACAGGCAGCCGAAGTACTGAAGTAAATGGAGGTGAGTGGCTTATTAATAAAATCATGAGTGAAATTTGCAATAGAAAAATCAAAATCAAGATCTCATTAAGAGATGCAAAAATATAAAACAATTAACAAATAAACACCTCTAATGTGACAATGGAAAATAAAAAAAAACACTAAATCCACTCCTGCCTCAAACGCAGGATGAGTTTTATTTTTATTATCGTATATGTCCCTATTCCATTTAGGGGCCTATCAAATTCATCCCATTAAGGGCGGGGAAATTGCCACAACTACTTATAATGACAATCAATAAATCAAGTTGAGCTTACTTCATGTTCGCTTATTTATTAAATGAACGGAGTTCAAATTAAAGCATTGAACTCGATTATTAAAAAGCCAAACTCAAATATCCATCTGTTTAGTTTGTTAGTTCAAAATCATGCTTGTGAATAAGCTTGACTCAAGAGACAAGACTTGTTTTTAGCTCATACATTACCCCCCCGCGTGCGCGCGCACGTATATACAATTATATATTCTTATGCTAGTTAAAGACACGTGCATGTGGTGACATTAATTTTTAATATTTAACTTTTATTCATATTTTTAAAAATAAATTACAAAACAATAAAAAATAAAATATTTTTTTGAGTTTACGCATGTGATAAGGGACTTTGACCAAGGGAACGAGCTCATAACAATCATGAAAAATTATAAAGAAATTTACATGAATAAATTATTTTATTATTTTCTCTATAAATGATTTGAAACACATTAACCCTCATATAATTATTTTATTTATAAATGATTTAAAACACCTTGATCCCATTATACTTTTAATAACATATATAGTATGGATATAGATTATTTTATTTTATTTATTAATGATATGAAACAAGTTAACCCCTTGTACTTTTAATAATATAAGTATAGAAATGGATAGATATAGATATAGATTATTTAGTAAATATTTTATTTATAAATGATTTTAAATACCTTGGCTGCCTTGTACTTTTAATAATATTGTAAATATAAATAAATAATTTGAAACATCTTGATTCCCTTATAATTTTAATAATAGTATAGATATATATTTAAATTTGTACTTTTAATAATAGTATAAATATGTATAGATAGATATAAATAATATTCCGTAGTAGATATTTATTGTTATCAACTTATCATTTGAAATTATTTTAAACTCAAGCCCAACAATCCAAACCAAGCAATCCCATTTGTTATATTATTTTCTATTTAAATAGCAAAACTTGCCCAAAGATCCAGCCCAACCCAGTTTGATATACTCCTACTGTCTCAAATTTAGTGCCGTCTTTGTTAATCGTGTGAGTCATGGTTATCAAAGGCAATAGGCTATGTTTGATACGGTGGCAAAAAAAAAAAAAAAAAAAAGATAAAATTAGTTACTAGAGAAGAAAAATGAATGAATAATTTTAATCCCTGTTGCGTTTAATTGATTATTAAAGAAAAAGAAAAGAAAGAATAATAATTAAAAAAAAAAATATTTTAGTAAATTTGCTATTATACTTTTTTATATCTTAAAAGATAATTTTATAAGCCTCAAAATTTATAGGCAAGGTCATCAGATAAAAAAAATAAAAATAAAAATAAAAAATAAAAAATAAAAAAATAAAAATTAAAATTTAGGCCAAATAATTTCAGCCTCCCCAATCGCCTCCATCTCTCTATTCTCATGCCCCCCCCTCTCTCTATCTGCAACTGCAAACTACAAAATCTACAAGAATCAGAAGTTCAAAACCCATATATTTTAGTTTATCTATATGTTCGCATGAATCAAAAGTTTAAAACCTATTACCTATATCAAAAACCAAATCGGCATATCATTTCAGATTGTTCAAAAAGTCAAAACCCATATCTTTCAGTGTCCATCGCCCGCTGTTCCAGTTCGGGTTCGCCGTTCGCAAGCTTCAGCCGCTGTCTCTCAACTCTCAAGCTTGCCCCCCTCTCTCTCTCTCTCTGCAACTGCTAACTTGTATGTATGGGTTTTGTTTTAAATTTTTTTCTAAATCAACTAATCAAGCTCTGTAAGAAGTATTTTTCAGCAAATAAAAAACCCAGTTTGGAATTTGCAGGCAAAGAAGTGTATCTAATAGTTGCAGCAATCTTCTCCACTCGTTTTGCAAGCAGGAAGCAAGTAAGAATCAGAAGTGTATCTAATTGATGCAGCTAATTTTCCCACTGTTGTTACAGGGATGAAGTATTTAAACAATTGAAAAACCAAACCTGGAAATTAGATATTCAAGGTAGAGTGTGAGGCCTTACTAAAGGGGTAAATTTGGTATTACAATAGTCTCTCCTGATCGCTCCAACGGGAGGATTACAAAAGTTACTTTTTATATTTATTTCTATCCCTCTAAAATTTTTCATTTATTTATTTTTTAAGTTAATTACATTCACACCTTATAAGAGATAAAAATTAATCCATTTTTAAACAATTATATTCCATCTGAAGCACTCTAACATATAATAAAATGACTAAAATGTCCTTTGACTTGTTAACTGACCCATTAAATATTAAAATTACCAATTTAACCACATAACTAATTTTAATTAACCAAACTAACCTTTAATTACTACACCATAATACATATATACAATATATATCATATTACACATACAGAGAGGAGGATTCGAAGAAGAAGAGGGTGGTGCCACCTCCACTGGCAGCAAACCACCACAGCCAAGGGTAAACTTCAATTTTTATTTTATTTAAAGTTTTAAGCAACTGTGTATAGATGTGTCAAATGTGCATGTGCATATCTCGGTCAACTCTTCCCCTTTCTCTTTTCCTTTTTTAATTTTTTCCTTCCAAAACGTTCAAATTTATTTCTTTTTCCTTTCATTCTAATTCGTTAAATCAAATCTCTCTAATTCAAGGGTTTCTAGGTTTCCAACATATGCACTTCCAAGCTTAATTCGTAATTGATGATTCACTTCTCAGTAATTTCAGAGCTTTTTTTTTGTTGAATTTTCTGATAGTGGTCACATTTATAAGCTTTTTGAGTTAATCTGGGTTTAGATGCTCTGAGTTCGAGTACGAATGAAGCAGCGTGATTGCAATGTTTTCTTCATCAGAAGATTATCTTTTACTTTATTTTATGTAATTTAATTGGATGAGAGATTGAGGGGGAAAATTAATTGGATGAGAGATTGAATTTCGGGTTGCTATTGGTATGGATGAGAGATTCAAGTATTTTGTTCCTTGGAAAGTGGAGATTTCATGGATTCTTGCATCATTTATGTTCTCTCTCTACCTTCTCAGTGTTCTCACCTTCATGAAAAACCCACCATTACCATCGCAACCTCCACCATCACCACCATTGGCACCCATTCTGAAGTGATGGTGGTGTTGTTGGGGGTAATTCAATCATTTACTTATATTTTAGATTAAGAATTAATACTTTACTGAAAGATAATATCGTCTTTTCTCAATTTTTTATGACTTGTTTGGATCAAATTTTTGACAAGGGGTCTCACTGTTCAAAAAGAAGTCAACTTTTTATCTTGCTATCAATAAGGCAAATCTCATAGAGTGTGAGCGTAAGTAACCCTTTTTTTTATTTCCTTCCAACTTCCGATACTTAACACGTTTTTTTGTCACCTTCTTTAACCCTTCTTTTCTTTTCCTTTCCGTTTTCACTCTACCAAACTGGGCCTAAATTTGAGATGGAGGAAGTAATTTTTTCTTTTTAAAATAAAACTAACCCAAACCATTTGTTCCCAGGCCCATTCTTCTGCCGCAAACCAAATCCCAACCCCTCAAGCGACTGATTCGTGTCGATTTAGTGGATTCTAGGTCATGTCCACCATTACCATCGCAACCTCCACCATCACCACCATTGGCACCCATTCTGAAGTGATGGTGGTGTTGTTGGGGGTAATTCAATCATTTATTTATATTTTAGATTAAGAATTAATACTTTACTGAAAGATAATATCGTCTTTTCTCAATTTTTAAGGACTTGTTTGGATCAAATTTTTGAGAAGGGGTCTCACTGTTCAAAAAGAAGTCAACTTTTTATCTTGCTATCAATAAGGCAAATCTCATAGAGTGTGAGCGTAAGTAATCCCTTTTTTTATTTCCTTCCAACTTCCGATACCAAACACGTTTTTTTGTCACCTTCTTTAACTCTTTTTTTCTTTTCCTTTCATTTTCACTGTACCAAACTGGGCCTAAATTTGAGATGAAGGAAGTAATTTTTTCTTTTTAAAATAAAACTAACCCAAACCATTTGTTCCCGGGCCCATTATTCTGCCGCAAACCAAATCCCAACCCCTCAAGCGACTGATTCGTGTCGATTTGGTGGATTCTAGGTCATGTCCAATCGGGTCCTATTGCCTGAAGTCCGATTTCCTTTCCGTTCCTTTTCTTTCTATTGTTTCAAACTGGGTATTATTACTACCGAAAAAGTAGACGTATTACTGTATCAGTCTGCTTATTGACTGCTCAACTCTCACCACCGCCAACATCCGCCGTTACTTCGAAAATCCGCTCCCCATTTGTCCACTCTCTCTCCATATTAGTCCTATTGTGTGTCAGTTTCAATCAGCAATCACTGAACTTCAACCTTTTGTTGTCGTGGGATTACATTGATTAGCTGTTCCACAAGGTAATAACTTCTAATTTTATTATACTTATATCTTCACAAATTGAAGGAATTTTTAGGGTTTTGTGTGTATGAATTTCTCTCAGTTTGAATAGTTAGTTGTTAATGTCTGCTATATCGTAGTCTGTTAACTTCACTACCAATTCGAGCGAATTAAACTGAATTATATATATATATATTATTTGTTGATATTGTAGAAACATATACATACATGAGAGAACGCATTGTTGTTGTGATCTCCCATATAACTTTAGAGTTTACCTTGAGCTATGTCTGGGAGCACGGAATCAATCGTCAAATGCAACATTAGGGTAATGATAGCACGTTTCAAATATTTTTTGCTTTTGAAAATACAGATGCAACAGAAACACCTCCGTGATGAACATGAAACTGAATAATTTGTCTGTAACCAAGTAGCTCATGGGCTTGGAGTTCTTACTAAGAATGTAATTAACTTACAAAAATTAACCATGGAGATGTTGTGTAAAGCATTGATTGAAATAATTGATAATGCTTTTTTTTTTATTTTTTTTTTATTTTTTTATTACTTGAGCAATTTGATCATTGGTAGATTCCTTTATTACTCTTTGATTTATTTAGAGGTTTTGGATTGTCTTTCAAATCCAAAAATAACTTGCCTTTCTTGGCTAGAGCAATCCAATAATTGGAAGATTCTTTAGCTTCTTTTAGATGATTTTTAGAGTCCTTTAGAGTTTTTTGAAATCAAAGAATTGCACTTTCTTATATTTTTAGAAAAATAATTACGCTTTAGTACATGCAGGTAGTGTATAATTTTTTCTGATTTACACATAAAGCACTTTTTAACATCAAATGTCTAATAGGATTGATGTTTAAGATACTTTTATTTAGGTAAATGGTCTAAAGGTAGTATTGTTCCTAAGCGGAGGTTTCCAACAAAAAACTTCTCTTTCAACCTCCTAAATTAACATTCTCCCCCCAAAACTGACTCTACTCAGGGAAAGCCTCTTAAAACCTGTCCGAAGTGTATAGGGACAGGCATTTACCTGAGAAATTATGTTGATTTGCCATCCTAAATTTAACTCTACTCCTTATTTGTTAAATCATTTTTCCAGGCTCAGTGAGCTCTATAGCCCAAGCAGTGTGCGTGTTTGGAACTCTTAAACGGAGTCACTGCTAGGATTTACGGAAATGAATGACCCTGATGCAGAAGGCAGATCATGCAGTCACAAATTGGTGCCATGGATAAGTTGGGACGAATGGAAATTTGTCATGGAGTCTCTCTTCTCCTCTTCTCCAGACTCCAGAACCTCGGCTTTTCACAGAGTAAGCAAGAAAATGTAAAATCCATTTTTCTTGAGAAAGAATCAGGAAATTTTCTGGTTGGAATTTAAGTATTAAAATCACTGGAATAATAGTGTGGTTTTTAGATATCAGCATGGCGAAGCAGAGGATGTCTTCCAGCTGTGATCGAAGTCACTGCTTCAATTATTGAAATTCAGCTAAAAGATCCTTTCTTTAGGTAAACCTCAGTTGGTATAATTTTCTTTATTCAATTAATAATTGGGCCTGTATATTTGTTTTATTTTGTGTATCATTTTATTTTAGGTTGATGTTCTTTTTTAACTCTAGCTGCATATATGTTCTATTCATGCGCATGTTTTATATAATGTAGAGTTGATTCAAGCGACAATGCTTCGGACTCAGAGGAGGTGTTGACCATGCTTTATTGCATGGCAATCATGAGGTAACAACAGTTTTTTAATGTATTAATCTCAAGGATTTTTCTGCTAATGCATAAAATTATATGCTGTAAAGTACATGTTAACAAAATTGGCCTTTAGGGTACATTTAAAATGATACTTCTATGGCCATTAGATTAAACTTTAATATGGAGCAGCCATTGCGAAAATTGTATTGATATAAGGTAGTCTATCAATGAAGAACCTTATTATCACCACACTTATCTCCTAACATAGGTGAAAGAAACTGCGGGAAATTAGGACACACGAATTCCCCAGGTAAAGCAAGAAGCAAGAAACTTGACTTTGAGAAAGAAGGCCATATATTTATTTCATAATCCTAGTGAATGCAAAGAGAAATGGATTGAGCCGCGTGGGTTAGATTATGATTTAGCCTTGACTTTGACTTTTTCTGAAGTTGAAACTGTTGTTTGATGGACAGAGCCTGTGCTGTGCTTTCACTTTGTCTATTCCATATGGTGAAGTTGTGGTTTCACTGTCTATTTGGAAAATTCCCTATTCTGTTTCTCTCTCTCTCTCTCTCTCAATGACATTTGTATTAACAGGCTCTTATCTTCATACATCAGCATCGATCTTTACATAATGCTTAACTTTTATGGCACGCAAAAAATTGTGTCACAATTCCCTATTGCAAGCTGGCGGTTCTTTTCCCCTTCTTAAAAAATTCTTTCTTGGGGGTAGGGTGTTTAGGCGTTATGACTTTTGGTAGCCATTCAAACTTGTATTAGCTTCATATGAAAAAATTGGAATTGATTACAGTGGTGTTTGCATATGTGCTCTATTGGAGTTTGTGCCTTAAGAAATTAGGTTACACACTTGAATATTTTCTTTGAAGGTTGGTGAATGGCACTGTTGAGACGATACGTAAGAAGAGCATGAAGAGAGGGAAGAGAAATATTTCAATTGCCGAGGCAGCTGCTACAATTAACATTCCACGTATGCTGGTTGACATTCGTCACGGTGAGGAACGCTGGCTATCTATTTGGTACAAAGCCAAAATCTGTTCGTTTTTCTTTTTTATAAATAGTCATGTGTTATTTCTGGTAATCTACCACCTCTATGTATGCAATATGTACTGTCCAGCACACCTCCCTCTTCACCCTTTTAAGCTGCATATGAGAGTCTGAAGGCATTCTCTCTCTGTTTCTTTACTGGAAGGCAGTTAGATACCCCATGCCAGTGTTTTTTCATTGATTTGTGGTGCAAAATTTTGGTTCTACTTTTTCCTTTTGTGATTAATTTTTCGTCTGATATTTCTTTATTTTTAGAGGGTTCTCATCGAGATCTCCCTTCACTTCGGCTGGTTCGTCTTGCCTCAATTAAGGTATACTTGTTTTCCTAACTGATTCTATTGGATTTGAGTAGTTCTTATTTGGTAACCTAATGTTATCTAGGCATTGTAAGCATATGCATATCCTAGTACATATTGTGCTGATTAGCTTTGGTTTGTTTGTGGGAGAGAAAAACCTGGTACCTAGTACATGCTTTGCTGATTAGCCTTTGTTTGTTTGCTGGGGGAGAACCTACTGGTTTCCGTTAGTTTCAAATTGGCTGAGGTGGCATATTCTCTTCCCAGAACTTGTTCTGGTTGCACGTCAGCTTCTCTTTAATTTGTGCTTGCTTGTTTAATAAAAAAGATGTCATATTTTATAATTGATGCAAAATTATGTGTGAAGTTAGAACAGCCATAGAAGAGGAACTATTTGATCAATTTCCTGTTTTTAGTTCTGAATGAATTCTGCAAGCCATATAGAAGAGCCACAGATGTTCTCTTGGACCATTTGTTTATTCATTGATATCTCTGGAGGCCTTTCACCTTTTGTGAAGGATAAATATGACCACAAAAAGTTCATGTCCTTGAATTCTAGGTTTTATTTTTATTTTTTAAATGAAGTAGAGCTTAGAGTATTGGCTACTTTTACCCGACTAAACTCGAGTTTCATTGCATCAGTTGAAAATCATATTTTGTTTAAACTTAGATATTATAAATAACTCGTGTACATCAATGTGGAAAAAGAGATCATGTTCTATGCGTGGGATCACATGTTATCATGCTTGATATTCAATAGGATCACATATTGGTGTGTCGATGGTGTTTGACACACACAACTTCCTTATTTCTATTTTTTCCTCCTTGATTTTCTTTTTCAAAAAGGAAATAGCATGGGTGGCATGGTTGGCAGACCCAATGAGTTTGTTATAATCTTAAAATAAAAAAAAAAAAGACAAGACAACCAGGAGCTTAACCCAGCTTGAGCCAGAACGATTTTTATAAAACTCTATTGTTCATCAACATCCAAAAAGACAGGCTCATAGGTCAGTGATTCAATTGGCCAGGAAAGCGGACCAGAACTGTGACATCCTGCTGACATTGAAATTTCAATAGATGATTATAGAAATTTCTGATCGTAATATTTTGATGTTTTATACAAATCCTCACACATAAAAAAATTGTAATTGAGAAGTGGCGGATAAGATTTGTTGATTAAATCTACTGGATGTTTGTAGACCAAATTCGAAGTTTTAGATTGGAGTCCGTTAGCCCCAGACAAAAACTAACAGAGAGATATAGAATACAATTTTAATAAGAGAGGTGATGATGATGATTTGTGGAGGAGTTAAAAGGTAATGTTTTAGGCATTCGAAAGAACGACATTCAGATTTATCCGCCACATTGTGAAGGTTTGAGGGGTTGGAGACTCTCTTAGAAAATGTGCAACACTTCCTAAGAGCCTACCCTCAGATTTAGAGGAAAAATAGTTCATTGAAATAAAAACACTTAAAAGAATGATATTTGGCATCAAGAAAACTAGATTGATGCGCCATTTAAAATTTATTTTGAGGTTTAATGGTTTCTCTTAGTTGAGGAGAAAAAGCTCAGGAACCCTAACAGTTGAGGTGTTCTGGGTAAGGAAAGGCCATTGGATTTGTTTATATAGTACTGTCCAAACCTTCACATTTCAGTTACCCATCAGTTTATTTATTTATTATTATTATTTTTATAGGATAATGTCTAAATTGGACAATATGCATAAGAGAAGGTTTTTTTTTTCTCACTCTCTTTTAGGTCTTTGGTGTCTTTCCAAACCGTCGAAAGATCCGGTTTCCTATCCAGAGGGTTCAACCTCTCCGTGCTATCTGGTTTCCAAAATATTGACCCAAAATGGCTCAAAGCAAATTTACGATAAATCCAAATCTTTCCAACCTAACAATGTCTCCAAGGAGATGGTCTTCAACACCAAGAGATATGCAAGACATATCTGCATACTAAGTTTCTAAACAGCTCAGCTGCTTGATTAACTTGTGCACCATTTTCCTTTCCAATTTGTTTGATTCGTACAAGTATATGGATAAAGAAGATCAATGGATACTTAGGGATGAATTTTAATGGGTTGGTTTACACAGTGAAACAAGTAGTAAACAACTAGCGGACATGCTTCTTTTTTTCTGTTGACAGCAATAAAATCATTTTAGTGTTCTTTGTTCATTATTTGCTGCTTGCCAAAAGTTTAAAAAAAGAAGAAGAAATTTTTGGCCATTTTATGGCAAACAACAAATTGAACTCTTAGCAAGCCCAAGGTCTGGGTTTGAGTCCCGCTGGGGTGTTCTTTGTGGCTAGCCTCAGCTGCCCCTGCAGTGGCTTACCCGGCCCGGGAGGGGAGGCACTCTTCCGGGTTCTCGGGGATTAGTCGGGTTGTTAAGGGGCCCTAAGGGTTCGTGCTATCCCGGACACCCCGGGTTAATTAAAAAATATATATATATATATTGAACTCTTTGAAACTTAATGTTCCTCTGCGGTTATGATTATACTGGTTATTTACTGACAGCAAATGGAGCCTCTATGATGCTTCTCTTTGAATATGTTAATAGTGCACCTTTCTTGATCTTTACAGTGCATCAGATTGGGGTTGGTTTAGTACAAAATGTGTTCCACGTAGCAGTACTCATGCTATGAAATACTGGGGGAGAAAAGGATAAGAACAAAAAGAATGAACTATTCGTATAACATGTAGAACTTGAAAAAGTGTAAACACCACAATCAAGTACAAGCTAAATTGACTTATCAAAAAAAGAAGTACAAGCTAAATTGCAATTATATTAATTGCCACTGAAATTCAGATATTACATTTCTTACAAGACATGAGGCTAATATAGTGTTGCATTCGAAAATTGCAATAAATGAAACATTGAAACCTAGATTTTTGGATCGTATCCCGTGGCTTCGAAAAATTTCATCATCTGAACTATACAAGCACTTGTGCGAAAATTTTGAGCTTGTAATTATCTGCTTTTTAGTTTCTTGTAACCATGCCATGCAATTGAAGGAGGCCAACAATGGCATTAATTAGTAAAAGCCTTTTCTTGCTTGATGCTCTTGATTCATGAGCTTTACAAGCCGGAGAGTCAGAGACCCAGACCTCCCTCCTCTTTTCTACCTTCCCAAAGGAAATGTATCTTTATCTTTTCAATCCTCATTCCCGGATGCGCCTGAAACAACCGTAACCCATGATACAATCCTTATCCCTTGGGCCTAGTTTGGTTGGAAAGAAATGAAAGGAAAGGTAAGGGAGGGATATGATATTTTGTGTTTGGTATAAAATTTTGGAAGGAAAAGAAAGGGAATGGAAGGATTTGGAGGGATACATTAAAGCTTGATGAGTTGATTTTATTATCCTTCTAAAAATGGTAGGAAAGGGAAGGAAAGGCTAGCATTTTTAATGAAACTTTGTTTATACCAAATTTGTCCTCATTTTTATAAAAGACAAAATCTATGGAAAAGGGTATGATGATGAATTCATTAAAATAGTTTCCTTTCCTTTCTTTTCGCATCCTTTCCTTTATTAGTCAACCAAACACGATAAGTGGTTCACACTGTACTCTCCTTTCCTTTTCTTTTATTTTCCGCTGTACCAAACGTAGCATTGGTCTTGTCTTACCCAAAAACTGCTTGTTGTCCATGTCAACACTGTTATGAGACAATAAACAAGAAGATAGGTGCCCATCCAATGCTCCGGCCTGTCTCATAGTGAGATACGAATCACATACCTTTCTGACAAACCAGATTCATTAGGAAGGGCTATATCAACATCTCAGCCATGACTTCTCTTCCATTTTGAAACCTTCCAACACGTGCTACTGCCACAGCACCCCTAGGTGAAGTATCCGTGCTTCCTAGCCCACTCTTCTTGCTGCAATCATTTCTTTGGAAGCTTATTGGACGTGGCATTTGGTAGTATGCTAAATGTATCCTGCTAAGAGCCACATGTACCACTGTGTAAACCATATGACCTAGGAAAGATGCACCGTTTTCTGTTTATGAAGTTTAGGTTCCCCCTCCCCTGCATTTCTCTAGAAAATTTACTTATGTAAGTTCAGTGTTGTTAAAGGTGTGCCTAGGTGCACGCCTAGGCTCCAAGCTCATGCAGGCGTGCAACACTTGCACCTATTGTGTGCCCAGGTGCGCCTTTGACCTCTAGCTCCTTGGGCCTTTGATAACATTGTGTACATTACATGTGATTGAGAATGACTCACTGGTTATTACGGGCTATAAATTCATTTGCTTGTATCAGGAACACTCCCCCTTACCTCAACCTCTCAACAGGGAATCTTTATGCAGACCTCTTGTTTTGTTCTTCTACCTAAATTAGTCTATTGGAAAAACTAACTGGAAAACAGTATAGGAATATTAGTGGTTACTTAAATAGGTAAATGTAATCAAATGAAAGAATGGTCTCATCACTTCATGTATTAGGGCTGTCTGGTTATGAAAATTTTGTTCTCTGCTGCTAACAGCTAAAAGTGCTTACTGGAACCAATGTTAGGAGAAGTATGGGAGTAAGCTTTTACATAAATCTAAATTCCTGTCTATTGCTGGTCACAATTTCAAAATTTTTAATTCAATTTGTAAAGATTATGACTTAAAGTTTCTTATTCAAAATTCAAGTTCCGGCTAAATTCATTTTCTCTTCCAGGTTCAAAATTTAAATATCTGCAAAATTTCACTTTGGTTATAGCTCTAGACATCTTATAATGACAATTTCAGGCACTTGATTGGTTGAAATCTTATTACTGGGAGCCTCAAAAGAATGCAATCTCATTTCAAAATGATGTAACTGCTAGTGTCAGAAAAGAAATCAAGTCTAGACTGCGTGAATTGGCTTTCCGTTTGAAAACCAAGCAGGCAACCCGGTCAAGTTCTATCCTAGTCAAGAGAAAACGTGAGTATGAATCTTTTACTTGTATTTATTTGGTCAACTTCTGATCTTATGCAATAAACTTATTTATTCTTTTTATATATATTTTCTCATGGAACATGTATAAGCATATTAAGTTGCCTTCTTTCTGTAATGCATGTGATTATAACTAGCTTGTGTAGTCTTAGAATCGTTATTACATATGAGCAGTGCATGAACTAGAGCTATTTCCTAGTACAGTGTATAAAAACTGAGCTACCAAGCATGAAAATGCGTGTTCGAGGTTGAAAGTAGTTTGTTAGACTGTGACAGAATGCTAATGGTTGTGTCTGTAACTGGTACACCCTCCCATTAATGAGAAACACACTGGGAAAGCAACTAGCTTTATTGTTTAATCTTCTTATAAAAGTACTGACTACTCTAAGAGGATCCGTGTCCTTGCCCTCTTAGATGTGTGTTGGACACCAACAGTTTTTGAACACTTTTGGACACGTGTCCAACACATTCTGGACGTGTCTTTGATTTGAAAATTAATTTTGAAGTCATGGCCGACACTTCTCAAACACTCGCTGAAATGTGATTACTGAATCTTTTTTTTTTTTTTTTTGGTGGTATCATCAAGAAAGAAAATATGAAAAAAAATCAATTTAAAGGTTTTACAATCAGAAAAGTTTTAAGCATACTAAAAAATAAAAGATGTAGAAAGGTTTTGTTAGAGGAGTTGGTAAACAGAGGAGTCAGCAAGTTATGTATACATATACATACAAACACAAATGCACATACTGGTCATGTCTCTGTTATATTTCTTTCTATACTACAATGGTGGTTAATGTTATATAATTTGTGTTATATATATATACGATCTTGTTTGGCTTTTGCTCTCTTGTTCTTGTTTCTGTGTATTAGGGAAACATTCCCCTTTTGAACGTTTTTCTAATATATCTTTACTTATCAAAATATATATATATATATATATACGATCTTGTCATGCAATATTAGATTTAGCTGTATATAAAGTAATAAAACATATTATTGATCTATATATATATATATGTATTATTGCCACATCCAATTTAGGGACCACCTTGCATCCAATAATTTCATGTTAAAGCACAACCTAGGATATTTGATAAGTTAGGGGAAGACTTCTTCCTATCCTCTGGGTACTTTTAAGTTTGCAACTCTCACTTGGTATTAGAGTCTTAATGAACCTTTATTTTTCCCTTCACTTGGTATTAGAGTGATATATCCGAAATAGTAAGTGAGATCCTTTTTCAAAAAGTTCTATTAATTTTTTATTTTTTAAATCTGTTTTTAAAAACTTCTTTTTTTATTTTTTAAATCTGTTTTTAAAAACTTCTTTTTGGAAAAAAACATTAATTTGCCAATGAGAGAAGGTGAATCTAACACACTTTGTTTGATATAAATCTAGGATGAAAGCTTTTCCTAAATCACTTGATGAAATAGTTTGGTCTTTTCGAATTATATGTCTTGGTCTTTCAGAGTATGTTGTAATTTGGGGTAATATAGGCATTTCAAGGTGTTCTTGGTCTGATGGCTGCATCAATCTCTCCTGGTTATCAAGAACTCATACTAACTTTTTATCTTTGCTGCTTAAGTTATTGTTTTTTTATTACTTATCAAAAAAAAAAAAAGTTATTGTTTATTTATTGGGCACATGCATTCTTATTAAAGGCGCGAAGTGCCTAAGGTGCAAAGGTATCCTAGTGCTTAAGCACAACGTATAATGTAAGAAACGGGTTTGGGCAAAGTAAGGCACGTGTAGAAATGTATATTATATTTACAATTGAAATACTTCAAAATATACAACATAAACTAGTCAAAAATCTAAAATGAGTAACTTTTTGGCATATCAATTAAGAGGGTTAGCTAAACCAATGTGCATGTACCCTTACAATTGACATACATATTCAATTAATGGATATTTTTATTGTATTTTTTATTTGAAAATTAATGAATATTTTTGCCGATGCTATTCTACAAAACCATAAACCTTTTTATTCATAACCTATGTTTTCAAGTGTATAGATTAATTGAGAACAGAATTAGTGGATATTTTCATCATTTATACTTTCGAAATATACCCCCCCCCCCCCCCCCTCTCTCTCTCCGTCTTCTTTTTTGGCTAAAAATGTACCTACAAAATTGGATCAACATAATTTACACAAACTTCGGTTAATGCTCTTCAAATTGCCCGTAGTTGTAACTTTAACAGTCTGAATTTTTATGTAATTATTTGCATTTTAAATCATGGGATCCATTGTGAGGTATTATTTCAAGCATGTCTCCTCACATTAATGGAAAATATGGTAGATCTTCATTTTTACTGACAATTGAAAACCTATATTGCGTATACTCATTGTAGATTGGTGGCGCTTCCTGAGTTACTTGTGAGTTAAGAGAAGATGCTAAGTCTAAGAATATTTATCCTTGAATATCTTCATTTCTGGGAGAATTGTGACTCCAATGACTTGTTTCCGGCTTTGCTCTATCCTTGGTTTTCTATTCACCGGCAGTATCATATCTTCTAGTGCCCACAGAATGGGGAATATATATATATACAGAACTCCCAGAAACATAAAATTCCTAGACTGCTCTCAAAATTCAACCAAAATATCCCATTCCAACCATATGTTATCACAGATTCACAGTCTCTCCAAAAATAATGAAAAACGTCAAGTTATCATATATTCACATCATTATCTCTCCAAAAGTAATAATAGAACTCATATGTTAGTGTGCACACACACACAGACAAACACACACACACACATGTTTAGAGTAATCTCAAGACTCACATGTCTGCTAAGCTATTGCTAGACAGTCTAGACTAGTCATGGTCTGCCATGTAGATACATTATAAGTCCACTTTATAGGATGATGTCTTATTGAGGCTATATACCATGTTATGAATTGAATTTGGTGATGTTCAACCGCGTCTCAGCATATCTGTCAAAAAAAAGGAAATTTGCACATTAGAATAAACAGATAGTAACTCTTGGTTACTGATTTTAAGTTGTTTGTGGTTGTGTGCAGTCTATCACTCGATTCACTCCCTAAGAGACAAGCCAGACACTTAACATGACATTTCTTTTTCCTTCTTTTTTTCTTTTATTCCCCCTCCAAGAATAGTTAGTATGGCTTTACAGTGCATACTTTGAAAATGGATTCATGTGGCCAAAACCCAACTAGTTGGGTTATATCCTTTTTCTGAGTTGAGTCAAGGAAGATAAGTTAAATTGATTAAATTATTTTGCTTAAAATAAATGATACATTAACTAATACTTTATGATCTTTGCTTTCATTGAACTTCTTCCTCCTCTTGTAGTTGTTAAGCACGGCGAACGGTATAGTGGGTGCACTAAGTTTCTCTTTCACAAGGCTGGCAAGCTCCAATCATCCAAAATTGCAGGTGAGACCATTTAGTCTTATTTTTTATTGGTCCTTCAGACACAAAAGGTGGTGATATTTTTCAGCTTTTTTTTGTCTGCCACGAATACTGTCAGGGTACAGAATTTGGGTCATTCAATTATCCATAATGATATTAATGAGGAAACAGATTTGGAAGACTATTTTGCAATATTTTTGGAAACTCGGAGATACACTTTGTAGCTTAAACTCTAACTCATGGATATAAATAAAAGCTCAACTAATACTTCAATTGCATCTCACCCCAGTACACTGCCACCCAGGAATACGATTTTTTTTTTGATAGGTAAAAAATAATAATGTCAGAACGAATGGGTAACTTGGAAAAACATTCATTGAACCTGGTTTCAAGTATTAGTCTAATTTTGTTTATGTGTGTATGTGTGAGTTTTGCCTTTCTTCAGCGGCTTCAGTGATATGATTTACACCTCCTAAGAGAAAGGGTGTGAATTTCCAATGATAAGAATAGAATGATACATCATAAAATATAAGCTGCAAGGCATGTTATGAATTACAAGTTTAGACCACATCATCAAAGTCAGAACTTACAAGAATTATGATACAACTATCATCTGAATCCTACATGACAGGATTGTTTAAAGATTGCTACTACGTAAAATTATGTTAAATATTTGTGTGCGGTTAATATGTCAGCCATTAGATTTATAATATTCAATTAGAGCAAGCATGTAATATCATAATAAGAGATTAAATAGGCATTATCAGTGTTACCAACTCCAAACCAACTCAATTACCTCCATGTAATAGGAAATTTAATGTGTCTATATGCATAGCAGGTCTACCTGATAATATATATAATTTAAATATGAATTTAAAATTTTCTTTATTTCAAAACTTGCAGGTATTGAAGTCACTTCTTTTTGAATTAGATTACTTGATTGGAGTGATAATCAAACTTCCTTTTGAATTAGATTCCTTGAATGGAGTATTACTGATTATCTATCCATCACCATGGACTCTTTTTACACACCTGACACCACCGTAAAGAGGCGCATATTATATATTTCAATAGATGTTTGAGGCTTATACCTCCAGTATGGTTTCTTCCTTCATGTTGGTTTGCTTTCACTTCTTCTTCTTCTTCAATACGTATATATATATGTATGGATATATATTGTTGTTGTAGGTTGATTTCAGGAATTCCAATAGAGGAATATTTGTTTGTGTATGCTTCAGCTGGATAATTTGAGAATGGTCTATGTTTTGTAATTTTGGACAAGACGATGTATTTTGTTTAACGCGTGTATATGTGTGTGTATAATATATATTAAATTTCCGTACTTCATCTATGAAAAGAAGAAATATGCTTTACCACTTATTTTTGGTCCTACTTTGTATTGATGCTTTTTGAGAAATGCTAATACTGTGTATTGTCCCAATATTTGTGTGTTTGCTAATGGTCATGTGTTTCAGGCTCTAGGAAAAAGATAACGAAGCCGTTGAATGCTCTTGTTCGGTTTTATTCTACCTACCCTTCAGAAGTGATATCTGTGTTATCAGAGTTTTTGCTGAAGGCATCAGATTTCTCATATTTGGTGGAGCTCCCAGAAAATCAAGTCAGTAATGGTGCAGAGCATTTGCATTGTGTATTTGATGATTGGAAGTCTCTCATTACAAAATTGTCAAATAAGGAACCAGAATTACTTCTGACCCTTCTCAAGGCAGTTCTTGAAATGATTGAGACTCGGGAAGCCATAAAATATGAAAGTGGTAATTATCAGTCCTTTCTTCTAACAACCTATTTCTAGATCTGCAGTTTTTGAAATGATTGAGATTCAGGAAGCCATAAAATATAACATTGGTAATTATCAATCCTTTCCTTTAACAACATTCTTTTTCCAAAAAATTTGACTTCAGCTCTTATTAGATTTTATGTTAATGGTTGTCATTACACTTCCTGAATATCACGTCACATTGCTATATTGTTTGTTTGATCACACATTATCATAATTGAGATGACACTATTATTGCAATTCTTATAAGATTGTTAAATTGGTGTAATGTTTCTTGAGTTTCTATGATTTTATCAATCACTTTGGCAGACGCTAGTTGTTCCTTGCACCACTCTTAGGCTGTGTTTGGTTGCTATTCCACTTGTCACTTGCTACTTTTGAGATCTCTTTTGGTGACACAAAGCCTTCATGCATAAACAACAACCAAATGCAGATGGATTCTTTTTATTTTTTTTTGACCAATTTCATTGCCGCAATATAGTAATATTTGGAATCTAAGAAGCAGTAGGACTACAACAGAAAAAATGTTTCCATTTTAACTATTGAGCGCATATTGGACACACATACTTTTCAGACAATCAAGACAACGTGTTTGTATACTATTATTGTGTTAATGATATGAAAAATAAAAAATAAAAAATTATGTTCCTAGTTTTGGATACTAGGCGCAGCTTCTCCAGCACACTCAGACACTTCCATGATAATAATGATAAATGTATCTGTTTTTGTGTCCATGCAACATAGCTTGAAAGTTTATGTTAATTTTGAATATATATTCGTTATCACCACCTATTGTAACAATTATAAGAGAGAGATGTGAATGCCTGTTTTTTTTTGCTTCTATGTTTGCGTGTAATAATGTCTTGGGTCTCTAAATTTCAATGATGTTAACTTATTATAGTTGCTACTGCTCTTCAATAAACATTTTGTTGATATGCATCAGGAGGAACACATCTCAAACCGGACTACAGGGCTGAAATTCGGGCCATTGAGAAACTTTCTAATCTGTTTGAGTGGCTCGTTGGAAATCTCAAGGGACTAAAGCCTATTCTCAGCAAAGAACCTGCTGCATCTGAACCCGAAAGTTCTCCAGCGGCATTATATCTGCCAAAGGCAGCTTTAGTTGAACTCCTACGTAAATGTCTTCTGGTCTCATCTCCTGGCAACAGGCAACTCATGGCATCGGCCCAAGTTCTTGCACACATGACCAGAAATGGCTCTCTGGTTCAGAAACTCAACAAACTCTCCTTGCTTGGTGGATCAAATCTGGACTTCCCCGAAGAAAACACTTCTCTTGTTAGTTCTGAAGACTTTCTTACCCTTCAAATGGATTCTATCAGTCAAGCAGCTAGAAAGCTAGATTTTGTTAAACGTCACCGAGTGCAGGGAAATGTTCTGAAGACTCCTACACAAGTTGATGCAGGAAATAAGAAAAGATGGGCTGTGGCAAAGTCGTGGAACCCATGTCCGATTGGCATGTTGTCTCGTGATCTGAGTTCTTCTGGCCGTCTTCCTGTTCTCCACTGTGACGACGACGACGACGATGAAGAAGAAGAAGTTCTAAAATCATCAGATGATAAAGTTGTTCTAAAGTCATCAGAAGGCAAGAGGCGTTGGGAATTAAACCAGTGTAATCGCAAGAGGGAAGCTGATTGTGCCGTTGAACTTTTAGATTACTCGAGCCTTAAAAAGATGAGGGGGACTGAAGAAGGTGGTGGTTTAGATGGTGAAGATGAGATATCGTCAGGAGGTGTCAAAGGCAAGTTGATGATTGGTGGGGTTTGGAAGAAAATTGGGGAGGAAGAACTGCTTGCCATTGCATCAGCTATAAGGATTTTGGTTTAATTCACTTGGATTCTTTACTGGGTTCTATTTATTCTTATGGTGGTCATCACTAACGAATATCAGCGTTTCTGGTGAGGTAATTGATAAGTGGCTGTACCAACAATTTTGAATCATGATTTTTAGATTTTAGATTCCTATAGTTATAATCTCTCCCCTCTCAACCACCGAGCGATTTTAGCCCAGCTGGTATAACTACTCCCTCAAAGGAGAGATGGGGGTTTGAGCCCCATAGTTGGCATTTGTGTGTGTGTGTGAGTATTTAATTGACAATATATATATTCTTATAACAACTGTTCCTAGCCGTGCTTCTCAGGAAATTTGAAATTATTACATGATCCCAGACATGGTTTTGGACCAATCATTATACGGCACGGAAGCGAATGTGTCAACTTTGTGTGCTGGCTATTGATTGGTAATAATTTTTGGCTATTGATTGGTAATAATTTTCCAAGAAGCAAGGCTAGGGACAGTTGTTGAAAGGATCTATATATATGTATACATATTACATGATTCTAGGACCAATCACTGTTGACTCACAAGCAACTTGCGTATTGAACAGTGATTGGCTTGGACCGTATAATAATTTCTCCTTGTTTCTCTGTGCTCTCAATAAATGTTCTTAGCTTGCATTTCAGTTTCAAGCTTCCTGACCACAGCATGATAGATTTGGTCCATAGAAGTGATCATGCCTAGATCTGAATACTTGAGATAGTGTGTGTGTGTGTGTGAGAGAGAGAGAGAGAGTCCCACCAAATACAGAAAAAAATGAACAATGTAAACCTTAGATTGATTGTAGAAGTGGGCCAATGGGCTTTCTGGTTTCATTGATCCTTCTCCCAGCCACAGCAATAATGCCACCAGACAAGTTTGGCCCGATGTCTATCTTCATCATTGACATCACAAAATGAATCAACGACTCTGATTTCATCTGATCAGGCGGTGGAGGCAAGTCCTGCAGGGGCGACCTGAGAACACATCAAGCACACAATAACGCCAAATGTATGGCAAATTTGGTGTCTCACTGTGTGTTTTTCATGTGATCTCAAGTCACTCCTGTTGGACCTCTCCACCAATTTGGCTATTCCCATAACTTTTGGTAACACTCATGGATGGTTCAATGTTATATACAATAGTTTAATTTGGTACTTAGCTTAGATATATGTACTACACAATGGTACTTTGTAATAGATGTACAATTGGTTTGTGCTAAGAGTACAACTTCGTATTGTACCACATGATTAAACTCCAAGAAGTACAAAGTGTACAAGGACCTCTGTGCACCATACACATGTTCAAAAGTCTTTTGAGAATGTTCAATACATCGAACCTAATCACATGTTATACGTGTAGCCGGCCCCCATTCACTTTATTGATCTTTTAAAAACTTTATTTAATTTAATTTTTATTTAATTTTTTATTTTTGTGTAAGACTTTTTGTTGATATTTGTTGCACATGGACAGTCTATTATCAAATAAAAAATTAAAAAAATCTAGAAAAGAAACTCATCGTACCAAATAAGCACTATACTTCAAGAATTAAACAACATGAAAACTCTTTGGAAATGTGGATATAAAAAGTTTAACAACAAAATGAAGTTCAAATTTCGTGTGTTTGAGGAATAACAATGATCGAAAAGACGGGTGCCTTAACGGACAAATAGAGAGTTAAAAATAAAATTCACTAGCCAGCTATCTCAGCTCCGCTCGAGAATGAGTAATGATTTAGAAACCGAATTCTTTAATTACCGAATTCAATTTATGTGTAAGGGGTGGTGGATCCCATCACATAACGTCATGATGATATCATCATGACACTCACATAAATTGAATTAAATAATTATCGAGTTCGATTCTTAAATCATTATTCTTCAAGAATTACAGGTTAGGTTATCTGAGCTCTTTATATTCATCTATCCAACCCTCTGAATAAATTAAATACGCGTATTAAGATTAGAAGGCTTCTTATTTCACAATAACAAAAGCACTTTTTCACTCTTTGTACACTAGGGGATTTCACCTAGAAAATAAAATATTTCATGCTAATGGATTCGAGTCCATAACCATGCGTAATCTTGTAGCACTTACCATTGAAGCGCTTCCACGGAATTCACTTTGAATTTACTAAATGCATTACTTGTGAAGTATGTGTTAGCGTATGTCTTATAGATTTACCTGTTGTTGATTGAAAACTGATATAGTATTCGAAAGAAACGATTGCTTAACTACAATGTTGATTTTGGAATTTATATATCTTGTGATCTACAAAACCAAATGCATTTACTAACATGATTTATATAAAATATAAAGAGTAACACCTGTCGAAATGTTGAATCTATTTTATCTGAACATTTAGATACAACACATGGGTCCAACTCTAATGCATCCCAAGACTATGAGCACATTGAGCACTTTGGCCACACATTTCACTTGAAATGTTCCCATAGAAGCCCATTATTACTTTATTTTGGCTATTTATATAACATTACATTTTTACCTGGAAAAAAAAAATTTGCATTTTTCAGGGAAGGTCACATTTGACTTTGAGCTTGTTTAATGATTAATCTGCAAAACATGTGCAATGTCACATTATCAGCTTTGTAGTCAACAAGGTAATTTGCTAGATTCTTGGAAGATATGAATCTAAGATCTCTGAAGCAATAAAGTAATTGTAGAACATTTTGGCTATGGCACATGAAAGTACTGTGCATATGATGTGATTAAACATTATTCCTTGCCCACTTGCAAAGAAGATAAGACCTCTTAGGTTATTTCTTGTCATGTGATGGACATTATTATTAAGAATGATGAGTTTTTTACAAGAATTTTGTTAGGCTATGTTTGGGGGCATGAGTTTTAATTCACATTCCAAAGCTATTATTCCCCTCTTCGAATTTAGAATGTTTTTCTTGTTTCTTTCAATTAAAAAAAAAAAAAATTCTTTCTAATTACTTAAAAACCCACAATTGACAAAAACTCAAAAGTGTTTGGGTCACATTTTAAGTAAATTAGGTATTTCAGGACTTGAAAATGGTGAAGAAGATTTTTTTTTTTAATTATTATTATTTTTTTTAGAAGGTAACGGTGAAGAAGATTGGTGAGGGTAGAGAAAGGGGTTGTACCACTTGGTTATGGCAGTTTCATTTTTTTATTCATTTTCATCTCTGACCGTTACAAGTACGTTCAGATCTTTGGCTGTAGCGCCCATTTGTTACAACGTACGCTTTTTAACGCATTTATTGTACATGTTTATATTTCAATACATAGAACAAATATATTGAAACACGATTCAAATGTGATGAAACTAAAAATAATAATGTTGAAAAAATATTTCAAAGCAGTTAAAACGTGTTTTAACACATTTGTTCTAAATTTCAATGCATAGAACATCTGTTGAAACTGGATTTAACTGTATTAAAAAATTTTGCATCTCACCATAACAGAAGATCCAGACACATTCCAAAGGTCATTATTTGGAGCGCTAGTCCGAGAGGGTTGGAAAGCAAACTATCCGAGCTAGCTCCATTTCATTCTACTAAGAAAAGAAATTCTTCATGTGCTAAAAATATCACAGACTGTTTTCGTTGACACCTTACCGATCTTTCAAATATTTCGTTTTCGGTACCTCTCTCAAGGATTCTCCATTTAGGTTCTCTTAACTCTCTTTCTTTTGGTGTCTTTCCAAGTATGGAGGTTAGTTCTCTTAAAAAAGTAAAATTATTTTCTTAGTATAAATCAAGCAACCCCTTCAAATTTTAATTTTTGTAACCTATAGATATTTATTATCCTCCATTCTCTATGCAAATGGGGTCTATAGTTTTCATTGTGGTTACTTGTGAAATTTATTGATTTTCTAGAAATCCTACCAGCATTTTATTATTGGTTGAAAAGTAACTTCCCCGGACTTTTGAAGGACAAAGTTAGTTGATTTCTACATTATGAAGGTTGATGGTTATGTGTTTTTAATGGTTGTTGGAGACTTGAAGTAAAAGGTATTGAAAAAAGTTGAATGAGGTTAAAGTAGCATGATATGATGGCACCCCCCCACAGAATTCATTTGTAGGAGTGAGAAAGTGACTTTGTGGAGGAGTGAGAAAGTGAAATGCTGATCATCCCCAAGATTTTGAATAAAATGTAAGCAAAATCTTCTAAGGGCCCTACCTATGAAGTAGGCTTGCTATGTCACATTCGCAAGGGGATGTAAAATTAAACATCTTTCTCAATCAATGCATTTGATAGCCTTGATAGCCGGATTAGACTCTTTCTCTTTCTCTCTCTCTCAAAAAAAAAAAAAAAAAATTTATATATATATATATATATATATATATATATACACCGAACGTTTATAAGTGGCCTTGTCTTTTGATATACGATCCTTTTTAAGTCGATACATTATCTGTATCGGCCAATTTACATTGACTTTGTCTGAATCCGTTACATCGCGATCGTAACTAATACTTCAAATCATGCTCACATCCAAAAAATATATATATATTAGAGCATCCTCTATCACCATATATATGTAATTCTACTTTTTACATGTATCGGGCAATTGTTAAGAAATTTCTCTTAATATGACCTTTAGGAATTCCAACCCCGGGCTTTCTAGTTAGAGAATTAAATCCAACATATAGGCTTCTTGAAAAGCATGGATCTTGGCCAAACTAAAATTCCAAGAACAGTTTTTTTTTGTAACTCCCAAAACATAAAACTGTTTTGAGAGATCCATTCCAGACAGCCCCAAAGATTTTAAAAGAAATTTTTGAAAACACTGTATCATAAATGTGATGAGTAGGTAGGTAATCTTTATCTTCAAATTTATTTCAAGTACATGGTGACCTTAGTGTTCATCTTATTATGTTGTTTACTAATAAGGAAAAGTAGAAATTAAGAATGTTCTAAACTAATAATGAAACATGTTAAAAAAAAAAAACTAATAATGAAAGTATTTTTTTAAAAAATGTTTTTTTTGGAACACATTTAAAATGTTAGCAGGCTAAAAGTATTTTTATATGAAAATTCTCTTTTTAAACGTGCTTGGTTATAAAAATAAATACTATTTAGTGCTAGAGATTTTAGCTTAGTAGGGCTTTTAGTCAAAACAATAAATAGTATTTTTTAAAAGCAGAGGTAAAAAGTATATAGAAATAGCCTATTAATGAAACACATATTAATAAGAAGTGTTTTACATTTGTTATGTTAGGGAGTATTAGATGTTTTGAATTTAGAATTGGAAGAAATTTGTATCAAATTTGGGTATACAAGGGAGGAATGTTGATAGAAATTCATGTCAAAGTGTCAATTAGGTAGTGAATTTTGTTAAAATACTATCTGATATTAAAAAAAAAAAAAAAAAAATTACTTATTTTAAGTTATGGCATTGCCAAACAGGTCCCAAGAGAGTTTTGTGGACTTATTACATTTTTTAAGCAAAGCAAAAATAAATTAATTTATTTGAAATTATTAAATACTGCATCAACTAACGGGTCAGTTTGGCAACAGGTTTTATTTAATTTGTAATAACGGTGAAGACGTTGTGTATTCTCTGTCCAGATCTAAATAATAATAATAAAACTCTCTCTACTCCAGTCTTCTATTTTTCACTCTTTCAAAATCCCTTCTCTCTCATTTGGTACTGTTTCTATTTTTGCCAGAAAATCTCTCTCTTCTCTCTCTCTCCACTTGCCGTCATCACCTCAAAACCCTAATCGAGTAGGTTTAGGCATTGCAGATCTTTACATTCGTTCTTCTTCTTCTTCTACTGAAGAAAACGAAGAGCTTGGAGTGTGTATATTGGGGTTTTACAGCTGAACAGTTTCTGGTGAGTTCGATTGGAATGATTCATTTTACGTTTTTGCTCATTTTTCTAAAGGTATACATTCGAATGCCGTGTTATATATGCGGTGTATCTGTATGCATTTATGTATTGTTTGCTATACTTAAACATATTGTGCTTGGATGATTTTAGTCAATATCATTTAAAGAGGTTGTTGAAAAATATTAAAATTTTCATTTAATTTTTTAAAATTAGTTGAATAAGAGCCATATCTGTGTTTATGTGTGACTGCGGCTTGGAAATTAGTATTTCGGTGGTGGATTTGGGTATCTAAGTGAGGAACGCAGGGTGATTTAAGCTAGAAAGAAATTCATGTCAAAGCTTCAACCTGTAATTAATCTAAACAAGCCATGATATTATCTGTGTAAAAATTGCAGTTGGGCTTGTCTTGATCTTATTTTTCTTTATATATATATATAATTTTAAATATTAAAGTCATTTGGGTATCTGAATGAGCACCATAAGGAATGAATGAGGCAAAAAAAAAAAAAAATTTTTGAATGAGGATCTAAGCTACTACTTCATCCAGCTGCCTGAAGTACTTTGTACATTGATAAATTGATACATAATTATCTATTGTGCTACATTGCAGATGGGCTTCCTTTGATCTTATTGGTTTCGGGTCATAAATGAGAAAATGGAGGCTGAGAAACGAGTATCAAAGGGTGGCTTTCTTCACTTGTTTGATTGGAATGCCAAATCTCGGAAGAAGCTGTTCTCAAACAAGTCTGAATTACCCGGTACTTTTTTTCCCCTTTACACTGAACACTTGCATGCTTTTTCTCCTCCGCCTTCTGGTGATGCCATTATTTTCTTAATTTATTCATAAATACATTTAACGGCATTTTGGCTGCAGAAGGTTCGAAGCAAGGAAAAGAAAATTTTGATTGTTCGGGTTTGTCACAGCTTCAGCAGGTGGGATTTCATTTCTCTCTCTCTCTCTCACACACGGACACGCATTTTATCTTTCTTTCCATCTAGTTCTATAATGGGGTGATATCTACAATTTAGATTATTTTGTTTACTATTGGCATATTTTCAGATGAAGGTGCATGAGAATGGGCTTTGTCCAAGTGTCAAAGAAAGTACTAGTGATTATAGCTGTGATTTATCAGTGAGTGGTGATGAAGGACATGGAACTAAAGCTCCTGGGGTCGTTGCAAGACTTATGGGACTGGATTCCTTGCCGACTTCTAATGTTTCTGAACCCAGTTTTACCCCATTTCCTGAGTCTAACTCTTTTAGAGATTTTCATTCCCAAAGGATCACCACTAATTTTCAGAGCAAGCACCAGAGCATAAACTATGTCAGTGTTCGAGACAAACTGGAAAGGTTGTCTAGGAATCCTGTGGAAGTTGGGCTGCAGAAGGTGCAGAACCGACCAATTGAGAGGTTTCAGTCTGAGATATTGCCTTCAAAATCAACTAAATTGATTCCAATCACTCACCACAAGTTGTTGTCTCCTATCAAGAATCTGGGTATCCCGAGAAAGAATGCAGCGTACATCATGGAGGCTGCTGCAAAGATTATTGAACAGAGTCCTCAGTCAACTACCAAGCATAAGATGGCATCCTTTGGATCTTCTTCAGTTCCTTTGAGAATTCGGGATTTGAAACAGAAAATTGAGGCTGCACAGGAAGTATCCAGGCTTCCTGAAGCATCTCGAAGACCCAGAGAGCCCGGTTCTGTTAAATACACGAATGAAAAGCGTAGAGACAGGAGCCGGAGTCGAACAGAAAATTCGCAACTGTTTAAGGCTTCTATAGATTCAGGAAAAAGCAGTTCTGACAGTTCTAAGAATAAGGGAAAATCAGTTTCTCTGGCAATTCAAGCTAAGGTCAATGTTCAAAGAAGAGAGGAATCGACTGTGACTGGTAATAGGAGTTCAATGGACCTGAAGGATAATAACGAAGTTCAATCGGACCACTGTGATAAGAACCAACAAAATGCGCAAAGGAGTTCACAAAAGAGAACTTTAACGAGAAGGACTTCTGATGTGCTCAGGCAGAATAACCAGAAGCAGAACGGTGTGTCCGATAAAGACAAGGTAAATTCGAAACCATCAGTTTCCAACCCGCAAGACAGAAAATCATTGTCCATGAATGGTTCCCTCAGGCCAAGTAAAACTTCAAATAAGGTTGTTACGAATTCTGTGACTGCTAATAGAAAATCAAAGTCAGTGGCAACTGACACTGGAAAGGAACACTTGTCATATAAAACAAAGAATTTATCTCAGAAAAAGCAGCCTGTCAGTGGGGATTTTCATACTGACGAGCATATTGGTGATAATCAATTGATCAATAAAAATGAAAGGTCTATCAAATGTAATATTGCGGTTGATGGGTGCATGAACTGGGATGCAGTTGACAGGAAAAATAGCATGGATGTTGTCTCATTTACGTTCACGTCTCCCATTAAAAAATCAATGCCTGGATCTCAGTTGTCTAGCCAAGTCATTGAAAATAACGACAGCATTTGCATTGATCCTAATAATGATCAACCTCAATTGAAGCATTCAACTTTATCTTCTCCGGGGTTTAATGTAATTGGTGGTGATGCTTTGAGTGAGCTTTTGGAGCAGAAGCTTAAGGAGTTAACGTGTATAGTTGAGTCTTCCCATAGTACTTTAGTTAACACAGCGGCTGCTTCTTGTTCTACATCCAGTTTGCAAGAGTCAATGTCGACTCTCAAGGTGTTTAACACCATACCAGAAGAACATGACAAGAGATTTCAACTTGGTCTGCAGCAGGATAAATCAGATGGCCTATATAACTTCAAGTGTTCTTTGGTTGATGGACTGCTGTTCAAAGACAAACAGAAGTGGCAGGTACATTTCCTTCTTTTTACTTCTCACTTGAAGCTATTTTCTTTTGTGGCAATTTCCTATGATTGAACAATGAAAGGCAAAGCAAAGTGATGCTTTTATTAATTAATGATACAAATAGATTTATTTTTGAAACGTTCACCGCAGACCAAAAAATTGGAGGATAAGATAGGTGTACAAGTCATCATCTGCTGAGACTCAAAGCTGATACAGACCTATACGATAATATTATGGGATAAGGCACCATTGTAGAAAACTTAAGAATTCTAGCCTCTCTCTCTCTCTCTTCCTCCCTCCCTCCCTCCCTCTCTCTCTCTCTCTCTCTCCACGGATAAGAGGAAACAAAGGGTGCTGCAAAATATTATGTTTTCTATTACATAGACCCTCTCCACATCTGAAATGGATGTTCTTATTAATGTTCAATGATGTCAGGACCTTTAATTAGTGAAAATGAAACTGTATAGTTCTGGTTTTGTAATCTCGCTATATTCTTCTCATCAACTTAGAAAGGTTGGCAGTAATGTTGGAGATGTGAATGGGTAAGGTATGCATGTGATGAGAGGTTCGTATCCTGATGTTTTCTTATTTTCTGGATCGTAGAACCTTAGTAGGCTATTTAGATTTATACTTATTTAGAAAAAGAAAAAAATAGAACATCCAGAAACTTTGCTATTGTTGTCCGTAAATAAAAGCAGATAACAAGAAATAAGACTAGTTCTTAATGACTGAAAACTTAGGATCAGATCCCGGCTATCTATTTCTCAGGTTCAATGTCTTGCACCCAGATTCTAGTAGTTAGGAATTCTTCCGTCATATAATTCTTCTGATGGTACTCATCAACACAACGGTCAATTGCTTGGTGTAGTTGAAAAATTCTCAGATTGCCAAAGCATGAGAGAGCAGGTTTGAGTATCAAAACAACACCATTTGTACAAAATAATGTTAAAGCCTTAAAAGTTAGGTTTGTATCAAGTTGATTCCTCCCAACATTTAATGTAAGCGGCCGTTAAAATTAGGTATGACCTTTTTGGGCACTTATATGATTATATTGATCCCAATAGAAATGTCCGTCTATAGTTTCAAAATAATTGGCGACTTTGTATACTGGATAATGGAGCAATATAAAGTAGAAACACACCCTCTAAACTTCTATCAAGAAATAATAGGATAAATATATTGTGTAGAGTTTCAAGAAAATGGAGCAAAAACCCAGAATTTCCTTGAAATTCACCTCAATGTTTTTCTTTATTTTACTTTTTTCCCTGAAATGGTGTTCAATGTTGAAGCCAAAAAACAGCTGCACCAGGGACCAATGACTGCACAACTAAGAAAGAGATCTGATTCAAGTTAAATACCTAATAAGGAAAAGGGCCAAAAAGAATTTGATCAAGGTTGTAAGAAAATACTAAGATGTGATATTATGATATCAAATAGAATTAAATGGCGAACGAAGGATTTTATACAAACTATTATTAAAATGAGACTTCGAGTGAGTTTAGATTTATAAATCAGCCCTTCCCTCCAGTTCATATGTAGCTCTATTTGTATATCCAGTTATGAAGTCCACAATTTAAAAAGCCAGTATGATACTACACATAGCAGAACAAGCTATAGAGGTAGTATTTTGAATAAAATAAATAGGTAATACTTCAATGATTTTCAATCTATTTGGGTGCCCTCATGTTTTTTGAACAGAGCGGTGTTATCTTGATTGCTGTAGCTTCCTAGTTTTGGATGGTTATTTGTTCTTGTAATACATTGTATTCTACACAATATTTCTCTATCATTTTCAGGGATCAGAAGAGGTGGAAGAGCATACCAGTAACAACGGTGAATATGAAAATGAACATGTTTGTCCGTATCCAACTTTAGTGTCAAGTTTGGAACCCTCTTTCTCAGATGTAGTCTCAAGTTTGGAACTCTCATTCTCAGATGAAAGTTGTAACTCATCAGACGGCAAAACAAGTATCAGTAGCAGGGGTAAGAGTTTTTGAAACCTCTGTTGTTGTTGTTTTTTTTTTCTTACTTTATTTATTTATTTATGTTTTGGCTAGATAAATGCACAGTGATAAATCTGAGCTTCAATTACAATTTGTGACGTGAATAGATCATATATTTGGAAGTTAATAAAGAATACCATTTATAAAATAGCAAAGTTTAGTATGGAAAACAAATACAATGCAATTTATATACAGGTATGATATGTTTTTTTCTTGAAAAAGAAAACATAAAAAAAATTGGCATAAAAGAAGATCAACATATGGCCAATTAACCAGAATGGGATCACCGAAAAGCCTCAACCAAATAGGAAAAACAAATAATGTTATATATATATATATATATATATATATATATATATATATATATATATATAACTACTATATAAGCCTGACCCTGAGATGTAGATCATCCAAGGCACATTAGCATGGCGTACTCCTGTTCGAACTAGGGGGTGAAACCAAACTCCTCCTCCGGATGACAGATGGGGCGATTCAGGTGCCGCGGCCTCTGCTTCTTCAGGTTGATCTCCAAATTGAGGAGTTACTCGAAATGCTGCCAATATATCAGTATCTTTGGTTTCATGGTATATTTGCCAAGATATGAGTTACTCAGAATAAGTCATTTTTGTACTCACCCCAGCTTTGAATCCAAGATGATATTTATATATTTATGTATATATATATATAAGATTAAGATTTATTCTTTTGGCATAGTAACACAAAAAAATAAATCAAAGAAATTAAGAAGTACCAAACTTAGAGGTGTCTTTATTCTTGTTTGCTTTTCAAGTGCTAATTTTATAGTTAGCTAACTTGTAGTCTTTAACACTGGAAAAGGCTCAGTACACAAATTAAGGAGTTATTAGCCCTGGGGTGTAGGTGGTTTGCCAAGATAAGATGGGTTCTCTCTGTTGGTGCTTAGCAATGCTTGTGCTGGTCAGTGATGCCTGGGAGTAGAAAGCTTGTCTCCACCTCTGTATTTGGACAACGGTGGCTGATAGCAAAGATGGGGGCTTTGGAGATTAGGGTTTAGGTTATAAATGGCAATTCACATTTTGATCGTGCTCATATTATGAGGTTCTTTGGTGTTTGTCATTTGTTGATAAAAATTTATGATTGAATGAAGTAAAGCAGAAATGAGTCTTACAACGGTGTTTAAAATAAGTAGAACTAAGACTAGATACATGGCATATAACTTTATTTTGGCAATACTAGAATAAAAGTAGGTTTGTGGTAAAGACCGAGGATCATTAGATACTGTGCAATTTTGTTAGCAAGACTCGATTTTTCAGAGAATGAGAGATTGGAGATGATGTTGCTTATTGAAAAAGTCTGATGGGTTATATAGTTTGTCCAACATATATATCTAAAAGTAAGAAGGTTAAGTCTACAAGACGGTTATTAGAGCAACCAGCGTTTCAAGACAGACTGTTAGGCTGCTACATAATAATATATTCATTAAATTTGTGTGGTCAAAAATGCGGATTGAGATGGATGTGTGGAAAGATAGGAAGGATAAAATTAAAAATATATATATATTAGATTCGTGAAACTGTTCAAGTGGCATCCATTGGAAATAAACTGAGGTAGGATCAAATAAGATGGAAGGGCCATATGCAGCAAAAATAAATAACCCAATAATTGCACTAGTAAGAAAGAGTGGTGTGGTCAAAATTGAGGGGTATTGTAAGAAAAACCATATTTAGCACTGCTTTAGATAGCAAAAACAGATACAAAATCACGTGGTTCAAATGAAATTGTGGTCTTAGATATAGAAGAGTCTGGCAAAATGGAATTCATGTAATTGACTCCAAATAGTTGGGACAAGGCTTGAGTTGAGTATGGTCTCAAGGATGCAGCTTATTTCCTCGCCAATGTTTGTTATGTTCTTTACTTCTTATTTTACTGGGAGGGTCCATTATTTTAAATCTGATTGGTATGGTTAACAAACAAAGGATTTTTTTTTCCTTATATTATTCAAGGAAAATAAGCAAAACTGAGTATTGTTTCATAAAACTCATGTACATGTATAATATGCATACTAACCAACTATGAGTTTAGAAAATGGTCAGGAAACTTAGTGGCTACAAGAAAATTCAGCAGGAACTTCAGAATTATTTCATAAAAAAAATAATAAATTTCAATGGAGAGAAGCTCTTTATTATGTTGTAAAATTTTGTGGGCAGAATGGACTTGTTTTCATCATCCACACATTCTTGGATTATTATATCAGGATTTAGGAATGTTATATGATGTCATTTTGAGTTTGGGAGACATGCACCAAGTTACTAATATAATATAAGCTTTATCTCAAAATGATAGTACAAAATTTGCTCAGTTCCTGCATAAAAATGCATGTTCTAATTGAAGATTCATTCCATTTTCAGGCAGCAAGCACTGTTTATCGGCTGAAGCTCAGGGAAAGTCCAATTGCATCTCTGCTAAAGTACCCGAACTGGTGGAAGGTGAGACAGAGCTATCAGATTCAGCCTCTTCTATTTCTACAGGGTGCATGGATAGAAAGGATAGAACTACTACATTCTGTTACGTAGATTTCAAGCAATTGTCTGACTGGGAATTAGAATATATTAGAGATATACTTTGCAACGCGGAGTTGACGTTAGAGGGTTTTTCATTGTGTCATCCACACGAGGTCATAAATCCTGATATGTTTGATCAGTTGGAGAATCAGAGAACAGGATCACACAAAATTATGGAAAAGTCCTCCAAGCTTGGGCGGAAAGTTTTGTTTGACTGTGTGAGCGAATGCATGGGATTGAGGTGTGAGCGGCTTTCTGGTGGAAGCTGCAAAGAATGGACAAGATGGGCAACACTGTTTCGAAGGAAAGGGTGGTTGGCAGACGAATTGTACAAAGAGATATCAAGTTGGGCAAGCATGGGTGACTTGATGGTGGATGAGCTTGTGGACAAGGACATGAGTACTCAGTATGGGAAATGGGTTGACTTTGAAACCGAGGCATTCGAGGAGGGTGTACAGATTGAGCAGGGGATATTAACTTCCTTGGTTGATGAATTGGTTACTGATATCTTCTTCTTCTGAAGCCCTTTCAAAATGGTTCTGTTTTATTTCAAATCCATTTTGTTACATTTTGGTCAATTGTTAAATTTATGAATCTTATAATTTTTTGGTGTAGAAAAGATAATTTTATGGGATAAGGTAGAATATCTGTGACAAAGATAATTTTGTTAAATTAACATTCACACTTTCTTTTTGAAAGCCTATTCATGATCTTTCATGGTATGAAATGGCCTTGTAAAAATTTACAACCTCTCTCTGTGATATTTTTCTAACCTAAATTCTGCCTTTCTGCGGAACTAATGCATCCAATGGAGGGCAAGATATGCAGCTCTCGTGACAAATATAGCAAAACTGACGGTAGGTCACGGTGGTCAGTCTTAGTAGCTGTGTTGGTATGGAGGCGGTGATGGGTGTAGTGGTGGCTTCCTGTTGTGGAACCATTTGGGGTTGTGTTGATGGCTTTGGGTGGTGGTGTTGAGAACTAGGTTTTTGGTTTGATTGTTGAGGTACTTAATAGTTTAGGACTTGCTAGTGGTGGTGCAATGGCAGGTCTTCACCAACTCTTTTTTCTTCTCATTTTTATTCAAATTTGTTGAAGTTATCCAGTGATTTTTCGAAGTGTTGGGGTGACAGTAAAAGATCAAAATCAATACAAGTTTAGATAAAACACAATTTAATTGCGTTGAAAACGTGCAACATGTTATAGCAAGAACCCCAACAGATGATCGGGATGTTCATTTTTTATCACCTCCATATATATACGTAGAAAAACTCTAAACTTGTCAAGAGTTGAAATCCAGCAGAGGATCTTGATGCTCATTTTTTATTACCTCCATATATATATATATATAAGAAAACTTTAAACTTGTTTGAGAGTTGAATCTCTACAGAGAATCCGGATGCTCATTTTTTATCACCTCCATTAATATATATATTTATATATATAAAGAGAAGAAAAAACCCTAAACTTGTGGAGAGTAGACAACCGACTGAGAAATATAAGGTGTGAACATTCTCATGTTTTTAAGTAGGTTGTCAACTCTCGGCAATTATATCGGGGTATATATATACACACACACAAATATAAATAGAAAAATATGTCAGTTGAAAATGTTTCCCTAGTTTTTTGTGGAATAACCTCATTGGGCAAAATACAGACGCAGCACATGGGATACTGGGTGGGAGACTTGTGGGCATTTATCATGTAAATGTACTAATGATATATATACACACACATTACTCACAATAATAAAAGCAGAAGTTTTGTTGTTAGTGACCCCATAATTCATTGTGGAACAAACAACTCACATGCGGTTTGCTGAACACATCACGTGATCGTACTTCTTCCACACCCACCCAACATCTTCACCATCTCACTCTCTCCTCCACCACCACCATATCAAATTAGTCGTCTCATTTATATAGACATTTTTATACACATGCACTTTATTTATTTATTTACAAAAAATAAAGGAAATAATAACTTTTTTTTTTTCTTCAAAAACAAACTCATACTCCGCAGTTATAATAAAAATTAAAAATTACATTTCACCTTGAGAGGAAATTTCATCACTACAAAGTGCATTTATTCTGAGGGATACACATTATATTTTGTTAGGCTCAAACACTCTCTCTTTTCTAAGGGGGGTGATTTCGGAGAATACCATGAATAAAAGCAACGAGAAAAAAAATAAATAAATAAATAAATGGATGAACTCACATTTTTTACTTTATATTCACATAATAAAAAATAATAATAAAAATCCAATTTTTTTTTTTTTTTTACTGAACTCTTTACTGTTTTTTTTTTCTTTTCTAAATAAGATAGAACAGAAGATAAGACCGTGTTGAGAATAAATTGGGTTCGTTTCTATTTTCATTTAGTTGAAGAAAAAGAAAAGAATAATGAAAAAACAGAGGATATTACATGTTTTAATCATTGTACCCTTAGGAAATCATGACAAAAAGTAAAAATAAAATAAAAAATAAAATAAAATAAAAAGTTCCATTTTCCTACTTTCCCTTTCACTTTTTGGAGGTAAGAATATAGAGAGCTGGGAAAAAAGAACCCTCCTAATCTCTTAAAGTTGTATCAAACAAATATATAAAAGTTGGTGCATGCTTTGAGGTGCCCAATGGTCGAAGAGTGCCGTTGGGCACTTCAGAGCACGCACCGAGCATTCGGTAGACGCTCTCCGAACACTCAAAAGGTGCCACGAGCACCCCAGCATGAGCTTGGGCACGGTCCAAGGGCTTGAGCCTAGCCCGACGTATTAATAAGCCATTCAACAAACCCTTGAAAAAAAAAAAAGTACGGTCAAAGAGAGAGAAAAATGGAATTAAGTAAAAAGACAGAGAACACAAAGTAAAGGGATTTTTGGAGGCCATGTTGCAAGGAATCTTGTGACAATGAAGAAATATATGGTCCTGAGACATGATTTTTTTTTTTAAAATAAAAATTAGAGTTTTTGAAAACCAAATGTAATTAATGGGCAGTTGGGCTTTCATTGCCCAATTGTACTTCTCCTACAGTCCTACGTGAATTTTTGAAGGTATTTTTACAGAGCCATGGGCTCAAAGTCAATAGGACTATTTTGAGGGATTCTGACCCCTTCCAATAGAACTATTTTAAATTTTTATGTCAGATGCACCCCCAAATCATAAAATATATATATATATATATATATATATATATAATCAAATTAGGAAAATCAGTTTCATGAGCCTGGTCCAAACAATATTTTATGAAATAGATGTTAAGTTGAATAATAAAATGGAAAGAAAAATGATCAAACAAATATTTTAGAAGGATAATTTTTCTTTTGCAAAGATATATAGCATTACTCTTGATAAAATAATATCAAGTGAAATCCACATTAGTGCATTTATATATTTCAATCTTTGGATTTTGAGCAGCATTACTTAATTATTATAAAATAAAAAATGATATAAATGTAAGTTTTTCTATCTAATGATATTACAGATAAAAGATTTATTTATAGGGTCTGGTTGATTAGAGGTGAAAGTGAAGTAAATGAAAGATAAATAGTTTTCAACATATGTTTGGCTAACATAAAAAAGTTTAAAAAAAAAAATGTGTGAAAATACTTTTTATTAGTTCGGATCGTATGAAAAAAAAATGATTCTACTCACCAAAACTATATTTATAATTTCAAATTTTAAAAACATAAATAATTTATGTTAGATGAATACTCTTTATATAAACAATTGTTTATATATATTTTCACCCAAAAAAATAAAATTATTAAAAATAATAATATAATTATTTGAGTCAATTTTTAAATTGTTCATATTGAAGAACACTTCATAACATTTTAAATAATTAATCTGAGACATTTGGAAAGTTATATGAGAAACCAATTTCATTTCAATAATGTGTCTTCTTAAATTTCTGTGTGTGACTGTGTGTAAACAAGACTAACAAGCTAGCCTGCATGATGTATGGCCACCATTATTCTACCTTTATTGGGCACAGTGAAATCTGAAAAAGAGGTCGGCATTCTGTAATACTACTATATAAAACTAGATTAATATATGTTTGTTATATTCTGATTATTTAACTACCTAACTATATATTAGATGATTTAATGATTGATTATTAATTAGACTGACTTTAGCCTCGAAATAGCGGCCCCAAAAGTCAGAATCCTATGGAGGAGCTTCGGATTTGTGTTCCCCAAGTGTACGTATTCCTGGTATGATCAGACTAAATCTGACGGTTGTTATTGATTTTGATTGGATTAAAGTACATACATAGTAGATGTAAATTGTGGGTGAACAATCGACACGTGTAGTGTGCAGGGAAATAATGGTGGGTGTGACCACAGAGGAGTAGTATATTTATTGAGACGTAGTCTCGTTGTCCAAACAGTACTTTCCCATTTTCCCATCTCGATCGACTATTCTTTATTCTCTCAATGTTCACACCTTTTTTATTCGATGTTGTTATAGATCTATAAATATTTATAGCATTAAATGCCCCTAGTAGTGTTATACTTTTATTTATTTAAAATTAATTTGACAAAAAAAAAATGTTGAGAATTAAGATTATTACAAGATTGACTTCATAATAATTGTCATAAACTCTCTTTTAATTTGACCCCTTGAGTAAAAAATATCATTACATTACTAATATAAAATGATTTCACTATAAAAAAATATATTGTATATCAATTCAAAATGGGTAAGAATATAATTATACATGTAAATCAAAGATTACAATTAAATTACTTCAGATTAAGTAAAAAAAATAAAGGGAGATAAAAAGAAAAATACTATACTTCACGAATTTTAATTTGTGATTTTATCTTGAATTGGAGCTTATTTAGATTGCTTTGTGTGTTTTAAAAATAATATTTTTTAATACAGAAAAGCTCTTAATATAGAAAAGAGAGAAAATCATAATATAACTTAATAACTTATATCAAATCTTTAAATAATTGAAGTAGAAATTATAATTTTACCATGAATGAGTAACATCTTTCCCTAATTTACATAATTCTTGACGTTTTCTATAATTGTATTTTGATTTGCTATTTTCTTATTGCAGTTAAATTTTAATGAAAATACTCAACAAAAATAGAGAGTATTTAAAAAATATAAAGAGTGCAGAAGATAATATATATATATATATATATATATATATATATATATATACTTGTTTTTTCTTCGATTGTTAAAATAAGAAGCACAAATGCATACAAGAATAAGTTGTAATATTTATTAAAATAGAGGACAATAATATCTATTTAGCTATCGCCACATCAGGTAAATATTTGACAAATCCACGTGATTATTTATAACTAGATTTTGGTATAAATTTTTTATTAATAAATCTCAAACAATTATCTTTCAAACGATTATATATGTCTTTATTTATATTTGATTATATATGTTATGAATATTTTAATAAAAAAATATAATTAATAATTAATATAATTATTTATTATATTTATAATGATGATTATCATCATATGATTTAAATAATATTTATGAAATATATTATTTCTATCTTTATATTAACTTAGATGTTACAACTTTAGTCTCTATATAAATTCTAGATATATAAAGAATCAAAATAATATCTAATGTGTAAGGTATTTTTGAGAGTGACATTCGGGTGTAAGGACTTGGAAAGATAAATTTTTATTCTCATCCTTCTTTAGTACTCTCTAATATTGTATCAGAGAGTATTATACATATTGTGTCGACAATATTATACATATTGTGTTTATGGACAATTAGACACATATAAATTTGGACCTAGTCTTCATCTGGTCGTGTACATGGAAGAGACGCTGTTGCGAGCTTAATGGAGAAGACGCCTCCTTAATGGAGGAGATGCCGCTGCAAGCTAATTGGTTATATCTTGAAGCTGATTAGTTTCATCAATACTTGCACGAATGGAGAAGACGCCTCCTTAATGGAGGAGATGCCGCTGCAAGCTGATTGATTATCTTGAAGCTGACTAATTTCATCAATACCCGCACAAAAGGCTTTAGGTTACAATCATGTCAGCAATTTGTTACGTATTTTACTATTATCATTTTACTTCTTAATTGAGTTAATGTTAATATTATATTGACGAATTATTTATCTTATTAAATTCTTGTTCATTTTTATATTCATGTTGTTCATATCGTTATTGATGTATTATTTAAAGTTAATTATTTATTATTTTACTTCATTTCATTGTCTAATGTTGATCTATTATATTTGTGTTATTCTATAAAATATGGGAAAAAACTTGTGTGTAATGTTCACCGTTAATGAGTCCAGTATGAGTGGTGGCCTTACTGAAAGATGTAATGTGAGCCTATGATGTTATTGGTGTGTCAGTGCTCATTGTAACGGCAATAATTTAAAAATCAAAATGCGAGAACGGGGTTAAGAAAACCGAGATCCAAAGTAATAATTTTAAATATTGTAGAAAGTTAAAAATCCTATAAGTTCTGTATAATGCATTAACTTAAAAACATCCCAAATTAATTTATCAAAATAAATAAATAAATAATTTTATCATCAATCAGTTTATCAAAACAAAAAAATATATAATAATAAATAAAAGTAGGGGCATACAAGTACTTACATAAAACTGCTAGGGGGTGCTGACGTAATTTCAACCTGTCGCATTCATATCCGGTACAGAGAATGAAAAGACAGTGGCATTACCTTCCCCAAAAAAAAAAAAACAAAGACAGTGGCATTTACGATATAACTTCACAAATCCAAGCCCATTTATAACGTCATCGTTCACCATCTATTTTTTGCACACATCACAACAAACCCAACACCACCCTGAAACTCCCCACTCGTTCCTCAGAACTTTCTCTCTCTCATCATCACTCTCGAAGCGTTCTCTCTCCTCACATGGAAGAAGAAGAGCTCGAAACTCAGTCACGCACCACCAATGGCGGCACTCACAACCTCCTTCGAAACCCTAACAATGGCGAAACGTTCACTTCTCAAGAACACAACTGCTTCGACGATATCGACAGCGCTTGCTCCACTCCGTACGTCAGCGCGCCGTCCAGCCCCGGCCGTGGGCCGCCCCTCGCCGGCGCCGGATTCTTCTACAGCGCTCCGGCGAGTCCAATGCACTTCATGCTCTCTTCATCTCCGAACTCGCCGTCTAACGCGTCGGAAGCGTCCGGGTCGGGCTCGTTCGAGTTTGAGTTCTCGGCGAGATTCGCGTCGATCGGTCCGGCGTCGGCTGGATCGATGAGCTCCGCCGATGAGTTGTTCTTGAACGGCCAGATCCGGCCGATGAAGCTCTCGACGCACCTTCAACGACCACTAGAGCCATTGCTGGATCTGGAAGAAGCAGAAAAAGGAGATTTGGAGACGAAAACTGTAACGAGAGGACGAGATGTGATTATGCGAGACCGATCTTACCGGAGAAGAATCAGATCTCTGTCGCCGTTGCGAAGCGCAGCATTTCAGTGGCTCAAGAGTGAAGAACAAGAAGACGAAGTTAACGAGACTAATGAAATCGATCGCGGCTTCGAAGATGTAGAAATCAAAACGACGCCGTTAGCGAATCCGGCGTCGAGTGACGAGACAACTCCGTCGTCCTCGTCGGTGCCGTGTTCGAGGTCGTCGTCGGCCGGCCGGAGCTCAAAGCGGTGGATCTTCTTAAAGGAGTTTCTCTACAGAAGCAAAAGCGAAGGACGAAACAACGGTCACAAGTTCTGGTCATCGATATCATTCTCACCAGTCAAAGACAAAAAACTCTCAAATGCTTCTTCTGATTCAGCAGCTAAAGACAAAACATCAGCAGCAACAACATCGTCGGCGATGGCGGAGTCGTCATCTTCGCCGGCGCCGGCGGCGAGTGTTGAAACGAAGAAGGCGAGTAAAAGACCTGCGGTGGCCGGAAAAGTGATGAACGGGGTGGGGAGGCGGAGGAGGGTGCCGTCGCCGTCGGCGCACGAGCTGCATTACACGGCGAACAGAGCACAGGCGGAGGAGATGAGGAAGAAAACGTTCTTGCCGTACCGGCAAGGGCTGTTGGGGTGTTTAGGGTTCAGTTCAAAGAGCTATGGAGCCATGAATGGGTTTGCTAGGGCTTTGAACCCAGTGTCTTCAAGGTAAGAAAAGATTACTGCTACTAAGATAGATATAGATATAGATATATTTATATAAATATATCTATGGTGTGTATAGATTTTTATTAGTATCATTTTGTTTTTTTTGTTGTGAATCTTTTGAACTAGTAAGAGCTATGATGATCAAGATCAACTGTGTATGTAATGTTGATTTGTTCCCCATTACATTGATGAAATTGTGGGGGCTCTTTTGTTGTTGGAACTTTTAGTTACATACATTTCATGATCATGACTTCATATATTTTTGTGGTTTTAATTTGTTGTATCATTTATGTTTGGAAAAATAAAATAATGTAATTGAGACTTTCTAAAGTGGAAGTCGGAGGGAGGGTTCAAGCTCTTGCAAAGTGGATAAATTTTTAGATGTCCTCTCAAATCCATCTCAAAAAATTATCATCAAATTAAAAAATAAAAAATGACTTTATGTAAGAACAAAAAAATTGGATGGAAGGGAGAGATGACATGACAATTCAAATTGGATCGGAAGGAGAGAAGAAGGATGAATGAGACATCGTATATGTTTATGAAATAATTGTTTTTTTTTTTTTTTTCGGTTCGATAAAAGAGAATAATATATGAGCGATGGAAAAATAAAGTTTTTATTATTTATGATATTATAATTCATATTTATAATATTATAATGCATAGAAGATGATACAATAATTTAAAATTTGTGTAAATTTTTTTTTTTTGTTTTTTTTTTGAATTGTCGGAAAATATTTATGAAGAAAAATAATTTATTCATAAATTTTTGACAAGTTATTTTATATGTTTAGTTCGATGGATTCGATTCGATCTCAAATACCGATGAAGTAAAAATAAAAGAATAATTTAACTGTAAAAGAAAAATATTTTTTCAAAAAATATATTTTTAAAAATATTTTAGGTGAAACAAATGAAACTTTAAGATAATATTTAATTTAAATTTTTTATCACACCCCACTTTTTTTATCAGAAGAAAGGATGACAATAAGTTAGTTTTTTTCTTATTTTCTTTTCATACCTCTTTCTTCCTACGCAATCAATCCATCAGGGAAGATGGTCCACATTCATAAGTTAATTATAATAGAACACACATTTCAATTTTTTATTTCTTATTTTTATTTTTTCTTGGTTTTTTTTTTGTAAGCTAAAGTGCTGCCAAAATTCAATTATAGATGGTACACTCCAATCAAACTTTATCCTCTTTTGTTCAAATTAAACTGTCAAATTTCACCAGCTAATGATTTACCACTTTAATACAGACAACATGATGATACAATTTGCATTATTTTTGTTCCAACTCTCATGATGTCCGACTTTATGATGGAATTTTTTCTTCTTTATGGTCCTTATTTTTTTTAATTTTTTTTTTTTTTTTTTGGCGGTTGTCTTAGAAACTTGCACTTCACTTTTAAAAATAAAATGATGTTGGTGTCTCTAACTCGCTAGTATTAGAAGTAATTTTTTTTATTTTTATTTTATTTACATTAAGAAAAAGACTAAAATTGAGTGTAAACAAAAAACGTGAAAGAAGGTGCCAATATTGCCTCTTCTTTTTCCGAATGATTGAAAGTGAGCTACGGAGGCTATCTTGAACTCTGAATTGCAATTGTGGCGCACAATGGTTACCATAAAACTGTAATTGGCTATGGTGCACCACCACCATCATTATCCTTTCGTCGGCCACATTAATTTTTATTTAATTTAAATTTATCATACACCACGTGGTCTCTTAAATTTAAATTTTAGTACGGCACTTTATTGCTTATCTTTTAAACACACATAATGTGTATATTGAATATGGCTATATACTTTCTTTTTTTTTAATTTATTATTCTCTGTGTCGCAAAATACATATTTTGTATGAGAAATTTATATTTTTTATGGTAATAGAGTTTTAATAATTTTTTAATATATTGATAAAAGTAAAGCTTTAAATATCTTCTTATTAAAAAATAAAATAGTACTCCATAATTAATACAGTTACTTATTTAGAAAGATAGTTTGAAATGTTATAAAAAATAATACTTATATTTAATTTTAAAATATGATATATTTTTTGAAACATTTCAAAATAAAAAAATAGATCAATATTTTAGGTCGGTAGGAGTATTATAGACCCTATACTTCGTTTAGCTCCCCACTTCGCTATTGTGCACCATGGTGGCATGATCTATTTGCCTAGTGAGGCTAGGTATTGCCTCCCTCTATATGGTACGTAAGAGATTGTGTAAGGCCAATCTAATCGAGTGAGCCAAAAATAAAAAAAATGAGAAACATTGGGTTTTTGACATTTTGTCCATTAGTGATGATTGTTAGATATCTATTTTTTTCGGGTCACATCTATCTATTTATATAGGTGGGACACAAGTGCAACAACATTGAAATGTCATGCAATTTGAATATTTTAAACTTTTATTGATCAACTATTTCTACATTTGGGACACTTTGATGATAGGATTGGAAGGTATTTTTAATTTGAAATTCAAAACAATTTAAAATATATTATAGGTTAATTAAAAATAATATTAAATTAATTTGAAAGCTACCATTAGTAGTATCTTGCAAAGCAACAACTTCCTCTTCCACTGTGTTCTCCTCATTTGTACCATCATTAAAACCTAACAACTCAGAGGCATTAGAAGTAGAAACTCCATTAACAGTTTAGAAGCTTACTATGTCTCTCGCACCCGCTTACGACACACCCTCTCACAAGGTCATCACAATTCATCCCTCTCGGAGGCTCGACGTCTTCGTCGGCACACTTCCGACTGGGTCAAGGTCTGATACCATTTGTAACGACCCACTCCATCACATGGTATGATATTGTCTGCTTTGGACTTAAGTCCGCACGATTTTACTCTTAAATTTTACTCTAAAAGACTTCATACCAATTGGAGATGACACACTTATATATAAACATTTCACCTTTTCTTTCCCCAGGCAATGTGGGACTCTACACCGTTAACTCACTGTGATAACCTGACAGTGTCTCTCGCACTCGCCCACGACACACCAGCTCACAAGATCATCACAATGAGACAAAACCACGAATACCCCAAATTATCCAAATATATAAAAGTAACAAACATCTACTCTCCAAATTATTTCATTCATGATTTCGTAAGTAAAATGAGCAAATTTATTATTTTTATTTATAATAATAATAAACTTACTAACCCAATCAAGACTCATGTTAAGTCTAAATCTTTTTAATTATGATATGACCCAAACTAACTCATCCTTTATAAATTCAAAAGAATGTCATTGTCGTGGCATGTTAAGTCAAATCCATTTTAATTATGATAAGACCCAGCGTAACTCATTCTTATCCCTAATTAAGCATAATCTTGGGACTATGACTTCAAGGTTGTTGCAACAAGATTTTATTGATGCATGTGTGTCGTTTAGGGAAAGTGGGCCTGCTAATTTGTTGAAAAAAAAAACATGTATTAGGTCGATGTATTTAATGAAGTTCTAAAATAAAGAAGTAATGGTCTCTTGGGCCATTAATGTAATGTTGTGGGGGAGAAAATGTCAAAATGTATAACATGGTCCCCGAGTAGTCTTAGTTCGAGAAATTATTAAATGGTTTGAGATTACATGATTTCAGTCAATCACAGACAATCACGTAACTAGATTTGTCAATTTTATTCATTTTAAAAAAAAATTGTGTAAGGTTTTGTTAGATTTTTCAATTCAGCGCTTAATTTATCCCAATTAAGTGTGTTTGATAAACAATTTTTATATTATTGAAAACGGTAAGCATCACTTAAAATGGAATAAAATTTTAAGTGACAGTAGCATTACTTATAACTGAATTTTGAATGCTGAAAATTTTTAAAGATATAAAATATATATATATATATATATATATAATAAAATAAAATAAAAAATTGATTACCACTTAAGTACATCAACTTCAAAAATTTTCGTACATAATTTTCAATTTTATCAAACAACACTTAAGAACTAATTATTGTTTAATCGGAGAAAGTTTACAATGCTCCGGAATAAAGTGTCCCGGGTCTCTCAACGGTTGAACCATCTACCAGGTGGATCCCACCACCACATCCAGATTGGAAAACCAAGGAATATGATGCCCGGGGTATTCTAGGTTTTTTCGGTCGGCAGTCGGGACTATATGGTCCGGGCCCGGGACCATCTAAAAAGTCTTAGTTCTCTTACTTCTTACAATTGCATTACTATGAAAAGTGGCCATGTTGGAATCTTGAACCAATGATTCCACTACATGGTCTAGGGACATAGACTTGTTAGGTATAGATCATAGAAGCCTTAGAAGGCCCTTTAGACCCACAATTGCAAAAGGGGTCCCCATATCTGACCAACAGCTAAGGGACCTTTAACTGTTTTGGTTGTATGTATCTTCTGGGCCAACCTTGTGATTCACACAAGTTGTGCATATTGGGCTTTGTGGTTGTTGGGATATTAGGATGAGCTTTCTTATTGTTATATTTCTTGTAAACATATACATATACACATACTTATAAATATATATTGTTAAGTTTGGGGACCATAAGAATCGCATTGTCTTTTTCATTTTTTTTTTCCTTGTGATTCTCTAATACTGTTCTTTCAATTGCCTTTTAACAAATGAAAATGATAGGTTTGGATGAGATAAAAGGATAGAAGCTTGTCAACCCCAAGTCTTATGGGTCATGGTGTCTCCTAGACATTGACATAAAAGGGGTATGAGATGAGATTATGAGGCATTTGATTGTTCTGATTTACTTTGTTGTCACTCTATTCCCCAACAGTTGTTTCATTTTTCATCTTTTTCTATGTACTTTTAATCTTTGAGGGTTTTTTTTTTCTTCTTATTTTTATCATTATATGACAATTTCATCATCACCTTTAAAAGTTAGGGAAATAAAAACTTTTGAGCATATTCAAACTACCTCATATAGATATACCTTCAAGTTTAACTTTTTGTCATTTCATTAGTGGACCATTGTATAACATGATTTACAATAAGCGAAGACAAATATATAAATTTATCTCTCTTATTTAAGAAGTAAGGTAGATAAAAGTTAAGTCACATAAAGCGGGAGCGAATTCGAAAGCGGAAATAAAAGAGTAGCATGCTTAAGTCATAAATAATGAGAATTTGAGTCAAAACACGTGTAGAGTTTGAGAACGGGAGCGCGCTCGAAGCGTGAAAACATTACTCATTAAAAAAAAATGATGTGACTTAAGATAAAAGTTCTGACGTGACATCTTTTACAAATGAATGAAATTTATATTTAATTCTTCACGTGTTATTGTTAAAAAAGAAAAAAAAAAAGTCTATGAAAGAAGAATTCAAGGCACTTTCACCTTTTTTTTTTTTTTTTTGGTAGACATTAGGTATAAAGTTTGAGAAGAGTTCATAGCCTCACACTATATTCAACTATCAAACTCTTGGTTACATGATTATTACATCAAAGCCCTTGCAGATCTTTTGATTGTTATGGTGGAAAGAAATAGCTGAAAACTCTTGGTTACAATCAAAGCCTTTACATCAAGGGACCCAACTCCTTTGTTGTTCCTAGACCACGCTATCTTGCGCAATTTGTGGTTTTCCAAGAATCACTATTCGACAATAGTGATTCAAGTACAAGTTTTCGCAAGTTTGCAAATTCAATCCACCTATCCGGTCAACCAACCTTATCATGAACTCACACATTTGAGTTTAGGTCAATCAATTTATACCAATGAAATTGTATCACCAACTAATTACGGCTCAAATTATGCATTTGTATACAAAAACTTAATTAGATGGTAATACCACAAGTATTACGGTTGCGCTGAAGACCTTCTAGAGAAAGGGCACGAGCAACTCCAAGCTGTTGGATCAAACACCGAGGTTATTAGTCCGACACCTAATGCCACTCAAATTATGTCTTTTTATTAGGGTTGCAATTTGGACGGACCCAACCTGAAATAATCCAAGCCTAGCCCAAAATTTTGTATACTTGGACGATATTTTTCTAATTTCGGTTTGAGCCTGAGTTATATATTTTGAGCCAATTTAATTCGGGCTGGGCTTATGTTGATATGGATGAAGCCCAAAGCCAAACCCGAGCCCGAAAATATTATATATATTTGTAATTAAGTTGGTAGCATGCTTGAAATTTATGCTTAAGGTTTCAAGTTCAAGTTATGGGTGCAACATTAATTAATTTATTTTTTACACACAAATTCTTCATGTGGACTTGGGCATCTCAGCTCGGGCTTAAGGCGCGCTGGGATTGGGCTGAAGATTTTCTATATGGCCCTAACCTGAGATGAGTGCGAAGCCCACCTAGCCTGTCCGAGTTGCAACCCTACTTTTTATACATAACATAATTGGTTGGTGATATCACATGCATGGTATTATCGCTGTAGGAAGTCATTCTCAATGAAGGTCACCTCAGAGCTGTTGGATCAAACAACCACGAGGCGGTATCTCAAACATTTACATACACGTGTGTGTGTGTGTGTGTTACACTCAGTACATATATGGTAGGGGCCCCTTCAAGGGCTGTTCTGGTGGCTGGAAGAGCCGAGGGGAAGGGACAATTACAGAAAAATGAAGATGACGTTAGGTAAATTATTACTGGAAAAACTTCTTGTCACAAACTAACAATCCGATCTAATCACTCTAATCTGGATAAGGCTTCACATGGATGATGGAACCTTGAACAGTATAGAGGGCCAAACAAGCATGTTCCTTTGTTTGGTGGGACAAAATGGTCATCATCCAAATTGAGTCTTTCATTGTTTATTTTCCATGCAACTCTTAGTTATCATTTGCATCTTGAAATGCCTTCCTTTCTTTGTCTTTTTCCTCTTCAATTCCTATTATTCGAGTCCCAAATCATGCAAATGCAATAGTTGCTGTTAATCCTTTGTTTGGGATAAAATGGTCATGACGTTTGAAAAGCATTTCCGTTTTTTTTTTTTACATCCTATTCTCTCTCTTTAAAGAAATGATAGCAAGAGCAAAGAAGGAAAAAGAACGGGCTGTGTCAGGTCTCTTTAAACACTCCCATTATCCACCACCGGGTACATTCGGTCCCTCCTTCTCACATGGGCTGGACAATTACCGGAAAAATTCCCTAGGGGTGGTTCTGGGGAAATTTTAATTCCCGACCTGCAAGTAGTGAGATGAGTCTTTGTCATTAGGCTATCTCCTTAAGGTTGATCATACGTCTAATTGTGTCCCTATCAAATGCACTTCCCATTTAATTGAGAGGCATAAATTTAAAAACCAACAGCAAAAGGTGGCAAATAATGAAGAATGGCCTTCACTATATGGTCACCAAGTAAGTTAAGCTTGGAATGTATCATTCAATCAAAGAAACAAGAAACATGAATCAATAGCCATCAACTCATGCTGTGTTTCTGTCAAATTTCATAATTATAAGAATTCTCCTACATGGAAGTTATATTATTGTTAATTGTAACACAAAAAGGTCATCCTCTCTTCTACGATTATATTTTAGGTGCAAAAATGGGCGGTGGAAGTGAACTGGGAGGAACACTAAAATAAACTACGTCCCCGAGCTTGGAAAAAAAAGTTGGAGACCAACCTCAGGAAGGAGCCTATGGGTACCTCCGAGCTGCAACACCAAGGATGTGATTCTTGTTACGTATCAGGCAAAGGAATAAAGGATATTCCTCTTGAGTGTAAACTCATCAGCTTTCGCGGGGCTGAGTGCCTGCACCAAAAAAAAACACAAATAATGAAAGAACTATTAGATTTGTTCACAGTTAGAGGCCCAAAACACAATCTCGGAAATGGTGTTCGTCCGAAACAAAACAAGCATGCCTCTCAAAACACCACATTTTCCGGAAGAAAATATTACAATAACAACCTTCATCAACATTTTATTTCAGGGTTAAAAGAAATTTTAGCCAAACTGAAACCTTCTTTTCTCTTCTATGGCCCCCTATGTGGCAATCTCATCTCATAAACACCCACGAAATATATTATGTTACCATATATTACAGTTTTATAATATATAACGCCAATGTCTAATATTCATAGGATAAAATAATTAATTTATTGCTGTATCTTTTCATTTGCTTACCATCTTTATTTGAAATACCTATCCCTTCCTCTTCTTCTCTACAATGACTCTTTTCATCATTTTACATTAAAACGTAACTATCCTTTAGATTAATGGACTTTATATTCTTCTTTATTTGGTAACTGTTTTATCTCATTTCCAAATATAATATGAACATCTGAAGGAACCAGTCCATAACTTCACGCTAGTAGAAGCTACCTCCAATGCCCTGTATGTTCGATAGAGCCAAAGGTTCCCCCCACAGGTTGGAGTACGCCAATAGATTTTTTTATTTATAACAAGATTCAAGCTAGTTATATTTCACCTGATCTCAATTAACAACCAAACTGATACTATATTGCTTTGGATTTTGAGTCAACTTTGTTCCGAGAATAAGTGATTTCTGACTAATAGGCAAAAGATGGGCAGATGCCAATCTCATTATTTATATTATCTTTACAAGCCAATCTCATTATTAACTCATTATATATAGGATAAAGAGCAAAAAAAAAAAACCCTTAAACTATTGCCTTTTACAAATAACCTCCTAAACTACAAATTGCCCCGCTGAACTATTGATTTGTTGCAATTAAGGACAAACCCATCACAAAAGACTATTTTACCCTTTCTCATTAAAATTTGTCATTTCTTATTAAATTATTTTTATTATCTTTTCTCCTATCTAAATATTAATTATACAATTTACCTTAATTTTATTGTTAGTATCAATTTATCATAAAAATAGAAAAAAAATAAATAGATTTGTAACTACCATTTACTAAAATAATTAACTTATAATTAAAACTTAACTATTTATAATAAAACTTATTATACTCAGTTTAAACTTTTTTACCATACAAAATACCTTTTTCATACAATATATTCATAAAAAATTAATAAATTACTTGAATAAAAATAGATTAAGTGCAATTCAATAATAAAGGGCATTAAGGTCATTTAATGAACAATAGTCTAGGCATTAGTGCATTTTGCAACAAAATGTGATACATTCTAATATATATTATCTTTACAAACCAATAGCATTCTTTAACATTGTCTTTTCCACTACAGATTGTTACAAATGAATACAAAACAATAGGTAAATCTCTAGATAAACCTGCGTGCACACAAAAATCGATATTTGAGTACATTTCTTCTACTTCAATTCTACACTTCCTTATTATTATTATTTTTTTGTGGCTAACAATGCATAAGCTTATGATTTTTCCACTTCTATTGACCTACCATTTTGCCCTCAGCTTCTACTAGAGAAAACGTCTGTTTTACTTCTTGTTCCAAATACTTTTAAAAAAACTTTGTTAATAAATCAATCATTTTCTCTTCAATAATATTATGATAAACTGATAAAGGTTATTTTTCACTTCTTATCCTGTAAAAATAGTCATGAACTATTTGTTTCATGTCGCCTATTTTTATTTCAAAAGAATAATTTCCTTTAATCAAAACACCAAATTTATACTTTTTAACAATCATTTTGAAGTTTTGTTTCTCTCAAATTTTATCAATCATAATAAAAATATAAGAACAATATATTTAATCACATTATTTATAAATTAATTAGCGATTGAAATAAATAATTTAACTACAATTAGCAACATTTTTTTAATAATAATTCTAATTATATATGATTTTTTTCTGTTTGCCTTTATTTCCATGCATCACGCAGGTTTGCTGCAATTAGTTTTTAAGTATTCCCTTTATTTCTTTCTTTCTTTTCTTTTTTTTTTTTTTTTTGTTTGGGGGGGGGGGGGGGGGGGGGGGGGGTGTTGGTTAAAAAAGATCTCAGAATGTCTCTTGTTACCATATGATGGCATGACAGGAAAGAAGGTAAATATAGTTTTTTGCAGCCAGTTAGAAAAATATTTAATTGGATGGAAAGAATTTAAACAGTTGGGGCAGGCCAAACAACCATACAAGAGGTATAATCAAAGACTACCTTGTCAAGCATGCGTGCCAGTCGCTGGATTTCATTCTTGGCATAATCAGCACCTTTTTCCATACAGCTTTTGGCACATTTCAAGTAGATCTTGCCATATCTGAAACGAAAACATAAATAAATAAGAGAACAGATGAAGAAAGAAATGAAAATATGAAAGGAAAAAGTTTGCATTTCACCAGAACTAATTCCTTACGAGACTCCTACAAGATGTAATGATGGTCACCAACAACACTCACTCAAAGGTTTGTGTGATTTTGGGAAGAATATAAATTATACCTCGCAGTGGAACCCTTAAGCTTCTGAACTTCATCCTCTATTTTGGCAAATACCGCTTTCTTCTCATCATTACTAGCACTTAAAAATTCCTTCACTAAGTTATCCAAAGATGCAACTGTACCAGCCTATATTAACCAAAAAAAAAACATAAATTCGGAGTATTTTTTAAATAAATAATAAAAAGAAATTACTCAGGGTTAATATCTTGATAAATGTTCCACTGACATGTGAAGTAAGTTGCCCTGATGCATCACGGCTAGTGCCACTGGCATCATTGATAAAATTAACAAAATCATTTAAATCTCGGCCACCACCATAATCTTCACCAGCTTTGTTGTTCTTGGGAAAGAATTTCAATGTAGGATAGCCACTTACATCATACCTGCATGAGCAGAATATTTGCATCAAGGCCATCCGCTTCGACCCAAAAATAAAAAGCACAATAATTACAATAAAAGGTAATGATATCCAGAACAAAATATAGTCCGTGAAATATCTGCTGAGATTCAGGTTCAAATATGCGTGAACTCATGTATGCAAGCTATATTATTTACAGAACACAGCAGAATTTTGATCGTGCATTACCTAAATTTCTGAAGTAAAAGGAATTTATAATTATTCTTACAACTCACTTTTCTCCCAGATCTTTGTATTTGTCGGTATCAAGATTAGCAATCACTACATCTTCCTCCATTTTAAACGCTGTCGCAACCTTTTCATAGATCTACATAACAGACAGCAAAGGAAAAGTCAGGAATTTCTTTGAGCACAAGACTAGAATCCAGTAATCAATTCCATAAAAAAGATATTAATGTACTTACAGGAGCAAGGTTTTTGCAATGGCCACACCTATAAACACAAAGCATGATTCAGAGGTGCAAAGCAGAACTATGTTGCTTTCCACATTCAAATTAACTCAACAAAGCTAATCCTCAAAACCTGGTGTTGGCTAAATTGAACATTTTACACCATCCTAATCTATTTTACGGAGAAAAGTAATTTAAACAACTTATTGTCTTGTACCAGAATATATGACAAGTTTGAAAAGAAAAAAATATTGAAGATTCCTACCAGGGTGCATAGAACTCAACCAGGACATCCTTTGTTTCATCCAAGACAATGTCGTCAAAGTTATCTGAAGTTAGTACCACTACGCTTGAGGGAGTTGTAGCCATTTTCACATTGGTCCCTGAAAATAGAACATTGTAATGTCATTATGTGTTCACCAGACATCATTTGATATTTGGAAGCAAATCAAGGAAGACTTGTCTCTAACCTACACTAGAGATGAATTCTAATTCCTGCTCATAATATGTAATTTTTTTTTCCCCGGTAAATACTTATAATATGTAATTGGTCCCTGAAAACAGAACATTGTAATGTCATTATGTGTGCACCGGACATCATTTGATATTTGGAAGCAAATCAAGGAAGACTTGTATCTAATCTACACTAGAGATGAATTCTAATTCCTGCTTCTAATATGTAACAATTTTGCTTCCCCTTTGCAATACTTGCAATACCAATCGTGGCACACAACACGCCAAAAACATGAATGTATTAGAACTCTGTTCATTGGGTTGTCGTTTAAAAAAGATAGCAAGTTCAAAAAAACAAACATATATATAGTTTGATTTGATATATGTTTGATTGTGGTATCATCCTACAACTGTTTTCGTCATCAACCAAAAAAAGAGCAACAAAGTTGTATTATCCCAATAGAAGTAAAAATTAAACTTAGGTAAAAGGCTTACAAATGGAAACCTGAGCCAATAATTTCACTAATGGAACGTAAAAAAAAAATATGATGATTCAACCTCAAGTTAAAATTTGACAGTGAAGGTATCATTTGCAAGAAGGCTAAAGAACAGTCTAGGAGTATGAGTTATAGAGTTTTTGTAGAATGAAGTGAAGGTTTAGGCAGTCTAATAAGTTCAAGTCAACTAAACAAAGCCTTCTCCAATGTATCAGCTGCATGAATCCTGATTTGTCATTCCGTTCTATCTAGGATTATAACCTTTGTTAAACGACGACTATGTTTTCTTTCATTACTACAACACATTTTTCTCCTAGTCTTCCCTGTTGGCTTATGGGGACCAGCATCCACCCTGTTACTTGGGGCGCCCCCTGTTAGCACGGGGTTAGCGTAGGGAGGACTAACCGCCTCCACCCATTGGTGCTGTATGGGCAGCATTGCAAAGCTCCTCATGTCCGCCCATCGCTTAATGTGGGGTTCTGAGCTGCCCTTTAAAAGATTAATTTGCGTGTCTTCCTTAACAGCTGATTTTAGGAGAGTTGGTAAGCATTTGATCCTAACATTTCCCTTCCTCTAGCATTACCCTCACATATGGACCACATTAATCTTTCTCACTGGTGCAGTTATTTATCTTTGTTGCACACGACCAAACCATCTGAGTCAATAATCTCATTTTATCTCCAATTGGTGCTACTTCAATTGTCTCATGAATGCAGGTCATTTCTAAAATAATGTGATAATATTGGTATAATTTATTTGCCCCTTTTGGTGATCAATGCAGAGAAGGTGAGACAAGACAACAAACGACAAAAAAACTGAAAGATAGGAAATGTAGATACAAAAAAGGATATGCGAATTTTGTATCCTACTCAACAGCCTCCTGAATTGGAAGAGGGAGATGAAGGGAATCTCAGGGTCCTCAGACGTTTCTCCTGGAAGCCCCATTCAGCTATTTTCTCTGTAAAGATCCATCAGATTTGCTTGAAAATCCCTCAGTTTGACTTAGCTCTAAGGAGATTCCTGATGTCTTCAACAATAATCTGAATGGAATAGTGGGTGACCTGGACAGCTCTAGTGGAAGCAAGAATCAGTGTTTGATTATCTCCTTCAACTAGCATGTTCCAAAAACCATGAATACCATCCCAAGAAAAAGCTAAGGGAGACGCACTAGCCTCTGTGCTACAAGAGAAGATCAAACTGCAAAGGGACTCATAAACGATATCGTATTAAAATCTTCCTTTTTATTGTTCTAGCAATGGCCATTTCACAGGCCATACCATCTTTTTTTTTTGATAAGTAAATTGTATTAAAAGCGTTCAAAGAGGGGAACGCGACCCAAACTATACAAAGACAAAACGGAGCCTATGAATTCAAAGAGCTCATAAAATCAACAATCTCCTCAAGAGAGGAGTAGTCTCTCCCCTGACCCCAACAAAACAAATTACAGATGATAGAAAATTTTAACACCCCAATGGAGGATTCCTTTCCCTCAAAAGATCTTCCATTACGCTCTCTCCAAAGGCTCCACCAAATACCAAAAGGGATCACCCTCCAAAAAACTCTGACCTGAGCCCCCACCCATTGGCCCCTCCACATATCTAACAACTCCCAAGATGTCCGAGGCATGACCCAATGAATACCAAACAGGCCAAACATCAAACTCCAACAATCATGAGCCACAGGACAGTGCAACAAAAGATGATCCACCGACTCCCCATTAATCTTGCAAAGACAACACCTATTAACAATGATATGCCTTCTCTTCCTCAAGTTGTCCAAAGTCAAAATCTTACTCCAAGCTGCAGTCCACACAAAAAAGGCCACCCTAAGAGGCGCCTTAGACCTCCACACCGTCTTCCATGGGAATGAGGTACCATGAAAACCAGAAAGGCACGCAAAAAAGGACCGGACTTTGAACATCCCCTGAGAAGAAGGCACCTAAATCAAGGAATCTGTCCCAGACCCCTCCACCTCCTGTCCGTAAAGAAGAGCCAAAAACCCAGTGACATCATCCAGCTCCCAATCCTGAAAAGCTCGCCGGAAACGCGCATCCCAAGACAACCTTCCGCTATCAAGGCGATAGTAGTCAGCAACCATTGCATGTTTGTCAACAGCAATCCTAAAAAGCCTGGGAAACAATAGGGCCAAAGGCCTATCATCACACCATGGATCCTCCCAAAACCGGACAGTTCTTCCATCCCGAACTCTGAATCTAATATGTTTGGAAAAGGCATCCCACCCCTTACCAATGGCCCTCCACACCCCCACTCCGCTAACAGACCTGACTGGTCTAACTGACCACCCTCCTCTCTCCTCCCCAAAGCGACATGAGATAACCCTTCTCCATAATCTATGTCTTTCCTTACCAAATCTCCAAAGCCACTTACCAAGAAGAGCACAATTGAAAAGGGCCAATCTCCTAATTCCAAGCCCTCCCAACCGAATAGGTCTGCAAACCTGTTCCCATTTGACAAGATGATACTTGAACTCTTCTCCGCGACCCCCCCAAAGGAAATTACGTTGGAGCATTTCTAGTCTTCCAACAATAGAGGCTGGAATACGACAAAGCGAAAGAAAGTACGTTGGAAGGCTTGACAAAGTGCTCTTCACTAACGTAACTTTACCGCCCTTTGACAGATATTGTTTTTTCCAACCCGCCAATCTTCTCTCGACCCGCTCAATCACCGGGTTCCAACTTCCCACCCTCTTAGCCGAGTCCCCCAGCGGCAAACCCAAGTACGAGATGGGAAAGCGTTGCGTCCCACATCCTAGAACAACAGCCAGAGTGTCCACCTCCTGAACGTCCCCCACAGGAACAATCACACTCTTTCCCACGTTAACTTTCAAACCAGAAACAGCCTGGAAACAAACCAAAACACATCTCAGATACCTCAACTGGGAAATATCAGCCTCACAAAAAACAATAGTGTCATCCGCAAAAAGTAAATGAGAGATCTCCAACTGCTGAACTGATTCAGGGCCAATCTTGAAACCCCTAAGAAAACCCAAATCCACCGCCCTTCTCATCAGCCTGCTAAGGGCCTCCATAACAATAATAAAAAGAAAAGGGGAGAGAGGATCACCCTGTCTCAACCCACAAGAACTGCCAAAGAACCCCGAAGGAGAGCCATTCACCAACACCGAAAACCTGACAGTGGAAACACAAGAAACAATCCACTTCCTCCATCTCTCACCAAAACCCATCCTCTCCAACAGATAGAACAGGAAATTCCAGTAAACATGATCATAGGCTTTCTCAATATCCAGCTTGCACAGAACACCAGGAGTCCTACTACAAAGTCTAGAATCCACACATTCGCTAGCAATAAGAGCGGAATCCAGAATCTGTCTACCCCCAACGAAAGCATTCTGAGACTCAGAGATAACTCCATCCAGGACCTCCCTCAATCTAAAGGCAAGGACTTTTGCAATGATCTTGTAAATGCACCCGATCAGACTAATGGGTCTAAAATCCTTGATATTAGAAGCACCACCCTTTTTAGGAATAAGGGCAATAAAAGATGCGTTAAGCGATTTCTCAAATCGCCCCGTGGAATGGAACTCATGAAAAGTGCCCATAATCTCGTACCAGACCACCTCCCAGCTTTCCAGCAAAAATCTCATCGTGAAACCATCAGGACCTGGAGCCTTATCACCATTGCAACTCTTTAAAGCCTTCAGCACTTCCTCCTCTGAAAAAGGATTTTCCAGCCCATCTCTCTCCAAGGCAGAAATAGAATCGAAGTGAAGACCATCTAGACGAGGTCTCCAACGAAGAGGCTCAGAATAAAGTCCTTGATAGAAAGAGACAATAGCACTTCGCACCTCCTCCTCCGAAGACAAAACTGCACCATCCACACACATCCGCCCAATATGATTACTCCTCCTATTAGCATTAGCAGTTCTGTGAAATAACTTCGTATTACGATCCCCCTCTTTGAGGAAAACTAGGAAGTATAGCAGATTTATTTCCAACTCTCACAGAATAGAATATAGGTTGACCTGAATCTTCTCAATAGCAACTCCATTGTGCCAGAAATAAATTTAATCCATGAGAGAGGTAGCAAAGGACATAATCTAAGCAGATTTGGGAATTGGCCTTCCATAATCCAGACAATGATGATGAGGATAGGATATGACTAATCCAATCAGCTGCCAGAAGGTGTGAGAAATTCTCATCCTAAGTCCCCTTTTGAGAACCACAATACCTTTGTGGGATTACAGAGAAAGAAAAGTGTTGGGCTTTCTGGAGCCGTAACGTTTAAGGTGCATCGCATTGAATCAAAATGAAATCTGTTTGCAAGAGTACACCTGAGTGGAAAGGAATCAGAAGCTATTCTCCATGTCAAAACTACATGCTTTTCATGAGTTGTAGATTTTAATAACTTCTTCCAGGAAATGAATTCCAAGATCTAGGAGTACTCAAAGAATTTAATTTTAGAAGGGCGATTTTCTAGAGAATCACCTAATTTGGAAGTTGGAACATGTAAACAACTCTGGCCTATCAAAAATAGGAAGAGAGAACATTCTAATCAGGCTTATTGTTTCTAATCAAACAGGTAATGCAGCAATTCAACCTCTAACTGTGGCTATTATGATCAACACGGAGTTTCAGAAGGGGATTTTCACAGTTCATCTGGGCATAGAGAAGGCAGACGAAGAAAACAAGTGGAGAGAGAGATGGAACCAAATGTATTTCCTCACCTTATTGTGAGACCACTTCTGCTGCATATCACAATACCACCATAAACAATTTAGCCTATCAAGATAAGGAAAGACATCACTTTGATCTGTTTATTTATTCTTGATCAGAAAGGTGCAGCAGCAACTTGACCTTCCAACTGTGAATTCTATGTTCAACTGGGAGTTCTGTGAGAGGATATTTCACAGTTTACTGAGTGAACAAAAAAGAGGCTTATGAAGAAAGTAAAATGTAGATACATTGATAGAGAGAGAGAGAGAGAGAGAGAGAGAGGGTCGCATAGGCATAATACCACGTTATAACGAAAACATTTCTGTCATTTCAGAAAACAACCTATGGCAAAGGGCATCTTCATGTTACCAGCACAACTCCTTTATTAGAATCATCAGTGGGATCAAATAGTTTTTAGATTTGAGCTTTTGGGTGTTTCAAACTAGGTAAATGCTATAATAATTTTTTGGAGTACAAAAATAATAATAATAAAATCTGAGGGGCTTTGTGGCATTTCACCCTAAAAAATACAATGGCAGGTTTCTTTAAATTCAGGAAAAATCTGTTCATAAATACAACATTGAGTGGATCAGAGAACTCCAATTTCCAAAATATCTCATCTCTGCATGTGCTTCTGCAGCAACAAAAACAGTTAACTCCCTTTGGATTAAACAACACGCAGATCCCTCAAAGTATAATAAACTTGAGACCGCGGTCGGGATTCAAGCTATTCAAGATTCCAAATGACGCAAGATGGATATATGAAGGTCATTTCAAGCAATAGCAAAACTTTGAGCAACAGTTCCAAGGATAATTAAGGACATGAAACGTAATGTAATTAAATTCAAAAGAATTGGCTGAAATTGAAACCAATTGGCACACAATTATAACATGACAATTAATTCGGAAAAATATTAACTGTGTAATATAAATTACCTTACTCATGACAATGGCATTTATATTTATTATAAGGGTTAAGTGCAAGAAACACCCCTATATACAAAAGGTGTAAAAAACACCCTGCTGTTTCAATTTGTGCAAACAAGGACATTTCAATTGAAATGTCTGAAATACCCCCATAAAATTTTCTCCTCTCTCTTCAGATTCTCTCTCCCCCTTTCTCTTGCCACCACAGCCACCACCTTCTTTCTTTCTCTCGCCACCACCTTCCTCACCACCCCACAGCTGCTACCCCCACCGGCTCACCATACAGAGCTCGGTTGACATTGTTGTGAGCTTCTTCGGTCTGATCTTGAGCTTTGCCACCCCTTGAGTGGGTCTTTGCCATTGCTTGGGCACTTGACGATGTGAACTGGGTTTTGCTCCTTTGAGCTCACCGGAAATGATGGAAGATTTAGTTGGGCATTTGAAGATTGTTGAGCTTCAAGCACTGCCCCAAAAATGGGTCTGTAGAGAGAGAGTAAGTTACAGGGGTCAGACCGAAAATGAGGAAGTTACAGGGGGTGTGACAGCGGCGGCAACAGAGCCGAGCTCGGTGGTGGTCATTTTGGCAGAGGTGGGGGAATTGAGTTTGGCATCGTAGTGGAGGAGGGCGTCCAAGATGGGTTTGGGTACTGGCCGGCGGAGGTGGTGGTGGTGGTGGTGGTGGAGATGAGAGGGAGAGCAAAGGCGAGTGTGACGAAGGGGAGGAGGATGAGAATCCATTTAGAGAAAATGGGTCTGTAGAGAGAGAATCCATTTGGCCGCCATTGATGAAGCTTTCCGGTGGCTCTCTCTCGCCGGCATAACTTTGAGCTGACGTTCTTCATCACCATGAGAGAAAGGAGGACATTTTGGGATTTTTATAAAAACATTTGGTCAAAATTTGTGATTAGGGGGCAATTTGCTCATAAGAGGTATAATATAGGGTGTTATACGCACTTTTTTTTCTAGTAGGGGGTTTTTTGCACCTTTTTTATATAGCGGGGGTGTTTTTTGCACTTAACCCTTCTTATAAAGAAGAGGAATTCTCAAAATCTTACAAGAGCAACTCTGAACTATAAGGTCCAGTTTATTTATTTCCCATGCCTTCTCAACAATTGAATGAACATTAAGGGAAGAAGGATGCAAGGTCGCAAGAAACTTTAATTTCTATAAAATGTTGGCCGAGAAAAGATTTCATAAAAGTAATGACATCATTACATGCTGAAAAGTATACTTAAGATCATATGTCAAGATACATTCCCCTTTTTTGGCAAGTAATATGTCTGCGTGCCCCATTGACAGGGTACAAACTCTTCAAAGTTATATCGATCATAAGTAACAACTAGAATTTCATGCAAGAAGGCTAATGGATTTCTCATGCGCATAAGAAGGGAGTAGTTAAGTTTACCGGAAAAAAAAATTAAAATAAAAAAATAAAAAAAAAGCAGTTAACAATTTACAGGGTCAAACGTTTACCTCCTTGCGTATTCACATATGCAGCAAGGGCTTCAGCTGTACGTGCACCTTCATACCTAATAAATAAAATATTCCATTAAAGAGAACACAGATCTGTCAATATTTCCTCAAACGTTTTCATAATTAGAGAAGAGGAAAGGAAATAAGAAAAATATGAAAATTACATACACTCACTTTTCGGGCTCCAACGACCCTTTAGGAAACCATTTGATTGTGGGGTACCCAGCAACCCCATATTTGCTACAAACACTCTTGTGCTCATCACAGTCCACCTGCAATAAAAATCATCAAATTAAATATAAAGACTAAAGACCATCTAACTAATCTTCTCCGTCATAAAATTAATGAACTAAAGTGACCGATCATTTTATATTTTGTGAAAATTGTAGTTTTAGAAATCAATTCAAATGTAAAGACAACATATTCATAACAATGAAAGGGGAGATCCACCGATAATTATGAGTATTTATAATTTTACACAACGGTTTTAATATCTACTAGGTATGGGTAGACAATGAACCTTATGTCCAAGCCATGCCAGGGCTGCCACCAGCCCGAAAGAAAGTGGGGTTCAATTAATTACTTTGACTCTTAGAATAACATGATATTACAAGGTAAGGAGCATATATAAATGAAATTAAACAATTCTTGTACACGAACATTAACCTCGCAAACAAGTTTTCACTTAAGATATTGTTATCCATATTTAAGGGTTCTAGATAACAATGATGAAGGCATAAATTTACGTCTTTATTGTTAATGGAGTTTATAGAGTAGTAGAGTACCAATAGTCATAACAACACATAAATTTGACTTACATAAAAGTCCAAGAGCACCCTATCTAGTCCTGCCAACCTCATATTGACTGAGGTGGCAGCAACTATTTCAGAATTATGGGATGATGATGAGTAACAGCAAAAAAATTATCTAAGTTATGCTAACAAGTCGAGATTATAGCATTTCTCGGTGCAAATAAATAAGTCAATAAATAAAATCCATGAATGTGCATTTAAAGAATAGAAAACTTGTGGCGTACTGGTCAAATTCAGAATCAAATAGGAATGTTAGTTTATTATTCAACTGTTTGATTCACAAAAGAGGAAGAATAAGAAGAGGAACTAATTAAAAAGTGGAACTGTGATAATCCTTTCGGTAGTTCACCAAATTTCAAGCAAATGCTTCAATAGGAAGTTAAATTTTGTTGTATTATTATAATATATGTAAATTCCTTTTTTTTCTTTTTTCTCTGGCAAAGAACTCCCACAATACTCTTGTGGAGAGTTGGACTCTCTAACGCTATGAAAGGATAGAATGTACCCATATGCCACATGCATTGGTGGTATCATACATGTAAATTTCATGTTGTCAAATTTCAGTCAAGTTCAACAATTTGACAAAGTCAGATTTATGAAGCAAAAAGAAAATTTATACCCTGCTAACATTTTTGTTGATAATTATAACATGTACACATACAAGAAGCACAAATATAAGAATAGACAAACATAAAAGGAAATGTCTAGAGTACTAAGAGCTAACCTTTCCAATCAGAACTGATTTTGCCTTCTTGAAACTTGTAGCAAGCATCTCATACTCTGGAGCAAGCTTTTTACAGTGCCCACACCTACCAATATAACAGAAAATTGAATTTTTTTGCATCATGATGCCCAATAAAATAGGCATGTAATGAAAAAGCACATCAGAAAGAACTAAGAAGTAAAAAGAGTTTTTATAAGTTGAATGTCAATATTAATTTAGCATGTTTTTGTTATTACGTGCTCTTATTTTTTGAATCACCAACTTATACTTTCTATGGCATTTGAAAAGAAAATTCATGTCCAAAGTTGGGCTATAAGAAAAATGGGGAACTTAGATCATATTTCTTAGCTGTGTTATTTTTTTAGGTTTGCTCAAACAGGAAAAAATCACATGTTTTGAGAATATTAATGAGATAACTGCCATTTCTTAATCCAAAATTTATGTGAAATGTCAACAAGACCAATAGGTTATGTGATGGCCAAAACCCTCAAAACAAGAGCTTTTAGTAATGACTTGGAAGCACTTGACTGGAGAGTTTTGGGTATAAATATGTAGATAATTTTGGAGTATTAGGAGCTTACTCGGTTTAGATAATAACCTCTTAATGAACAAGAGGCAGAAAAATATCCACGGTCCCCAGAAATGAGACATGATAAAGAAATATGTAACCCTATAATAAAGGTAACATACAGTCTGAGACCATATGTTGGCATGTCCTGATTAATTGTCTTTCAGAAATGCCATGATCTATAGCACCTTACCATGGAACCAAGTTTGCAAATTAATAATGTATCTAATTACACAGTCAACCCTTGCATTTTCCTTATATGGAAAAAAACTGAAGCAAATATAAAGTATGTGGATTGAACACAGCCACATCTTAGGTAATATTTAATTTAACATTTCAATACCACTTTGTATGTTTTCCAAACCCGATAAAAATTAATCAAAAATTTTGCTTCCAAACGGCTATAAATATTTCAACAATGCTAACCAAATGAGCCTGTGACTACCAATATAAGAGAAAAATATGACTTCTATTAGTACCAAACGCCATATATATACATACCATACATATAAATATATATATAATATACTGTTTTACTGAATAATCAGGTCGTGTTTAATTAAATTGCAACACAAGCACTATAATCGAGCTTAAACACAAATCTTTCAATTAAACACTTTCATTTGACGACGTATTTCAACAAATCAAAGATGAAAACATCAAGGACGGGACTATCAGTCAATAATGCATCGATCACTGTCCTGAATTCTAAATTCCAATAAATTTCAAACACAGATATTAAATACAAACATACATACATACATATATATAAAATATATATATGTGTGTATATGTATAATTTGAATATATAATTGTTAATGGAATTTTCTTACCAGGGAGCGTAGAACTCTACGAGAGCGCCTCGATCTTTACCAACCTCATTCTCGAAGCTGTCTTCAGTCAAAACAACGACGTCGCCCGCGAATGCCGATGAGAGGAAGAACAAAGCTAGGGTTACGAAGCCAAACCAGATCGCTGATCTCAACATTTTTCGAGCTAAAACTACTTTTTCTTCTTCTTCTTCCTGGAAGTTGGACTCTGGTGGTATTTATAGTCATCCCATTTTGGTTGCCATTTCTCTTTCATGAATAAAATAAACCACTTCAATTTCGTCGAGAAAATAATATAACAATAATAAATAAATAAATACTGTAGTAAATATTAGGATAAAGCCGCAAAAAATTATCTAATTTGCAAATAGTTCATTCAACTATCATATTTTGTTGCAAAATCCTCGAATGTCTATATTATTTTTTTTAAGATCATAATATCCTTTTCTTATTGAAGTAAATTGAACTATTTTAGTGAATAAAAAATAAATATAAACATATTTGATATTATAATTAATATAAAATCACAATATACACACGTATATAGTTTAAAATTTTGTTTTCCATTTAATTATATGAATATATAAGAAAGTTTAAAACCGTAGAACATAACTAAACCAAACCAATTATAAGTGGTTTGGTTCTCGATCCAGTTTAGTTCTAATATTTATAAAATTATGGAAAGTGGTTTGTTTTGATTCAATATAGAACAAGTACCTTGATAATACAAATAATATATTCATATGTATGTTGCACCTCCACATAATCATAAATATATATGTATAATTACACTGACCTGTTCTGAAGTTTGGGCAAATTATACATTGCTTAGATTTGGAGAATATATTAAACGACACTCACTCCCTATCATTAATAAAATTTTAAAAAATAATTAAATTATCATTTCTTTGTATTAAAAGACCTCGGTAACTTTATATTTTATCACTAAATAACAAAAGTACCAATTTCATATTATTAAATTATATATATATATATATATATATATATATATATATATATTTGTTAATGGCTTTTGATTAGGTTTCTTTTTTGGGTTTGATTAGTTTTATTTTATTTTAAAAAAATAAAATAAAAATTAGGTAGAGTAATATAGTGTTTACAATAAGGGGAAAAAAATAGATAACATTGTCTTTTAGTTTGACAATTTTTTTATTAAATTATATAAGAGTATGAAAGACATTTCGCTTTTTTACGAGAGGTTAATATAATAAATGTCAATCGCTATATCCGCGTGTAATTTATCCAAACCTTAAGTGAGGTTAGTGTTGTAATCGGTTGCTGAAATGCAATTGTTATAAAATATTATGAAAAATAAGATTAATAATTAAATAATTGTCCTAACCTAATAATTAAAAGATTTAATGAAAATAAGTTGTAATTTTTTAATATAGAATAAAGTGATAAGAAATAGATTTAAAAAAATAAATCTAGATAGAGAGATATGACTTACGATGTTAGAATGTAGTGAAGAAAGAGAATTCGGATGGTAGATCTCAATTAGTACAGAATAAATTCAAGATGATAATATGGGCACTAGACATGAATCACATATGTTGGGAGCAAAGCAAATTGATCAGGTATTAATTTAATATAATGCACATTTGATATAATAAAATAAAAAGACAAAATGAAGTTTAATTTTTAATTAGAATCTAAAGAAGAACGAAAATGAGATGAGAGAGATATTTTGATGAAGATAAATTCGCCCTTAAATACTATTTTGATTAATGCAATTTGAATAACTTAATAAAGTAAGTTTTATTTGGTTAGATGGAAGGAAAATAGATTTAATTATAAGGCATTTTTATAGGAAAGAAAAAGTGTTTTATTAATTTTTGTTTGTTTGAATGGAAGGAATAGTATAAAGGGACAGAGCCGGGATGTAAAGTACCGGGGGTAAAAATGAATTTTGGAGGGATAATAATGTATTTTTTTAGCAATTTCAGAGGGGCAAATTTAATGTATCATGGGTATATTACTGAAAATGAACAAATTATAATGGTAGATTACTAAATAAAATAAAATAAATCAATGGAGGCAATTGCCCCCACCGACTTGAACGTAGCTCCGTTTATAAGAATAGATGAAGTGACATACTTTCTTATTTTTTAATCGGAAGGAAGGGGATAAAAGGTAGGCAAAAGTGAGAAGAAACACAAAAATAAATAAAAATAAAAATAAAATCCCAACTAACTCATGTACTGTCACAAAAGTAAAAAATAACTTTGAACTATCTAAACATAGCAAAAAGGACCCTTTCGATCATCGAATCACATTTTTCGGTATCGGTTGATTCGCACGCTTATGTATTTTCATGTAATATCCAAATTACCCTTTCAAATGATTATTATTACCCTTTCAAAAGTGCAAAAAAAACCCTGAACTGTAAAAAAAAAAAAAAAAAAATAACCCTTTGAAGTATTTCTGGTTGCAAATCAAATCATGAACTATACAATTTATTTTTGTTTATTATTATTATTTGAACTATTTTTTATAATTTATGAGCTTTCATAAACTGTTTGTAGGTATATAATAGATCCATCAAACAACTAATCAAGTAATTTATTTTTGTTATTATTTTAAATAATACTCCCTCCATCCAAAAAAACTTGTCCGTATTTCTTTTTATGCTGTCCAAAATAATTATCTACTTTCCTTTTTAAACAATATATTTCACATTTTTCCACATTTATACCCTTAGAGTTTAAAATTTCAAAGTTGAATATTTAAATAAAGGCGACATTCCTACTCCACTTTTCTCCAATTGCATTCCACTTACCTTTTTCTTTTAAAAAAATGATAAGAAAGTCATTAAATTCATTAATGTATCATCCCTTATTTTATAAGAGCTGTCTAGCCATCTGTTAAAATATTATTTTGTGTAAAATATAGACTGTCACGTATAATGTGTAATTTTTTTTTAATGTCCGACAATCTATTAAGATAAACTTGTTAGTGTATTTTACACCACTTTGTAAAATTGTTAGTGTATTTTACTCCACTTTTTACATAGCCACATCAATATATTTCATTTTCTTCCATCTTTTTCATTCCATTAACCAATCAACCCTATATTAAGTAGGTTTGTAAAATTATGTGAGTCCAAACATGAAACTGATTGATTGTTATTGGAGGATATATTTTTACACAAAAGATATAAAACAACCGCTAAAATTAAAAATAAATAATCCAAATTTTTTGTATAAATCTATTATGACACAATAGATAATTTATTCAATAGTGATTTTTTTTTTTGGTACAAATAATTTATTCAACAAAGTTATCTTTTGTTACAGTCTGGTCAAAAGAGTTAATATATATATATTTTTGATAATTTTTAATGGGTCCTATCAAAATAAATATTTTATTCAATAGAAATAACTTCTTTTTTTTTTCTTTTTTTGGCTTTTATCAAAAGAGAAAATTTATTCAATATATATATATATATATATATATATATATATATTTAGGTTTTTTTTTTTTTTTTTTTTTTTTTTGTCAAAAGAGATAATTTTTTTAATGGTCACTATTTATTTATTTTGTTTGTTTTGGTCCGATCAAAAGAGGTAATTTATTCAACATATATATATTTTCTGTCCTGTTAACTAACTGCTAAGGGTTTTTTTTTATACTTTTGCCTAAAAGGTATTACATATTTTTAGGGTAATTTTTCTTTCTTTTCCTCTTGTCTTCGTCCAATTTTGAATGAATAAAAACTTTCACAAAACATAGACTACGAGGGTTGCTACCGTTGCTTTATCATTTTTGTTACATTAGGCTCCCTGTATGCATTGAAAGATTTTGAGGAATTTGAAAAAAAAATGACAGTGCCCTCGGTTTGTCTTAAATGGAGATAAGAGAAGTGATTGAGAGAGATTAATGCTATGTTTGGTTTAGTCGGGAAAAAAAAAAAAAAAAAAAAAAAAAAAAAAAGAAAATAAAAGAAGGGATAACCATTAATAAAAGAAAAAAAAAGAAGGGAAAAGTTATTATGTTTAACTGAAAAAGAAAAAAATATGTTAGAAATCACGTTTGAAAATAAGAAAAGAAAAATAGAGAGATGAAATGAAATTATTTTTTAATAAATTTATTATCACACACACACACACACACACACATATATATAATAGATTTTAATAAAGATAAAGATAAATTTAGTATTATTAATAATAAAATTTCCTACCCGAGAAAATTAGAATTGAAGGGGTGTTGCGAGAATCGAACTCGCGGCCTCTCGCACCCGAAGCGAGAATCATACCACTAGACCAAACACCCAACCGCTTGTATGAAATTAAATAACATATAATTATTTTAAAAAACAAAATAAATCCATCCATTTTTTTTTGGTTCTCTTCTCCTTCATCAGTTCTATTGCATTGGCGACTTAACGCAATTAGGGTTTCGTTAATCGCCCTTTTGGCCCCAAATTTGCCACTTCAATCTTCATCACTACGTCTTTTTTTCTCTCTCTCTCAACTCCATTTCATGCTGGAACTGATTATCAATCCCTTGTTAATTAGGGTTTGAAGTTATAGTTTCAGTTAATGAATTCAATTCGATTATTGTGAAAATCTTGTCAATATTGTTCAGGTCACTGTGTAATTAGGTTGTGATTCTGAAGCAATGGCTCAGCCGAGCAACAATGTAAGCTCACACTTTTTACATACTTTCTTTTATATAGTTATACCAATGTCTTTGTATGTATGTTACGTTCACATTAAAGTTACTCGACGCGATTGATATAAATAAATATATATGTATATATATCTCATGTACTGTAATTGTTACAGAGTGTTGGAGTCGACAACACGTTTAGACGGAAATTCGATCGAGAAGAGTATTTGGAACGTGCTCGCGAGCGTGAACAAAAGGTTTTTTGAGCGCCAATTTATTATATATATATATATATATATATGTCGAAATAATATGCCATTTTTCCTATTTTATTTTGTATTTACTCAATTAATTCATTACTGCATTCTAATGTAGGAGACGGAAGGGCGTAAATCCAAATGTAAGTTGATCCCTTCTATTATTTGTCTACCTTGAATTTTTTGGTTTTCTTTTCTTATCCCATCTTTTTTTATTTTATTATTATTTTTATTTTTATTTTTTTTTATGTATATATGTAGTGTATCCATTTGATAGATGTGTCTTTGGTTGAATTTGAAGTGATGGGTTTGTGTTTTGAAGTGTTTTAACATTTTTAGAATGTGCAGCAAAAGGTCCTCCAGTACAAAGGAAGCCTTTGAAGCACAGGGATTACGAAGTGAACCTTCAATCTCGCCTGGGAAAGACACAGGTTAGACACTTTATTTTTATTCATCGGAAATTGTTCTGTTAAGTAACTGGGTAATGGGTAATTTGGGATATTGAATTGCATTGGGTTTTTGACTGTAAACTTTTGGTTTCTTTTCCATAAACATTTTGTTGGTGTTATGGAGTGGTAGAGGCTTTTCTGCATTGTACTATTATATGGAGTGGTAGAGGCTATGTCAATCTTAAGATATTGAAACATCTTATAGACTTCTTATAGTGAATATATCGGCCTTCAGGCTTTTGCTATTTGTTTGACTTTTTTCACATGGTTCGTGACTTCAATGTATTTACCTTCATCTTATATATATTTTAAATTTTTTGGCAGGTTGTTACGCCAATAGCACCCCTAAGTCAGCAGGTATTCTCTACACACATTTTAATTTGTATCTTCTCATAATTTGGTACTGTTTAGATAACTATATGTTTTTTTTTTTTTTTGATAAGTATTTAGATAACTATATGTTGATCTATGATTGGTATTAATATAGACCAAAGATTATACTATATTTGATTATTCTCTCCATTCTTTAGATTTTATCAACATTGAAATTATGCATTTTAAAAATTTGTCTTTATTGTTGATCTGGTCTTTTATTTATTTATTAAATAACAGAAATGCTGAAGTGTCTTTGAAATCAACCTTGTTCACTATGATAAAACTTGTTTAGACTTTAGATGTGTGACTTCTAAGAGATTTGGGCAAGTTCTGGAGAATGGTGTGAATATTTAAGCAGTGGACATGCTTGGGATTTCATTTTGCTGGTTTTTAACTCGTAATTTAGTCATTTTTTGGGCCAATTGAGTTATGGATTTATGAAATATTGATTGCATAGTCAATAGCTCAACTAGGTAAGAATGATACTCTGTTCCATATTATAGTGGTCTTGGTTCAGTTTAAACTTTACATTTGAAGACTTTTTGACCCTTGAAGCATAGGCTTGCAAATGAGCTGAGCTATTCACAACTAGCTCAGGCTATGTTCACTAACAAGCTCTTTCATGATCATATATTATCTAAAACGAGTCGAGCTTGAGCATCAACTTCGAGAATGTTTGCTAAGCAATTAAAAGAAAGGAGGGGGGAGGGGGTAGGATGGGATCATGTATCATTTCCATGTTTCTGTGTTCTTTCTGCTATCCCTTTATTTGGGATCTTTTTTCCTCCTTTTTCCCTCTTATGATATCTTTGATGAAATGGAAAAAGAAGGAAAGAGGTCGTTGTTGAAGAGTATAATGCTAAGGGGAATCATTGTATTTTTTCCTGAATGGATGGATAATCATTATATTTATATTAGCCTATTAGGCAACAGTAGATATATTTGGCAGATATGGGTCATATGGCTGATTGACGTCCTGTTCAACTCACAGAAGGTGGCAGCATTAGACGATCCTAGTAAGAATATTAGTAAATTCAACAATATTATTTTGCAACCTCAAAATAAGTGTAATATTAGTAAATTCAACAATATTATTTTGCAACCTAGAAATAAGTGTGCTGCTATGTGGTACAATATGTGTCGTGCATAACAGAAGATCTGGACTCTAACCGATCCAGTCACCTCCACTGACCCACATGCTATAATGCCAATATACGGTGCAATGGAGGGGCAGTGAAAAATTTAATGCTTGTGTGAGAAAAAGGAATCATGGCAAAAAACATTATATGGTGCAATGTAGGGGCAGGGTGGTGACTGGTGAGCTGTGATTGTGATTCCTCATGGGCTGACCTAGTTTACCACTATGCTAGGTGATCGTGGTACATAACCAAGTAATGGCTGAGGTCATGAGGTCATGCACTTGTGATACCCCCTAATTTTGGAACACGGATTGATCAAGTCCGCGCACAAAATCAAGGGATATCAAAACAATTTAAGTATTTAACAAGCACAGAATACAAAGAAGAATAATAAAGAATAAATAAACCGCTGAAGAAAACTAATAAATAAATATTACTTAATGATTCTCCAACAATTACAATTCGGAAATCCCATAACTCAAGGACCCCTTAAAACATTATCCAATAATCCAATACTATTTAAAAGTACACAAGATGAATAGACGAATGACAGTCTCCCAGCTGCGGATCCTCAACCTCGAGACTGGAACCTCTAATAACCTGAAAAATAAATCGTGGGTTAAACCCTACGAGCAAGTTCACTCTACCAGGCCTCTGAAAACCAATAAGCAGATCATCTCTGATCAAAACCAAACCTAATAAAGTTTTAACTTTAATAAAGCACGATATACATGTCTATATATAATTATATATACTATACTAATCACATCCATTAATAGGTTTATTAAATCTAGCACTCAATAAAATAAAATAAATCATTGAAAAATAAAATAAAATAATTAATCCTAATTAATAAATCTTTTAAAATTATCGGGGTATTACAGCACTTGTGATTGAGATGGTGTTGTTCTTTGTGTGAATTTAGCATTAGTATGTATATAAATATTCTCAAAAGTGAAAACAAAGCAGCGTAGAGTTAAATGTCTCTATTCTGTCTTGCAATTTGTCATCCTTGGTATGCGACAAAATCAGTTCTTTTGCAGGCTGGATATTTCTGCTCAGTTTGTGAATGTGTTGTAAAGGATTCTGCAAACTACTTGGACCATATCAATGGAAAGAAACGTATGTTGCCATCAATATACAAACTGATTTCTCTTGTTTCAATGAACTATACTAGTCTGATTATCATTTTCTTGTGGTTCTCTCGATTTCTGTTCTGTAGATCAAAGAGCTTTGGGTATGTCTATGCGGGTGGAACGTTCGTCTCTTCAGCAGGTACACAATTATAAATTTTTGTATGTTTCTTTTGGAAATGTGGATAGTTAAAGAACCAGATCAATAGAATAAAGCCGAAATCTTACAATCTGATGAATGAAACGATCTTTTATTTGTAACAAGGACCATGTATCACTATTGCCAGCTGTTATTCGATGATGTGCAATTTCACATTAAATTGGTATATTTGGTTTATTAAAGTATTTTTTAAATTGATGGCAAATTAATGATGATTATATGAATTGCTTGCAACCCCCGTTGAACGGGCTTCAGAATAAAGTTATCTTACGGCCAATAAAATGATAATGGGATGTTATCTTACCCCCATTTGGGTCATGGGCTGCTCATTTGGCCCTCTTTTGCATATGTTAGGGCACAACCTGTGGGCTTAATGTCTGCCTTCTCATTTAATCGATACATTGGGCCGTCTAGAGAACATCAAATCACCACTTAATTGGCCATATGATAACCTTATTCCAAAGGGATTTAGCAGGTCATAAACAAGGCATTTGATTGGCATACGAAATCCAACTGGTTTCTCTATTCACAAATTTCGGGAAAAAAAAAAGAAAAAGAAGAAAAAAAGAAAAAGAAAAGAACAGAACATAATAGCTAACAAAACATCCCATCCTTTGGGGATTTTAGAATTGCCACTGCCACAGCTACGGCAGTATAGATAATTGGTGCCCCAACTCAGTCATTGAAGATAACATTGTATAGTCAACTCTGTAATAATAAATAGTTGTGGGAGACACTAAATTATTCATCATCATCCTTGACGACTCCTATATGAATGGGGCTGGCCACATGAATTCTCTTTCTCCATTATTTTCTGTTACAAACCATTCTCCTAATTTATTTACTTTTAAAAATCATATATAATATCATCCTATGTTAGTTTTGGTCAAACTCTCTGTCTTTTACCTTCTCTGCAAATTAATTACTCTTCATTTTCTTTCTATTGCATCCAGGGTCTCCTTTGTACACATTTATACCATCCTAGTTTACTTTTATCTTATTTAATCACTAGTACATGTTGATTATTAACTTTATCTCTTCTAAACAATTTTTTTTTTTTTTTCATAATTGGTGTTGGTATTATAAAAATGATAAATCTTGATGTACATGAGCACATAGGGCATTCCCTCAGATTAAAAGCCAAAATAAACTAAGTAATGGAGTAGGCCCATTTCCAATACAATACAAAGGGTAAATAAACAAAACCAAAGAAGAATACAATAGAATTATTAAGTAGCTGGTTTTCTACTATTATTGTTAGTTAAATTTTTTTTTTAAAACTTCTGACATAAAAAGAAAGAGAACATATTTATTGTTAGCATATATCAACCATTTTATACATCAAAGACAAAATGATAATGCAAATCCTAACTTAAATACTAGTAAGAGGCCGGATTATAATGTTATTGCTTGGTGCAATGATAATTTAAACTGATAGGTGAGAATGCATGTTTGAGCCTCACAATAGCCATTTGTGAAAAATAATATCAAACGTTAGGGTCTGTCTCTAATTTTGCCTTCCCAGCACCCTACGTATATGGGACATACATTGGGTAAATGCACTTTTGGGTAACTTTCATTCTGATAAGTAATAACATTATAGAGCTTTTCTACAACACTTGAGCTATAAAGAGGTCCTCATATTGCACATTTGCTTTTGGGACATCGGCAAAGATAAATACGTACACAATTAAACATGCGTGGTAGTTATCTTATGTAGGAAAAAACACTTCAGAGTATCGTAGATTAGATTCGTGCCAAGATTGGGAATTTGGTAAGAAGAAGCTGATGCCTCCTTGCCCTAATGTATATGTGGAATTTCTGAAACTGGCAATTACAGGAGTGGCTATATCTTGGAGATATAATTGGCAAAATAAGCTAATTTCATTGTATGATTGTTATTCACTGGACCCATTTTCTTGCTTATATAAAACATTCTTTCTTAGTTTTGGAAAAGAAATGAGTAAATGTTAAATGCTAGTTCATTTATGCTGCACAGGTCCAGGAACGATTTGAACATCTCAAGAAACGGAAAGATACCGGCAGTTTTACTGAGCAAGGTAAGACTTAAGAGAATGAGGCCTAACTAATATCCTAGGTCGTTGAAATCTAAGGTTTGGTTTAGTTCAGAGGTTTACTTAATGATTACTGTATATAATATTATTAATTGTCATTTCTTTGTTGAATTCCTTTTCATTCAGATTTCAACTGTTTCTCTACCTCATCCATGACCACGTCTTGAAGCTATAAGAGGAAAAAGGAACGGAAAATTGATCCAAGTACCCTTTTCTTTTTGTAGATTTTGATGAACGGATCCTAAAACAGCAGCAAGAAGAGGAGGAAAGGAAGCGCCAACGTCGAGAAAAAAAGAAAGAAAAGAAGGTTGGTACCATGGCATGGGTTATTGGAGTCATTTTTTTTTTTTTTTTTTTTTTTTTTTTTTTTACTTACTTTTGAGGGCTTTTAAATTCACAAGCTTAAACGAACAGGGAATATAACATTCTCGTGCAAACTTAGGTGAAGTTTTTTGGGTGAAAGTCATGCGGATTTCCAGTAAGATACAATATCACATTTGAGCCTGTCAGTTCAGCACTAATGCCTCTGAAAAAACTAAAGGAAAAGAAAAATGAAAAGAAGCGAATCGGTAGTGTCATTTGAAGGGGCCAACAAGTGAATTTGACTGAGCTGGCCATTCAAAGTATTTTGAACTTTTTCCTCCTTTCCCTTCTTTCGAATGACTTTTAAAGTAATCTCTCTTTCTTTCATTTCTTTCTCCCTAGAACAAGTCAGTCCCCTCTTCTTCATTTATTCTTTAGAAACAATTCTTGGTTCCTCTCTCTTCAATCTCTCTCTGTAGATAAGAGTTTTTTCCCCTCTCCGTATTTATCTTCATTTTATCACACTCCAAATCGAGAATGGTTACAACCATGAAAGGAACTCCAATATGGACGATGTCCATGGTTCTTTTTCCTTTCGAAAGAAGAAGGGAGGGGATCGTTATTGGTGCTGACTGGACTGTGTAAACATGTGGCCTAATAATCCAGTTGTGGACCTTCGAGGGAGGGGAGGGATCTCTCTATGGTGTAGGTTGTCTCTGTTTGAATGAAAAGGGATCGTCGTTGGTGCTGGCCCGATAAACCAATTGGTGACCTATTTATCAAAACAAATATATATATATATATATATATATATATATATATATATATAATCCAATTGGTGACCTCTACAGATAGATATGTCTATTACAGATAACCGAACCTCCTATTTATCCAGTATCTGTGTGTCTTTAAAATTTATTTGTATGTGTTAGAAGTTCTCTTACCTAGTTCATAATGGTTCTTTTTTTATGTATATTATGATCAGCGAGAGCAGACTGCAGAGGAGGAAACTATAGACGACCCCGATGTTGCAGCTCTGATGGGGTTTGGGGGATTTCGGTCGTCTAAAAAGTGATTGTGCTCGACTCGTTGTTGTATGAGAAGCGTTTGATTTGCCCAACCGCCCTTCAGAGCCTCTAGAAGGTAATGTTCTGCAAGAGGCACATTAGTTTAAACCTCACTGCCTATTAAAAATAGTAACTCACAAATTTTGATTGTGTTCCTATTTAATTGTACAGATCAATCTCCACATTCTATCTTCAGTTCTTGTACATTTGTTGTTACTGGAAATGTTACTGAAATAAATAGTGTTCTTATTCTCTACTTTGCCAAAAATATTGTATTAGTTTATGATTTTGTATGCTTGTGTTGGGCAAAAGGAGCGCTCGGTTTTGATGGCATGGTATGTGAAATTGTGAATGTGGAGATTGGATCGGAGATGTTTACCCAAAACCTGAAATTGTTGCATTGGAATCGAAGAAAATTTAGTTTAAACTTTGAATTAATTTTTCTCCAGAGGTATAGCCAACTGTTACACCGTGTCATCGTTGCAACGGTTGTAATGAATAATTTCTCGACTGGCTCTAATATTTGAATCCGATCTCTCAAAGCTATTTGTATACCGAAGGGTTTAGTGAATGGAACCAATACTTGACCTTACCCACTACATCAAATGAATATTAACCCCTTCGGTTATGCTCTCGGCTAGACTAGCTCTAATATTTGAATCCGATCTCTCAAAGCTATTTGTATACCGAAGGGTTTAGTGAATGGAACCAATACTTGACCTTACCCACTATTTCAAATGAATATTAACGGGTTTAGTGAATGGAACCAATACTTGACCTTACCCACTACATTAAATGAATATTAACCCCTTCGGTTAATGAATATTAACCCCTTCGGTTATGCTCTCGGCTAGACAAATAGATATAAATAGCTTTTACTCTGGGAATACAAAGTACCCTCGTGATGAACCTGGTCAATGAAGGCCAGACTTTTGGGATTTCTGCACTTGAAAGTGCATTGCACTCATTTGAGTGGTGCATGCACACTAAATTCATCATGTATAGAGAAATAAATTGCAGTATAAATGAAGACGACTATAGGCAGCCTCATATTCTTCTATAAATACCCCAACAATCTTCCCATATTTTTCATCACTTCCATTGTTTTCTCTCAACTGAATCACTAATTCCCTCTACAAGTTTGAAGAAAAAAAAAAAAAAGTACGATGGAAAGGAGAAACTGCTGCTCAGGAAGGAGCTATGTCTCAAGTCCTTGCTCTTCGAAGTCGGCGAAGAAGGAAGCAGTGGTGACACCAAAAAAGGAAGATGTGAAGCAGCCAGAGACAGTGAAGAAAGAATGTTGGACTTGCGGTACTGCTGGTGTGAGTGTTAAGTCTCCTAAGGCTGAGGTGAAGGAGTGTGTTGCTCTTAAGAAAGAAGAACCTGTGAAGGTTAATGTTGGGACTTAAGTAAATTAATTAAGATGATGCTTAAAGAAAGAAAAAAGGTTATGGGGGTTGACCTACACATACACATCTTTTTTTTTTTTGATGGATTTAGAGAAGTCTTTTTTGGCATTTTGTAATGAGTTTTATTTTTTTATTTTAATTTTAGTGGAATTTAATATGTAATGTTTTGGTATAAGGTGCCCTCTGGAATATTTATGAAGCCTAAAAATCAAGCTCACAAGAACAATGAGAGCAACCCTATTGTTCGGACTACGAAAGCGTTCTCACATTGCTTGTATTGTTTGTAAAACTTTTTTTTCTTAGGCAATAGTGACTATCAATGTTTTTTGAATAATAATAGAGGAATCACCTAAGAATAAGGAATGCACAAAGATATATGAAGGAAGACGCTTGAATTCTAGCCAAAAAAAAATAGTTTATCAGAAATTTTACTTCAAATTTCTTTTAAATAAGGAATAAGTATGATGTGGCTGTTGAATATATATAAATATTCAGAATAATTCTCTTAATTCCCTTTTCCTCTAATACTTTTTCAATACCAATAAAATTTTAGCAAATTCTACACATAACACTCTTTTGCAATTGCTAAAATAGTTGGGTACAACTTAAGTCGCACAATTTTTCTAAACGAGTGTTGTTCTTACGTTTCGTGACGCTTTTGTTTACTGTGTGAGACTTAAAATTTGTTGTTTTTGCGCTTCCGCTCTGAGTGACTTAAAGTACAATAATAACAAAATAAACTCAGACATGAATAGCAGGCGTATGATTGGATTGAGAAGTCCATCTGAATTGATTGTTTCATTGTACAATTATCTGATTTTTCGATATTAAAAAATTGAACCAAACAGAAAACTAAATTTAGTTTGGATTCTTACCACCTATATTCGTTTAGTAGGAAAATTGTCCTAATCCGGATGCAACCTAATTTATTATTCTACTGTTGATATATGGGATAAAAGGTTAGGTTTATTATCATTATTATCTGTATTATCTGTATTATAGTTCTAGTTCTCAGAGTCGGCTCAATAAAATGTCAATTAAAGTGCAGGCCTAAGGCAAAACTTTAGGTTTTCAATTAAAAATTTGGCAAAACAACTTAAACTTTTGAAAATTTAATAAGTAATAGATATCTAGTTTCTCCTTATTTGGTTTAAATTTATTGTTGTTGGCAAATTATTAATCATTCCTCAGTCTAAATTCTTTATTTTAGTACATTATACAAATGCAAAATTTCACAATTCAGATTATTTGAGGTTATTGGCAACAAGTTTTCAAATAACGAGTGAGAAGAAGTATAGAAGATGAAAATGTATCAACAAATGAGACCTAAGTTGAACATAATAGCTCTGTTATAGCATATACTGACGACTTGAAACATACCTAATATTTGATATTGATATTTTACAAAGTGACTGCTTCGAAGTTTGAAATCTCGCCATTGACACTTGAACTTTCCAACCAAGCCCTTGTCAATAACGTGGGAACGTAATAATATGGATGGTCATGATCATTCACATTTGTGGGTGGGTCCCACATGTGTGAGATCCCACAATATGGATGGTTAGGATCATTTACACTTGTGGGTGGGTCCCACACGTGTGATATCCCATTTCAATATAACATTGGTCTATCAACATCATGGCAAGACATGAACGATTAATGTTATCGAAAACTCATTCTAGGGATCTGTTATAATAATTTTCATTCTCCTGAGCCTAAGCAAGCACACTAAATATCTATTTGAAATAGGAGGTGCCCTTGTGACTTTGTGAAGGGTCAATGAAGGCTTGACTTTTGGGATTTCTGCACTTAAAATTAATTGCATTGCACTCATTTAAATGGTACATAGAAATTGTCAATAAAGTGGGTTAATATTTCTTTTGGTGGACTAATAGCAATAATAATTTTTTTTTTTGACTAAGCTAAAATTAGGTATGGTAAAAAAAAAAAAAAAAAAAAAATTGTTTTGGGGTGGGCTTGAGCCCATCCAAACCCTCCCCTAGATCTGAGATTAAGATTCATCCTATACAATGAAATAAAGAATATGAGCAGCCTTATATTCTTCCATAGATACCCCCAATACTCTTCCCAATCTTCATTCCATTGTTTTCACTAAACTGAACAATTCCTCTGCAAGTTTGAAGAAAAAAAGCTTAAGGAAGAGATGGAGAGAAGAAGCTGTTGCTTAGGAAGCTATGTCTCTAAGTCCTTGCGCTACAAAGTCGCCGAAGAAAGATGTGAAGCCAGAGAATGTGAAGAAAGAAGAAGGTGTTGTGGATGCCAAAGGTACCATGTGTTGTGGGACTGCTGGCCCTGGGGTGAAGACAATTGAATTATATGATAGGTGGCTTTGATATTACAAAGTAATTTGGTAAAATTAGTGTACTCAATTTAAGAGCCTGACTATCATTACATAATAGAGAAAAATTATAAATATGGAAAGAGAATAAAAATCAAATGCCTAAATAAAAGTTTAAACATTAGCCTATAACGAAGACCCAATAAATCTGCCACAATCATCATCGAGTCAACTTATAGATATAATTTTCAACAAATATTATGGCTGATGTTAAAAAACAACTGTTAAGAAGGAAGAACCTGTGAAGGTTAAAGCCTGTTTCAAGTAAATTAAAGAAGAGGTCAGTGTTTCAGCCACCAAACTTTTGCTTGTTTTGGAACTTTCTTTCTGGGTGTTATTCACGTGGAATTTAAACAACCTTGTAATTTGATTAATGAATTCATTTTTCTTCGATCTGTATGTGGACTGATATTGAGCTTAGTTACTAATATTTTAGGTGAAGCCCTCTTTGCGTGCGTGAATATATATATATATATATATATATATATATATATTATATTAGTTGTGAAAAAGAGACTAGTTTGTAAAGAAGGTATGAAAAATCTAGTTGGTTCAAAACTAAATGAAATAAAATATTAAACAAAGACTTCAAAAGATTAGAGGAAACTTGACGCGTAATAAAATAGAATAGAAAACTGTTATACATTTTATCAACCCAACCCAACCCAACCCAACCCATTTTCCTCTTTATTATCGTCTTTGGGCCCGCCCCATTTAGATGTCTTGGCCCAGAGAACCATTCTGGGAGATCAAATGCTCACTTGGCCCGTTTAAACATCTAGGCCCAAAAAAAAAAATTCATTTTGATACTAGAGGGCCAGAAAAGGAGCCCAATCAAAAAATATGAAAAAGGGTGGAGATACGGGGTGTAGATCGCCGTAACTCTCGTAGAATCAGCGAGCGCCCGACCATCTGAGCTACAGCCCCTTTATTGTTCAGGTTTGTTACAGAAAGATATTTCTATATAATATCATTCAATATGAAGAAAAATTCATGAAAAGTTTCGATTGCACCTACCACGTCTTCGTGCTGCATATTTCAATTCAAAAATTGTCCTAATTTGAATGCCATCTTTTAAAATAATTTTTACACTAATATACGGAATAAAAGTCGGATTATTATATATATATATATATTGTTATCCTAGCAAACTAGGGGAGGGGGACTCAACTCAAGTTCAAACCAACATTAATAACACCTAACGCGTATAGTAGCATGGCAAGACGTGGTAGGTGTAGTCGAAAATCAATTTAGGAAATACATGAAATTTTTAGATGGTTTTGATCTATTATCACTTGATGGCCTACTTCAATTCAAACTCTTACATTAAAAAAATAGGAAAAAATATTACATGGTCTGGACCAATCACAACTCGATACCGAGCAAATCTGTAAGTTTTATTCAACTTTTTAATTACTTATCCAATTGTAATTGACCGAGACTACATAATTTCAGACCATATAATAATTTATCAAAAAATAAACTCACAAAAGTATAATAATATATTATAGAGATACCTTTAACAGTAGTTTTGATTGGATTGGACCACTACATACAACCATCTAATATGTTAATAGTAATTTTGATTGTACTGTACCATTAGGTGAGAAATGGTCCACACTATTTAATAATTTATTGGGAATGCAGAGTAGCTTTATAAATGAAGGCCAGACCTTTTGGGATTTCTGTGCTATGAAAGCGGCACTCGTTTAGATGGTGCATGCATACTATATATATATATATATATATATATTGGTTCATCATGTATAGAGAAGAAATAAAGTGCAGTATAAACGAATAAGAATATGAGCAGCCTCATATTCATCTATAAATACCCCAACAGTGCTCTTCACCATTCTTCATCACTTCCATTGTTTTTTTCTCAACTGAATCAAAGAAAAAGTATTAAGGAAGATGGAGAGGAGAAGCTGCTGCTCAAGAAGCTATGTCTCAACACCTTGTGCTACGAAGGCGCCGAAGAAGGAACCAGAAAAGGAAGAAGTGAAGCCTGAGATTGTCAAGAAAGAAGTTGCTGTGGATGCCAAAGGGACAGTGTGTTGTGAGACTGTTGGGGTGAAGGCTCCCAAGGCTGAGGTTAAAGAGACTGTTAAGAAAGAAGAGCCTGTGAAGGTTAATGTTAGTATTGAAGTAAATTAATCAATATGGTTTAAATAAAAGTTATGGAGTGGTGGCCTACACATACACATCATATATATATATATATATATATTATTGATGGATTTAGAAGTCTTTTTTGGTATTAGTAATGGGTTTTATTTGTTTGGAATTTGATATGTAATAGTTTTTGTTTAAGGTTCCCTCTGGTATATATAAAGACTATCTATTCTTGGTATACGATTTTTTTTTTTTTTTTTTTCATCTCTCTCAATATCTGCAATCTACATGTCCACCATATTGTTCCTAACACGGCTCAAACACTTATGTCCATTGATCTTTATCAAACTTTTTTCTTGAACAACGATGATCATCTTGACACTTTTATTAAAACAAAATTTTAACAAATTCTACACACTAGACCATCAACAAAAACCACCCAACCATGAATACCACTAGGGCATAGAATTTGATTGGATTGAGTAGCCCATCTGAATTGCTTGTTTCACTTTGTATATAGTCTCCAACATTGAAGTTCCCTAGAACACATAAAAACAGAAGCTCTTAAAGAGAAAATAATAATAATAATAATAATGAAAGCATATTGTACAAAAAATAACTGCATTTTTATTTATAAAAAAAAAAATTGAGTGCTGACCTCTTTGGCTAGTGTAACTACATCCACCATGGAGAGTGTCTCTGATGTCGCGAACTCCGGCATTGTTGTAGAACAAGAAGTGAGAGACTATGTTATCGATGCAGTTGAGCAGTGATTGTGTTTCAGCTAGGCAAGGTCCATTGCAGAATCCATCAGTTGCTTGATAGGGAACATTTATATTCCCATTCTGGTCTAATCTATACGCGTCTTCGCAGCTAATATAAATCTGTAAAATCTCAGATTTGAGTTCAAGAATTAGTAGAAGCAAAAGATTAGATTAACAGTACTGGTATACAACACAAAGATGGTTTTGTAATTGCATGGTCACGCTAAGTTTAAATGTACCCTTCCATGTAATGTGATGTGATTTATTCATGTATTATATAAAAAATAAAAATAAAAATGTTAGATTATACTATATATTTTACTCACAAACTTATTATTGAAACACAACAAAGCTTTTGCAGCTATTTGTCCAGGATCTTCCTCTGCATTTCCTGTTCAAAATTGTTCAAACAAGAAAATCCTATAACAAAAGAGAAATGAAAAGGGAGAAGAGAACACCATCACATACATGTGTGTGTTCGTGTGTGTGTTCTACCTGAGTAACAACAAAAAACAGCAGCAAAGAAGAGAGTGAAGATGAAGTATTTGCATTTTGAGGAGATTGGGGTAACCATCACACTAGCTTTGGATAAATAAAAGAAAAGGATATCTTACTTGAGAATTAGCAAATGGACTGACTTTTGTTGATTTATATATGTTGGAATTTTAATATACTAATGTTAGTGATAGGCCAAGTAGGTTGATTTGGTGACAATTTCAATTCCAACCCATTACATAAAATGCCAATATGCCCTCCATTAGGCCTTTTTCATAACCATTTGTTAGCCCAACTGCATTGCCCTTGCACCATGATGTGGTGCACTGTGTTCGGTGGAATACTATAATTCAATTAGATAGAGCAATGTGAGAAAGAGTCTACATTTCATCCTCCTCAAACTTCGACTCTCGTATTGCAAGATTAAATAGGAAAACAAATCAAATACACACGGATTTGGCATAGTTCACTTAAAGAATTAAGGCTACGTCTACTATTGTAAAATTTTTACTACATTTAGAAAGATAGTACATAATATAGATAATTTAAAATGAATAAATAACGTGTCCTTGTGCACAAGGATAACATAATAAGTGCACAATATACCAAAATACTTTCAAAATTTGAAAATTTAAACTCTAATATATAACATTTATCAGGCTTCACACTACGTCGTGTACTTAGATTAGTTCAATTTATAAAATAATGTGGTAACAAGTAATGGATGAGGGGCACTTGACCAAATAAAGTAGGAAAAGAAAGAGTAGATAGTGGTTAGCTGTAGTTTTAGTGACAATGGTTGAGACTTGAGACAAATGGACTCAAAAGGAGGAAGGAGGCCGGTGTTTAAGCCACCAAACTTTTGCTTGTTTTGGAACTTTCTTTCTGAGTGTTTATTCACGTGGAACTTAAACAACCTTCTAATTTGATTAAATAATTCAATTTTCTTTGATCTGCATGTGGACTGATAAACTTAGTTACTAATATTTTAGGGGATAATGCCCACTCCCTTCTCACCTCTTATATGTTTTAATAATAAAATAACACATCAGTATCAAAGGTCCTTTGGCCTAATGGTATAATCTCCCCATCTTTAAAGAAGAGGAGAGAGATTCGAGCTCCAGTGTGGACAAAAATAGTATGTGTGTGTGTTTGCTTTACTATGCAAAATATATATATATATATTAACACATCAACTTTAATAACAGAATAATTCACGCCCTCCTCTACTTTATCGGATCAACCATTTAATAAAAATATGGGACTTTTTTATTATTTTGCTGATTTTGTTATTAAAACTGATGTATTATTTTGTTATTGAAATACATAAGGAGTAAATAGGGTGAAGCTACCCGTGAGTAGTTAAGTATTGTCTTATTTTAGGTGACGCCCTCTTTACGTGTGTGAATATATATATATATATATATAGTTGTGAAAAATAGACTAGTTTGTAAAGAAGGTATGAAAAATCTAGATGGTTCAAAACTAAATGAAATAAAATATTAAACAAAGACTTCAAAAGATTAGAGGAAACATGACGCGTAATAAAACAGAATAGAAAACTATTACACATTTTACCAACCCAACCCATTTTCCTCTTTATTATCGTCTGTGGACTATTACACATTTTACCAACTATATATATATATATAGTTGTGAAAAATAGACTAGTTTGTAAAGAAGGTATGAAAAATCTAGATGGTTCAAAACTTAATGAAATAAAATATTAAACAGAGACTTCAAAAGATTAGAGGAAACATGACGCGTAATAAAACAGAATAGAACACTATTACACATTTTACCAACCCAACCCAATTTCCTCTTTATTATCGTCTGTGGGCCCCCGCCCCATTTAGATGTCTTGGCCCAGAGGACCATTCTCAATCAAAAAATATGAAAAAAGTGGAGATGCGGGGTGTCGATCGCCGCACCTCTCGAAGGAACAGCAATCAGCGAGCGCCCGACCATCTGGGCTACAACCCCTTAATTGTTCTTATTGGCTACAGAAAGATATTTCTATATAATATCTTGCAATATTTGGATTTTTGTAAGTTCTGTGGGGGAGTATATTGAACGATTCGTATCGCATTTTCTTGATTACTGTTTAATCAAATTATTAAAATTTTGATCAACTTCCTTATTACACCTTTTTAGTCTTGTATGATATTCACCAACAACTGGGAATCAATTGTGATTTCCAAATTACTTAAAATCTACCTAATCGATGCCTTGAAATTAGAATATAAAAAAAAAAAATTAGTTTAAAATTTAAAATAAATTTCCTCTAATTCTAATTCCAAGACCACCAATTTATTCAGTGCTCAACAGCAAAAAACAGTTTCTTCACTGTGAGCAACAAAAAGGAGTTTCGGAACGTAAAATTGCAGTTAGACGAATAACATTGGTTTCCAGAAGGATCTTCTAAAATTTTCTTCACAAGCAAATGCAAATATGTAAATCTTATCATTAGAAGTTCATGTACCCAACAATTGTTAGCAAATGCTAACAAAAATGATGATGCTTAGCAATTGTACCCACAGTTCCAACAAAGTTGGTGTTCTTCAAATAACATCAAATCACAAGCATCATTAAACGTTTGTCATTTCACCAGAAAAAACAAACCAGAAAAAAATACATCTAACAGTGGTTTCAAACAGATATGTCCAACACAATTCCTGCGGGAAATAACACTTCTAAACAGGAACAAAATCTCACTTTTCATAGATCCCTACTTGATGTATTGAGAGACCCATTTGAAGCCATCCCCGTAACCCATTTTACGCACAATGCTACACATGAAGACCTCGATAGGACGGACACCGGAGTCTACCAGGTTTACCTTCCCCTTGCCAGTGGTTATGCCTTCCAAGCCCATGTTGTAACGGAGCTCTTCTTCTGATGCAGCATATGGGATATCGATCTTGTTACCCAGGATCAGGAAAGGAACGGTCGCCAATGACTCATCAGATAGGAGGGCATCCAGCTCTTTCTTTGACTCAGCGAACCGCTCCTTGTCATAAGCATCCACCAGGTAAACTACGGCATCCACCTTCACACCCGAGAACCAGCTCGTGTTAATATATATCATTATTTGATAATCATATATCATATAAACAAACATGCACGTAACATCACATGAAATAACATGTTGCCAAGGAAGCTATTAAAATCAAAACAAGCTCCAGACACTCCAGTTCAAGCCACAAAGGCAAAATCAGATTAATTGAATATCCATAATTTTTAATTTAATAGTTCATTTTTTTCAGAAAACTCAAGAGTCAATGAACATCTAACATCGACCAATAAATGAGCCAGGACATATGGAGGGATAGGAATGCTAGAATGACATCCCTTACGAAAGGGCTTTGTTTATGCATCATCACCTGAAACCCAGATACAACAACAAATTTTAATATTTACTTATTTACTTTTCAGCAAAGTACTGTGCACACTGGGAAACTAAAAGTGCTTCCAGCAGAAGCAGACATCAAATTATGATAATGAGCACAAGTATAAGAACTAGATTACGAATCAAATTCCAGTATCCACTTTTATTATTGATATGAAACAGTATCAGAGGAAACATGGGGATAACACTTGAAGGAACAAAGGGAAATAAAAAAATAAAAAAAAAAAAGTTTAAAATCAGTCTACCATGACTAATACAGATTGAAAAAGAGAATTTCGTCATCCGGCGTAGGGAAAGAGGGCATGCATAAAGATAACAAATGCCAAAAGGCAAAACTTCAAAAAGTTGCTATGATTTTTTATCCCAATTCTTTCATTCCTGAATAGACATTTCATGTTTATTTTTTTTCTTACAATAAAAAGTTCACTCTAAATCTTTTATAGATGTATTCCCTCCTTTATTGACTTCAGGATATTTTTAAGTTATCAATTTTTCTCTTATCAGAGTGAAGTTACATATTCCTTAGTAAAATAAAAAGCCTTTATTTAGATTGTTCATCAGCTTGAGCCACATAGACTAAGCAAAAAAAGATTCGATTTTCCCGTTATTTGCGGATTTAGCGGATTTGGCGAAAAGATGACGGTGGGTACTCCCCCAAAAGAACAGGGGCTTCAGCCATTTTGCAGATGACTGCATGAAACAGTGAAGCAGCAGTACTTGCAATTATAAGAAAAGTCTAATTACCAGGTAAAAGAAAGAAAAATGAAACCCCACTCTCTACAGTAAGAGCTTGCATGGAACTTTCTCTTTAATATATAAACAAGATATTCTTACAAGTTACAAGAAAGAATATTTTTATGGTGAGGTACTATTGAAACACCTCCTGGAAAATGAAAGGTGCTATCAGCAAACTACCATTGTCGATTTTGGCCTCCCATGAATCAAATAAACAGAGAAAAACGTTTATTTGGGATTATGAAGGCACAACAAACATCCCAAGTTTAAAAATGTGCTGGTGGCAATATAACAGTCAACAATTGGATTCACTCTTTAAGGTAAGAGCTTGTATGCAACTCTCTTTAATAGATAAAGAAGATATTTTTAAAAGAATGAATATTTGTATGGTTAGGTACTATTGAAACACCTCCTGGAAAATGAAAGGTGCTATCAGCGAACTACCATTGTTGGTTTTGGCCTCCCATGAATCAAATAAACACAGAAAAAAAGTTTATTTGGGATTATGAAGGCACAACAAACATCCTAAGTTTAAGTGTGTGTTGGCGGCAATATAACCACTCAACAATTGGATCAACTTGTGTTGGAGTTAAATTGGATATTTTCTTCTATGTTTAATGAATTCCTTTTTTTCCCCTATAACATAAAGTATTTGAACTTGTCAAACATTGAAAAATGAAAAACCTATAATTGGATATAGGATTCTTCTCATAGTCAGAACTCAGAAGAAACAAAATTCATCCTACTAAGGCAAAAGAAACGAATGAAGAAAAACAATCATCTTCACCACAAAAAATTATATATATTTACAATCCTACAAATGGTGAGAAAAAAATCAAAATCATCAAACTAGATCCAATATAGAAATAACCAGTCTTCTTCAGTTTCTGAGCTTTCATCAAGTAATTGGCTACTGCTACACAAGTACTAATAAATTTTTCAGTATACTAACAAATTAGATATTTTAATACAATTATAAAGAAGAGGGAATTAAACATTAAACATGGAAAATCTACCTTAGCATAATAATCTTTCCAAACCCTTCGGGCAATTTGATGCCCTCCCAAATCAAAAGCCTTGAATTTAATTTTCCCAATGCTAAGCTCCTCAGAAGTTGGGTACTGGGTTGGCTGATGCTGAACCAATCTCTGCCAAGATCCAAAACCAATAAATTACATATTAATTCAGAATGCATGTATTTATTAAAGCTCATCGTTTGGTTGGTTACACACAAAAGGCTGGAAAACAAAATTCAACGACTAAATCTTCTAAATTTCAATAATCCCATAGAACAACAATCTCCACTGAACTGAGCCGAATTGAATTTGGCATTGTCAAAGTGACGTTTTTTTCTTATTATTTTAATAAAAATAAATCAGAATAAGATTTCATTGAAAGAAAAAACTAGATCCATATATCTCCACTAATAGTTATCAAAAATATAATATTTTTCTTAAAAAATAAAATATCCTTACAATTTAAAAACAAATTCACAGAACTTTTCGCATAAAAAACAAACAGGATAATCAGAACAATATAAAAACATGAGATTCATTACAAATCTTCTTTTCTTCCTGAATCAGCAATCAAACTGAACACCATAAGAATATTACAAAATCAATATATATACATATGCCTTATATTGATATACATACAAAAACAAACAAACCTCATCTTTGAGCATATGAAGCAGCGTTGTTTTGCCGGCATTATCGAGTCCCAAGAACAAGATCTTGGCCTCCTTCTGCCACAGACCGAGAGATGCAAGTACACCATAGAACCAATCGACCAAAAACATGATGCTAATCGACTATTCTAACTCCGATCCGATCGGAACAATCAACCCTAAAAGAATTCGAAATTGATTTCGAAAAACTACCAGATCGATATACGAACACAGTGGTTCGCAATCTCTCTCGATCGAATCAACAACAACAACCAGTCCGAACGCTCGAACTTCTAGAGAGAGTGTGTGTGTACGTGTGTGTATGAATGAGTGGAGCTCTAGAGAGAGAGAGACTGTGTGTTTGTGTGCGTATGAATGAGCGGAACCCTAGAGAGAGAGAGAGAGAGCTTTGTGGCAACGAATCACTCTGTCGTTTGTGTGAATGTCACAGCATTCCAACATGGACTTGTAAGGCATTTGTGATGCCGATCAGCTGGAAACCGTCTACGGGCTGATCCGGTTAACGGGTGGGTTGTTTTTTTAAAAGCGGTGGGTATTTACCGGGAATTTACGGGTCGGAATCTGTTGGCCAATTTAATTTTTAAAGAATAAAATTATGATGTCAAAGGGTGAATCTAAGCCGTTAGATTGAGAAAATGACGGCGGTGGATCTTATTTTTATTGGAAAAAACATGGTGTAACATTTCTACCAGAGTTTTGAAAACTGAGGAGAGGGAGAGGAATTTTTTGGCAGGGAGAGAAAAAAGAAAGAACTATAATCACTAATAATACAAAGAAAGATAAAATGACGAAGGGATTATTTGGTTAGTTTTTTAAGAGCAACTGGAAAAAAATAATAATAATAAAAAGTCAAAATTCATTTGATCATCAATTCATGAGTTAGAAGAATATAAAATAATTAGTTACAGAAAATTTTCAATTGCTCAAGTTATTAAATGGTAATTATAAATTAATTATTTTTTGAATTTAAGCGTACATCGTTCAATGATAAGTGAAATTACTATTATTTAAATTTTCAGTCTAATTTTAAGTGGAATTTCTAAGTGATATTCAAATTGAGTGAATAAATAAACTTAATTAATCTATTTAGAATTAAGTGGTAAACTGAATTATAAAAAATAAAAATCCAAACACTTTCCTCTAAAAACAGGTTAAAACAAATTTTAAAAACTCTCAACTCTCTAGAAATGTGTATTTTTTATTTTTTTTTCAAATCTCACCCCTTACCATTCGAGTTTAACAAAATTTCCTTTTTCCATTTTATTCCTTTCCTTATTGCACTTAAGTCAAATCCGTTTCTTCCTTTCTACTTCTTCAATACATATAACCAAAGTTCCTAGCTCATTCATGATGTTGATTGTGAAATGTGCAACTTCAAAAATTTGTTCCTGAACATCACATCGAAATTCTTTGTACAATTAATTCGTGTTTCAACGCATTACTTCAAGCATTAAAATAGAAGGTACAATTAATTCGTGTTTCAACACATTACTTCAAGCATTATAGTAGAAGTGACGGTGTCGTAACTAAAAATAATGGTGTTAAAAAAAAAGTTAAAAATAATTTCAACGCATTACTTCAAGCTAAACTATATTTAATTGTGTTGAAAGCACCTACAGCGCTGTATAGAGGATCCTGACTCGTGAACATGAGAGGTAGAGAGTGTTGGAAAAGAAAGAAGACAAACAAGTGAATCTGAGAATTGTATTAACGACCAACTCTTCACAAATTCTTACATCTCTCCCTATATGGATAGGTTATTTCTCCACAACAGAACTTGACATTTCAAATACTATGGAAAATTAAAATTGAACATCTCAGTCTTCCAAATGGTAACTAATGTCCGTATACAAGTCTACCAAACAAAAACAAGCACCTCTTCAAGGTGTATAACACAAAATTGAACAAATAATATAACGAGCACTGTCGAACTACCACCCCTAACATAATTTTTTCCTCGGGGAAGATGAGAGCAGGCAGCTTCTTGAGAACCCCAGTAAATTCACTAACATCCATAAATTATACAATGCCGAGAAGCTTAGACCGCAACTGCTTCAGCAACTGTAGTAGAAACGTGAACCTGAATCGGATAGGAAAACAAGAGCACCAAGTTATTTCCGAGCACTCTAGGTATTATTCGATTCCTCAAGTTGTTAAATCTGATTGCAAACACCACATGAAAAGTAGAAGCTGTGTGTTATGAAAATATTTTGGTATAGTGATCTAATGTACCAGTGTAAAATGAGAGAGACTCTCAGTTCAGGACCTAAGGAGGCTTTCCTCCTTACCTGCAATTTGTACATCAACACATGTAAGGGGTTCTTATAAGCAGTTGGCAGTCTCACCTAAGATACCTGCACTAGGGATTGACGTAAACATATGATGTTTAAGCATATGATCTAGTGCTTTGTTCGGCAAGTTAAGAAAAATCAGTTAACCATCCATTCAAGTTTGCAATGAAGATAGGCTCCATTAATCTGACCTCTATCGGCCATGAGGAAACTAGGCTGTTAAAACATATTTTCTCCTCTTCACTCATCAGAAATTCTAGTGTAATTATTTCTCAGAGGCCTATAGAAGGAATAAAGAGCTTACCTTTGCTCCTTTGAAGAGTTCATCAAGCACTTCAGATAACGTTGGATGAGCATGAACAGCAAACTTTATGTCCTGCAGGAGGCAAGCGTTAAAGCTAATGATAGAAGGTACAAGAATAAAATCTGCAATCTTTTGAATTATGTAGAAAACATAAGCATGCAATAATTGCAAAAGAAAAAAGTAACCTACATATATTGGAAATGCATATAAGTTGCCAGAAAGGTGCACAAAAAGATGGGGAATTTGATATCTCATACAACATCAAGTAACTTCAATCATCTTCTCAGAAGCACTTGTACATTTTAATGGACCCATTCCGTATTACATATAGATTACATAGGCAGTACTTTGTACATGCCATGCATGAGGCGACTTGTTATACTACACAAGAGAGTAACATATTTTGCTATTTCTAATGCACTGCTCAGTGTGAGGGATGAAAAATTGGAAGGGAAGGTCTGTAACGAAGAGGTATACCATGTTTGGTTAAGGAGGAAGGAACTACAGAAAGGAAAGATTATCATGATTTAACCATTATACCTTTCCATTAAAAAGGGAAGTGCTTTTTTTTATTAAAAAAAAAATATATGTAAAAACAAAAGGGGAAACAACTCCCTCCTCCCTTCCTTTCCCCTCCCTCTTCCTCTCTTGGCTCCACCAAAAGAAGGAAAGACACTCCATGCCAACCCCCTTTCCTTTTTCTTTTTTTTCTCCTCAGCAGGCTATAAAGCATAGGAAAGTTTTATAAGGTACCTTGACGTTTAAAAGGGAAAAAGAGAGATGTTTTAAAGTCTTAGAGATGAATGCTGATTCCTTAAAAGTAGGAATCACTTTTTTCCCCTCATCATCGTACGGCTTCTTCTACACTTCAGTAACGTGTCTTAACATTTGTGTGTGCGTGAGAGAGAGAGAATAATGTTGGTCCCTTAAAAGTATGATTATTTTCATCATCGTCATGACAACATTCTGCAAGGTATTTCAATATTTGAAAGGAAAAAAGAAAGTTTTACAATTTAAAGAAGAATGTTGCACCCTTTTGGAAATGTTTTCTGCGAGAGACCTGTCCAAGTACCTCTGCAGTGCTTATGCTTCTTGCAGACGGATCACAGATCTTGGAATAATGGAACATAGAATTTTATTAATTATTCACGTTAACAAATAGCAAGCTGTCGGTCACCAATTCTCCCTGAAAACTTCTATAGAGAACCTACCAAATAAAGTGCTAGATCATGCAAGTTAAATGGCAAAAGTATACCTGTAGACGTGTCCCCATAGCTATCGCATTGGATGCTTCATGTATGAGGTCTGCAGCATGTAATCCAAAGATATGAACTCCGAGGATCTCTCCATTGTCAGGTCTGTAAATCAACTGCATGAAAACAATATACTTCAGTAAGTATGCAACCTATTTGTAACTCACCACCAAGGAAACTTGTATCGGTTTAATAAGGTGCAGTTATAACAGTTCCAAACAAAATTTAGAAAAAAAGAAAAAGAAAAAAAAAATGAAATTCATCATGCCTAGTCACAGAACTAGAATCCAAAGAGCTTAAATCAATTACCTTAGCAAGTCCCTCCCCTTCATTTTCGGCAAGGGCTTTTGTGTTAGCCTTGAAACTAGTCTTGGCAATACTTACTTCAAATCCCTCCTTTTCAGCTTTTTCTCTTGCTTGAGGCTGCAAAAGTGGAAATAATTAAATGAAAACAGGGATTCTAAGAAACCACTTTGAGAAGATGGCTTATTTCAAAGATAAACTGCATATGATTTCCGAATGGTAAATATATATATATATATATATATATATATATTCATTTGAAACCATTTCAGAAGGTGAAACTGCTTCTTATGCAGGACGAGGTAGGGGTGCTTCAATATCTAAATTGTCCTAGTCTGAGAATGAGAGAGAGAATGAACGGTAAGAAGAATCAGAAAGTGTGTTGTGGTTCGTGAGAAGTAACATAATATGTACTAAATCATAAACAGTATAGATAGGATCATAGACACAAATCAAGAATTTTTTAAGGCACAAATTTACCTCTGTTAATCCAACCATACTGATTTCAGGATGCGTGAAACATGCTGCTGGGATGCTCAAATGATTTAGCACATTGTCTTTTCCACAAACTTGCTCAACAACTACATAAGAAAGCAATTCCAGGTTTCATTAGTATAGCTGAATAAAAACACTATACGATTGATAAAAGACTTGAAAATGAGGTTGTTTACCAGAGATTCCTTGTGCACTTGATGCATGAGCAAGCATCATTTTCCCATTTGCATCACCAATGCAATACAAGTGAGGAACCTAATAATCAAAGACTACTTAAGCAAAATACAGATGTAGAAGCACAAGAAAAATAAAGGAACCATGACCAACCAATTTTCCATTTGCATCAATTACTCGCATCCTTTCATCAATAGGAACAAATCCACGTTGAGTTTGTACATTGATCTGCAAATATATCAAGCATATTTACATCACTAGATTTTAGCACTTCTGAAAGTTGATATTCATTAGTAACTCAAACTGTTATTTAAGTGATCTGCTTACATTCTCCAAACCAAGCCCTTTTGTGAATGGAGCCCTTCCAGTTGCAATGAGGGCAGCATCTACCTGCAGCAGATAACATAGTTCAAAGTTATGCTAGGACAGCCGCAAGACAACAATATACCACAGATGACAGAACATGTGGGACAAAGTGATTATAAAGTGGGGCTATCTCAATAAATTTTACTTTTGGAATTCATTATCATTCTTGATGACCATAGTTTTGAACTGGCAGTGCTGACAACTAAAGTCTTCCTCCTTACCAAGAAAAAGAATCTAAAGTTCTTCCTGAGAGTGAAAGCAAAGTAAAACATCTCCAGAATAGATAGTTGAGCAATGATTGTCCGACTTAAAAACTACTTTTCCATCAGTTAGTTTTCACTTAAGAATGGCACATACGTTAAACTCAAATATGCATTTAATTTGCATACACAATTTAATTAGTCACTAAGGACTCCTGCCAAATGAATGCAGAACAATATGCATTGACAATCATTTGAAATTACTTTACATGTTTATAGAGTTACATATGACCAAATTTACCCTATATATGCAGAACGAAAATAATTTTTACATAACCTACCAGGAAGATGAATTTTACATATACTTGTACAATACAAACAAGGTCAGTATTATTATAATATTAGTAATATCAGTTGAAATAGAAAGTATAAATAATGCAGGAGTCAGGTCTGAGATTCTGCAAAATCCTTGCCTCAAATCCATAACATGAAGTGTCTTTGCTACAAATATAAATGACCGGGGATACTGAGAAAAGAATCCTGGATGATGGGGATGAACTGCCACCTGAATTCTACTACAGTATTTTTATTACTATTGTTAATATTATTTTTGATAAATACTACAACATGTATTTAATATAGGGTGATTTACTGGATCCACAGTTAAATGTTTAATCTAGCAGAGATCCACTTTATAAGGTGCCACAACATTAATTTATTACATCTAATACTGCGCAGCATTATTCAGGACGCTTAAAAATGTAACCTAGACTAGACACATGCAACTTGCCTCCAAAGTGCCCTTTGGTTCCTTAGTCTTTGCATCAATAAGTTCAATTGTTACAGGTTTTCCATCCTTCGCTGGAGTGATCTGTTACAGGCATTTACAAAAGAGAAAAAACACTGAAATAAATATCATTGGATATCACCATACAATTTAGAAGCAAATAAGTGAGAATGACCAATAATAGCACCTTGCTTGCAAATACACCAGTATGATAATCAATTTTTCGAGGATTTATTAGAACTCGCTGAGCCAATTTACCAATCTCAGGATCGAAACCAGGCATGAGCTGATCAAGAGCTTCAACAAATGTAACCTGTGCAGTAATACTGTTGTTAGCTTGGTGACTTTGGGTAGACTGCACTGAATTTATAATGGTCTACGAAAAAAAGAAAAAAGAAAAAAAAAAAAGAAGACATGATTGCACATTGTTTATTAAACATGATCCTGCATAATTTACTAGGGAAAAAAGATAAGAAAACATGATCCTACATGGAGCAGAATAGTGAAACAATGCTGCTGTAGCCAAATTCAGATATTTAAAACAAAGCTTTGCTGAATTAAATCGAGGAGACACCCTTACCAAAAACACAAAAAACAAAAATCAAGGAAACACCAAAGGGTAATCTAATCATCTCTTTATCTGGATTTTCTTTCGTCCTTGATCCTCCTTATCTTTCTCTTTGATATTAAGTCATACAGAAGATTACTCAATATTTTCAGATATAGATTACCATCATTTTTCACTCATGAGTCATGTATGTGTAAGCAAGACAGTGCCAAATAAAATAAAATAAAAATTACCTACTCTTCAAACTAATTATCTGAACCAACCAGTACTTTATTACTGCTGTTTGATTGAAATAAATTCACTTTACATATAGTATTTTAGAAAGGATAAATCATGCCTACCTCACTTCCAAGTGCTGTATAAACATCACTGAATTCAAGACCAATGTAACCACTCCCAACAATGGCTATCCAGTCGGGAACGAATTCCAGTTTGAGTGCATGATCACTGGTTATTACAGTCTTACCTGCAAGAAACTATGCAGTAGTTTTTAGTGATCCCGTGAAGCTAAAAAGTATAGGCATTGTGCAAGGCTTAACAAGCTCAAAACTGTCTCATGATGTCTACCTTAATGTAATAGCCACAGAATGTGATAACACCAGCTATCTAAGTAATGTATTTCAACACCCGCACATAGTACTAAGTACCTTAAAGTTAGTGAAACTATAGCTGATTTTAACAGAGCATGTTAAATCTCAAGAACTTTTATGCAATCTTTCCATTATAAATAATAATGTTTTTCATAAATAAACAATTTTGCTTCTACAGTTTAACTAGGAACTGTAGATAATAATAGATGGATGAAGAACAAGCACTTACCATCAACTTCAATTCCCTTAGGGACAAGGGGCTCAGAACCAGTAGCAATGATTATGTCTTTTGCTGTTATTACATTGTCTGTGGACCCAACTTTTCCATACTTCACCTTTTGTGGACCCTGGATATGTCCATAAGAAAATCATAACTCATGTATTCAGTTTAATTATCACTTTATAAATGTCACATGATAATAGGAAACTATATGGCCATAACTCTGTTAAATTCTAATATTAATCTGAAATAACCGAATTCCAGTGGGAGCATATAGAACATACCAAAATTGTGCCAAAACCTGTCAATATGTCAACACCAAGAGCTTTTAATGAATTGGTCAAATTACTTCGGATTTTTGAGGCAAGGTTATTTGCATGGTCAGCAACTCCCTGTCTGTCATACCCAGCAGCTGCAACCTGTCGTCAAATGATTTACGATACAAGGTCAACATTCTATAACTAATATTTAAGCACTACAGGAAAGACAATAATTAGTTCAATGGAGAAAGATCATTGACATAGTGTATAAGAATTTAGTAAATCATAAGGAGTTAATGGCACAAAAACTTGAAAAGACCAATTGATTGAGAGCGTTCATAAAATGATCACAAGGAAGCCCACACTAAGGATAACAAAATAATACAAGATTTAAATATAGCTTTGGAAGCTAACATAAGTTTTCAGTGTGATATGTACAATACATTAAGCTAATGCTCTTCACCTGTAAGCCAAAGGCCTTCATGTGGTGTTCATTCTGAAGCTCCCGCATCCGACCACTTACGGCGAGGAGGGCTTTGGAAGGAACACAGCCCCGATTTACACATGTTCCTCCAACCACATCCCCCTCAATGATAGCAGTTTTCAAGCCCTGCAGAAAGATAGCATGAATTTATCATTATACCTCAAATGTATATCAGATATAACACATAATAAATAAATAAAATCATAACCCATATTGCACTTATGCAGGGCGCAATAGCTATAAACTAAATAACAATGACAATTCAGTTCAGTAATTTTTTTATCTGCTAGAGTATTGAGACTACTAGATCGTACACCATTGTGTTTAATATATGCATGACAGGCACCCCAAGAAAATATGATCGAAAGATACATTAAAACATTTTTTTATAAGTAAAAAAGTTAGATCAAAACATTAGTTAAAAGAAGATTTAGTATCTTTCCTTTTCGGTGAAATAAAGAAGATTTAGTATCAATTAGTTGGAATTTCAGTCTTTAAGTGTTGAAGTTTTTTTTTAGCAAAAAATGTGTGATTAGAATCCAGATGATAGATCAGCCACTATTAAATTGCTTAAATTTGAGAAAAACAAAATAATTAGCTGGTTTATGGTATTTAAAAGTTTATCTACAGTGTAACCATTTAGGATATAAACTAAGGCCGCAATTTGAACACACTTATGAGAAGTGCTCATTTGTTTCTATAAGGAAAATTAGCTAAACCCTTTAGCTCAGAAATGCAAGTAGAAATTCACTAGCAAATTTGAATATGTAATTGAATCAAAACAGAGAAACCGCATTACCTTCTCGACGGCGTGAAGTGCAGCGCCGTGACCGCCAACTCCGGCTCCGATAATCACCAGATCATAATCGAAACCCTTCGACGGAGTCCCATTCCCGGACAAAGACGCAGATACCTTCTTCGAGTAACAATTCTTCGAATTCGCTACGACTCGACTCAAATTCAATGCGTTTGAAGATTTGAATCCAAATGCTTCTCTTCTGAGGCCACAGAACCGAAGTGACTGAGGCGTGAACGAGGCGTTTCCGGCGAAGTTTTCGATCGCTGTGCGATCGGATCTGGTGATGGAAGGTAAAGAGAGCGAGAGGGACATTGATGATGGCATTTTGTGGCAGATTTCTAGGGTTTTTTCTTCAAAGAACAAATATGTGTTTTTGTGTGTGTATATAAATATATTTATGTAGAGAGAGAGAGAGGTTTTTATGTAGAAATGGGGGAGGCTTCGAAAGCTCCGTTGAAGTGGCGGAGCTAACGAAGTGTTGAAAGTAGTAAGTGGTGTTTGATCAACAGACTTGCCGTTTGGCGCTTCATTGAGTGCTTTTGTTTTTGTTGTTTTCTTTTAGTTTTGGAGTTTGGCTTTGGTTGGAACTTGGGTTGGAAGACATGGTGAGTCACGTGCCTGTATTGCCTCTTAGTGGACTGACTTGGGCCTGAAATGGTGGCCCAAACCCAATTAGGTTTTAGTGAAGAGTTGGGTGCACTTGAAAACAAATGTGTCCAATGATTTTGGGCTTAAGCAGTTTTAAAATAGGTATTTTATATTTGAGTTTTTAGAAAATAGTTTTTAAAAATCTTGTAGATCAAACAATATTTTGTACTATTTTTTTACATTTTTAGTTATATGAAAATAGAATATCCTTTTTAGAATGCTGAACCAAACAAATACTTTGTAATTAAGTGTTTTGTGATAAAATAAAAGGTTCAGTTTTACTTACTAATATCCTCAATGAAAATATGTTTGAAGTATTTATTAAACCGGAAAAATTTACCCTTAAAATAAATAAAATATTACAAAGAAGTACTAAAAATTTCATTATTTTATTTTCAGTTTTATAACATGCATTTTATCATAATATATTGCTTATGAAGAATATATGAGATGTTTTCGACACCGATAAATTATTAGATGATTCCGGCCTATTTGACATGTGGTGGACTAATCCACTGAAAACTCATGTTGAGATTTATTTATAATATATTATTAATACTTGATTCAGGCCTATTTGACATGTGGAGTAATATTTTATCAATTTGAGAGTATGGATTTATCTAATCCACCAAGTCTCAATGGATTAACAGAATTAAGTAAAATTTTTGTATAATTTTAAAAATTTTAATTATTTGAAAACATAAAAATAATAAATAAAAAAATGCTAATTTTGGGGACTCCTATAAATCATTCATTACTATGGGATTCTTGTAATTAAATTATATAAAGATTTTTTTTTTTTTTTAATTTGATAGACTTCTAGTCTTGGTCTATGTCAACCAATGAGAGGTTTGGAATGAGTACACCCACTTTTCAAAATCGTTACACAAATAAAAATCTTTTATCAAACTCATCCAGCATTGGTCGAGACTCCTCAATTTACATATTTTTTAAATAAAACAATTCAAGTTTAAACAAATTTAAGTTAATATAAAATTAAAATTAACTTTAATAATCATAATAACGAATATGTTGCTAATAATAATCATAAAATTATGATAAGAAATGAAAAAAGCTAAACTATAACTAATAATAGAATATTCATTAATTTATATATTTATTACCAATTAGAGGTTGGGCTAACATGAGCAACTGATTCTGGGCCAAAAATTTTATGCTGTGTTTGGTGTGCAAGAATGGAATGGAATGCAAGTGGGAATGGAATGAGAATGGGAAAGGAATGAAATGGTCATTCTCATTCTATTATTTAGTTGTAAATATGAAATGTGTAGGAATGAAATGATAATAACCATTCTAGTGTTTGGTTGGACCAATTTTAAATTTAGAATGAAATAAATTTCAAATTGAATTATCCAAAATATCCCTGTTAGTAATAAATAAATAAAATTAACAAAATGATATTTTTCTATAATTTTTTAAAAATAAATGGTGGTAGTGGTGGTGGTGGTGGTGGAGGTGGAAAGCGGTAGTAGTGTAGGTAGAGGTGTTAGAAGGCGGCGGTAATGGTGGAAGGCAGTGGCAATGGTGCAAGGCGGCAGTGTTGGTGAAAGGCAGCATTGGTGGAAGGTGGTGGTAATGGAAGGAGATAGCGGTGTAGGTGGCGGTGGTGGAAGCCAATGGAGGTGACTGTGGTGGTGGTGGAAGGTAGTAGAGGTGTGGTAATGAAAGATGGTGGCGGTGGTGGTAATGGAAGGTGGTGGTAGAAGGTGGTGGAAGGAGATGATGGTGGCGGCGGTGGTGGAAAAAGGAAGCGGCGGCGGTGGTGGAAGAAGGTGGCGGCGGTAGTGAAAGGTGGAAGCGGCAATGGTGGTGGAAGGCGGCAGCAATGGTGGTGGTAGTGGAAGGCGATTGCTGTGGTGGAAGGTGGTGAAAGGCGGTGGCAGTGGTGAAAGGAGGTGGTGGAAGGCGATGGCAGTGGTAAAAGGTGGTGGTTGTGGTGAAAGGTGGTAGCAAAAGGCGGCGACAATGGTGTAAGACGGTGGCGGTGGTGAAAGGCAGTGGTGATAGGAGGAGGTGGTTGTGGTGAAAGGCGGTGGCGGTGGCGGAAGATGGTGAAAGGTGATGGTGGTAGAAGGTGGTGGCGGTGGAAGGCGGTAGTGGTAGTGGCGGTAGCTGTAACACCCCCACATTTTCCACGCATAAGTTGATCAGGCTTATACACGAAAAACGAGGGATATCAAAAACAATTGGCAATATACAAGCATGGAATACAAAATGATGGAAATAAAAGAATTTAGGCAGGAAAGAAACATTAAATAATACAACATCCATCCATCCTTTATTTAATACAGTACTTCATTACAACTTGGAAATCCTACGTCAGGGATCCCTAAATATAACCCTGAGAGTTCAACGTCAAAAGTAAATAAAAACTGAAACTGAAGTATTACATAAAACTTCTACCCTGAACTGGATCGTAAGAGTAGATGAGTTCGGATGGTGGTCCCACACTGCTAACCTCAGCCTTGAAACGAATACTGACCGTATCTTGAAATAACAACAATGGTGGGTCAACCCCACGAGCAAGTCCTCTCTACTATGACCCAAATCAGAGAATCAAATAAATTAATCATTAGGAATCGGTTGAGTACTATAGTTGTATACATCCTAAGGGAACTATCCCATGTATAACATGACCTCAACCAGAATAGACGGTGATCACTTAGACTCACACTAGGTGGTCAAGTGTCGCCTTTCCCTACCCGGGAAATCAGCTATTATACACGGTGCACGATACTGATATCACAGACTATAACGAACTACACAGTGATAATACCTCTCAAAGTACTGATGAATATACTGAGCATACAAATTAGGCAACACATGCCAATAATATTACTAAATAGACTGAGCATGTCCATTAGGCAACACATGCCAATAATATTAAACCACATACCCCGACAGCCACACATCTGTCTATAGCAACGAATGCATAAGGTATAAATGAGTCTAAACTTATTAGTCAGCTCACATGGTTCTATATGGCAACACATCCATACAATATAAATGCGACATAATAAACAGTCCATTTATTCCCTGAAATGCACACAGCATAATAATCATGGTTTATATATCAATTAACAGTATAAACATCCTATAAGATATCATGGATAATTTATCTGACTAAAACCATGGCCTTATTTAATTTAACAGTAATGTTTGATACCATTTAATACGATAATAACACTATTTATATTTAACAATGTCGTTAAATAAATCACATTAGTATCCGTACTGTGAACGAGCCAATAATTGCTTCGAAAAGATTAATCGGTCATAAGAATAAGTAACGGGTGTTAAAATAATAATTTCGTGGCCCGTTAAACCCGTAAATACCAACACAGTACCTAAAAATCCAAGTTTAAGGTTCTGGAATTTACAAAACAGGCCCTAGGGGTATTCTGGTAATTTCCAGCAGCTGTAGGGACCCCACACGCGCCCTCACGCGCCTCCCAGAGCCTCCCCACGCGCAGCCCAACCTTCCCCACTCTCCCACGCGCCTCCACGCGCGTCTGGCATCAGCCACGCGCGCGCACGCGCTACCACGCGCGTCTGGAGCGTTCCACGCGTGCACTAAGGGTACCTTGCTGACGCGGCGTGTGCTGGTTGGTCGGTTGTACCGTTTCTATGTGGGCGCACTACACTGGATTGATCCACCTACCTTCCCTCCATCCTACGCTCACGGATCCGGGTGTATCGCGGTAACATGGACCGCGGTGCACCGGATCAATCGCTGCTGATTAATGGTCCAGATGCGCGCGTATACCCTCCCATGGTGCGCCGCATCACACCGGATCACTCCGGTCATCTCCCCCATTGCCGGCGACCGGAAAACTCGCCGGAAGGTCGCCGGAAATTGCAGAAAAGCCCCGGAAAAATCTAGAAAATTCTAGAAAAATCCCTAAAGCTTTATTTAATTATTTTCAGCTATATTTTAATTACATAGGCTAAATAAATAAATAACTAACCTCTTTAATAATTAAAACACATTATTTTAATAAACTAAAAATAATTTATTGAAACTCCTAGCATGGTTTCTAGTCTCTAAAAACCCGAAATAAATTAAATGAATAATTTATGGATTCAAAGGGGAAAAGTAGATAATAACTTGCCTTTTTGGATTTAAAATAAATCCGCCGGTCTGCGCGTAGTCGGGTAAAATCGCCTACACCGGTCCAAGCTTCTTTCTCTTTCTCTTTTCCTTTCACTCTTATAAAATAGCTCACTAGAATTTATACTTTGCTTCTAACTCCCTTTCTTTTCTTCTAAGGTAAGCTAGTTAATTTATATACAAAATATATAATATAAATATTACAAATATCTATTTTTTTTCATCTACTAACCATCTTCCCAACCATATGGCTTCAATTCCACCCATAACCATTGATGCAATCCTATCCTAATCTCTAATTTCATCATGACATTGGTTTAATACTATTATTATTATTATGACTATTATTATTATTATTACTAATATTATTATTAATAAACTTTTATAATAATTATTATTATATTATTATAATTATTATTATTATTATTAAACTAATATAATTATTATTATTACAAAATAATACATTATATCATCATAATACTATATAACACAAATATAATACTTTTAATTAACTAATAATGCTTAATTAAACATAATCAACAAATAAAATTAATTATAAGAATACATGCACAATTAAATGAATAAATTTACTATTTTAACATACACAATTAATTTACATGCACCATTAAATGAACTTAATATAACAATGCAGTATGCACAATAATAAGTAAAGGAAAATACACATAATTGAATTTAAATAAAGTAAACTCTTTAATTAATTACGGGGTATTACAGTAGCGGTGGCGGCGGCGGCGGCGATGGTTGTGGCAAAGGAAGGCAGTGTCAGTGGTGAAAGGTGATGGCGGTAATGAAAAGCAGTGGGTGGTGGTGAAAGTTGGTGGCGGTGATAGTGGTAGTGGTGGTGATGAAAGGTGGAGGTGGTTGTGGTGGAAGATGGTGATGATTTTTGGACTTAGAACATTAGGGTTTTTTGGAAAGTTTATTTTTTAAAAAATTTACATGGGAATGGAATGGAATGATCATTCAATATGTTTAGTTATGGAATGAATTTTCATTCTCTGGAAAGGATTTCATTCCAATGGAATGGTCATTCCCACTTTAAATTGCGTACCAAACAAATGAATGGTTGGAATAGGCGTTCCATTACATTCCTGCACACCAAACGCATCATTACAGGAATGGATAAGGTATTTGAGACCGTGGGATTAGAATGTATTTAAATTTTAAATCCCAAAATTATTTTGGATAGAGTTTGGGCAAATGTTTTAGTAAATCAAAGAATTTCAAAAATTCAAAATATAAGAATAGTTTTATAATTCTAATATTTTAAATTAGATTATTTATAGCATCATAAATCATGAATCATCATATATTCATATGTGATCATATTATTACTGTAAAATCATATTACATATACTTTGGTTAATTTTTGTCACATATTTGGACGTTTAGACAGGTAAACATAATATTTTATTTTCTTTTAATATTTATTTGATTTAGAATGACCGAAAAACTCAAAAAAATTATAAAACTCGTACAATATGAGGCGAGCTAAGATGCAATAGATTTATAAGAACTTGAATTTGGCTCGGACTAAGTTGCTAGGACCTTGAGTTTGACAAAGTTTTTAGGACTTGAGTTTGACATGGGCTAACCATTGACCCGCCTAATATCACCCCTATTTGCAATTAGTTAAATTGGCATTTTAAATTACTCAAGTTAGAACAAAATATAGTGAGTGTTCGGGGGGTAGAAAAAAGAAAAATGAAAAAATAAATAAATAAAAACATAGAAAAAAAATTACTGTGACTGGTGCTTCGAGATAAACTTGTCTTGTCAGCGTATAGCATAAACTATAAACAAGATAATCATCTAAATGGAATAATATCTCCTGATAGGAGTGGACTAATTTAATTTAGGCCCACTGCCTCCAAAACCGCAAGCCCATACCACAAACCGCCCACAGAACCCAGCCACCGACACACAGCCATAACTATATACTAGTCTATTAGATACAATATATATACATACACATGTATATCGCTTCAATAGTTATCTCAAAAGCCAAAAAGTGTATTACACAGCAAATATTTTTCAGGTGATTCCAACCGTTCGATCGAGCATATTTCCGGCAGATGGCTGACGTGGAAGCAAGAGAGCGCATGATCTTAGTGGCCGTCGATGGAGGCGAAGAGAGCATGTACGCGCTCTCATGGTGCCTCAAGAACGTAGTTTACGAAAATTCCAAAGATACCCTCATCCTCCTCTACGCTAAATCACCTCGAGCTGTGTACCCAGCTCTAGACGGAACAGGTAGGAGAGAACGCGCCGAAGGTAATTTTTAGCTTACTTCAAGGGCGTCTTCGTAATCAAAAGTTTCAGTGATGTTTTGGTAATTTCATTTGGTTCTCAGGGTATTTGTTTTCGTCTGAGATACTGGCGAGCATGGACAAGTACAACAACGATGTGGGCAATTGCGTGATAGAGAAAGCGAAGAGGCTTTGCAAGGAGGTGAAAGATGTGAGTTGATTTTGTGTGTTGATGGAGGTTAAGATGGTCATATAAAATGTTTTGGTTATACTAATATGTGACGCTGGTGTAGGTTAAGGTGGAGGCTAAGGTAGAGCTCGGAGATCCGAGGGATGTGATTTGTCAGATGGCGGAGAAGTTGGGTGTTGATATGGTTGTCATGGGAAGCCACGGTTATGGTCTGATCAAGAGGTGGGGTCCAAATAATTTTCTGACCTTGACTCCCCATAAAGATCGCTTTTGACACGTCACTGGTCTAACTAAATAAAGTCTTTCTATTTTGGTTTTATCTTTAATTTAATTATGGGATTTATTTTTTATATGACAGGACATTTTTGGGGAGTGTAAGCAATCACTGTGCACAGAACGTGAAGTGTCCTGTTTTGATTGTGAAGAAGCCAAAGTCAGTTGGTGGTGATAAATAATTTTGTAACATTTTGACTTCTAGTTATTGGCTTGTGGTGTTGTGGAGATATTGTTGTAAGCTGGTCAATGTTCATCTTTTGGCCTCTTTCTTACGTTATTGGTGGTGGCTTTGATCAATACATGTATATACAATGCAACAGTGTGTGATGTAAATGACATAAGTGGACTCATTTTCAGTTTTGGATTAACCTAATGTTGGATAATTTCACTCACACCCTTCTCAAGATTGGGGCAAATATTACACTTAAATATATTTTGAAAATAACTATCATTTAAATTATAAACGTTTATTTTGTTTTTCACTCACACTTTAAAAATTAATAAATAGGTATGTCAGATTAATTTTTACATGTAAAAAAATATTTTTACCCTTTGACTTTGAATTGAACTATTAAATTATTTATTTAATTATTCAAATGACACGTTTATTCTCATTTGACTTTAATTTTGACTAACTAAATTATTTCTGAAGCCTTAAAATTTTATAAATTATATTATATATACAGACATATATATACTTTTATGCACACACATATATATATATATTTTTATACACACACATATATATAGTATATACACAAGCACAACACCACCAGCAACACCGACGAGGATGTCAGCGTAAGAGACAGTGGATGCGACACCCGAACTTATAGGAAAAGCTCAGCTGACCTTTGGGCTTTCCGGAGGACTTTCTCACCTGGTAACTCACGAATTGCATGGGTTTATCATCTCCGGCGGCGTCGAGGAGCTCTTTGACCCGAACGGTCACTTCTCCGACGTCTTTGTCGCCAAGGGTACGCTCGCAACGGAGGTTGAAGACCGGTCATCTATGTTGAATTTCACAGGGAAATTCCGGGTGGGGTTGTCGTCACCGTCTCGTCTTTTGCTTGGTACTATGGTCGCCGGCGATCGAAACACTAACGTACACGTCCATCTTGGGAGCCAAACAGAAAGTGGGTCCAAAAAGTGTAATTAGGGGTATAATAGTCATTTAAGTTATTTGATATTTTGGAATAAATGTGATTAAAAAATTAGGGACAAAGTTGACTTCTCTCATGTTTTTAACGGAGACTGAAAAAACAAAAATGGATCTAAGTGATAATTATTTTTGAAAGATATTTGAAGTTAATATTTGATCAAATCTAAGGGGTTGTAGTGAGATTAACTCTATATATTAATATATAGGGTGAACTATATTAAAAATCCTTGCGTTTTGCATTAAACTTTAAAATAAATAAAAAATTTATTTTTTGGCCAAATACCTTCCTTTACCATCCAAAAGATAGTGCGGAGAGGGAACTGAAATAAAAAATTATATAGGGTGAACTATATTAAAACCTGCGTTTTGCATTAAATTTTTATTTTTATTTTTTTACCAAAAAACCAACCTTAACCAACCAAGGGGAGTTCGGAAAGGAAACTGAAATAAAAATGGACTTAAATATTCATTAGGCCTATTTAAAAATGTATTTTGTGGATGCGAATGTCTTGAACACTTTTATTATTATTTTTTAATATGTTAACATCTTACTAGATTGTCAAGTTCACGTTAATCACATGGAAGAAATACATTTTTTTATAGAAAAAAAAAATGATATTGAAATATAAAAATAAAAAATAAGAAAACTATGTAGGCATAAATAATAAAAATGGAAAAAATTAGTCATTATTTCTCTGTCCCTTTAGCAAATAGCAAATATGTATAAAATAAAAATCAATAAAAATTAAAGAAATGAATGCACAATATAATTCTAAATAAATATATATATAGTAGATAAATTTCAAGGAGAAACTTAGATTTATATAAGTCTGAAGGCTAGATGAAAATAAAAATACAGTATAAATAATATTCAATGGTACATATAATATATACCATTATATCATGATACATCTTATATATAAATATATAATGGTATATAATATATATATATATATGTGTGTGTGTGTGTGTGTGTGTGTGTGTGATGGATAAATAAAAGAAATTAAACAACAAGAAGAGTACGTGTTCTTACAATGATGGAAGATTTGCGGCTAAGAGTGGTAGTGGAGTAGATATATATGCAGAGTATATTAAAATAGGTATAACGGCATTTTTGTCTCAAAAATAGATAAGAAAACTCATTGTCCAAACAGTTCATTTTTAGCCAACTTTCGTTAGTTAAATCACCTCCTCAAATAGTTTAGGAGGATTTTTTGGAAAAAAAAATACAGAAAATGAGAGTTTAGTGAAAAATGCATATAGAAAAGAGAAGTTTAATGCGGTTCACCGTAATATATATATATATATATATATATATATATATATATATATATATATATAACTTTGGTTAAATTGAGCACATTATATATAGCTATGTTTGGGAGCAGGTTGCTCCAATTCTAATTTAAAGGGGCTATCTTCAAACTCAACTTGAGTCAACTAATTTTAAAATTTTTTTTTTAAATGAAATAATTTTTTTTCTAATTTTAATTTTTAGGGTGAGTTTTTGTGCTTCCAAACCAACTTAGTGGTATATAATCTCTATCAATGAGTTGGACAAATTTGTAGTACCATTTAACATTAGTTTATTTCTTTTCTCTTTTTCTTTTTTTTCCGAAACATTAGTTTATTTCAAGAGTGTTATTTTTCATTAATTCATTTATTTTTTTATTTTTGATATACCAAAAAAATGTAAAAAGTTCACAATCGTGGGCACTATTTAAATTAGGCACATTGGAGATTATGAAAGTTGAAAATTCATATCCATAGAATTCCAAGCCAAAAAAAAAAAGAGTTTGTAAGAGTCTGTTTTTGTTATTAATTTCTTTTTAAATACCAACAAGAATTATGCATATCATTTATCAGTCGTTCGAAAATCCGATTGGGTATTGTAATTGCATAAGTATAGAACACTCAATTGTATTGTTATGTATTTTAAAATTTGGATTAATTACAACGACACTCCCTGAGGTTTGCCATATTGACAGCCATATACAAGTTAGTCGTTTTTTGGACAAAGACACCCCCTTAGGTTTGATAAAAGTTAATAAAGACACCCCAATGGTCGTGAATTGACATTATTGTTCTTTGACACATTCAATTACCAATTTATTCAATACAATTACTTTTTATTGACCAAAATACCCTAGTAACCATACTCATACCAGTTCACACCCACCACCACTATTTCACAGCCCTACCATAGATGCCACCAATGAGTTCGGCGGTGGTTTCTCGAGAGGGATAGGTTTGGTGGATGAGAGAGCAAACGTGTAGGTTTGGTGGATGAGATAGAAAATGTGTGGTATTGGCTCTGTTATTTTCAGGAATTTGAGGTGGAGACTTGTGTTGTAAAGGTGGCCTGAAAAGTCTCCATGACCTTCTCCATCATCGATTCAACGATGCTCGCAGGTGATCTACAATTATGATCTAGGCCACCAATTTCTAATCTGACACACCTTGCCATTAATAATTGAACCTTTTAAAGCACTTCCAGTTAAGTGTACACATAGGGGATGGTGGTGGACGAAGCGGTGGTTGGGAAGATTACGAAGTAAGTCTCAAATCAGTTTTGGATTTGCACAAACCCATATCATAATTTCCTTCTCCCAATTCAAAACCCAACCCATCTACAATATTGTAATCTACTTCATGGTGGAGAGAGATGGTGGCAGCGGCGGTATAAAGAAGGAGATAATGGTGGCGACGCTGTGGTTGGGGAGATGGCGGTGGTATAAGAAGCGGTGGTTGGGAAGATTACGAAATGGGTCTCAAATCAGTTTTGAATTTGCACAAACCCAGATCATAATTTCCCTTTCCCCAATTCAAAACCCAACCCATCTACAATGTAATCTACTTCGTGGTGGAGAGATATGGTGAAGATGACTGTGGTTGAAGGGAAGTGGCGGTGGCGGTTATGGTTGAGAAGCGGTGGCGGTTGTTAGGAAGGAGATGATGGCGGCGACGATGTGGTTGGGGAGATGGTGTTGGTTAAGAAGTGGTGACGGAATAAAAAAGGAGATGATAGTGGCAAATGTGGTTGGGGGAGGAGGCGGCGGCAGATCAAGACTGATGCAAATTGGGGTTATCTATATATATATATATATATACATTATTTATATATGATGGTGCTGATGTAATTTGTATATATATAAGGGCAAATTTGACTTTTCACGTGTTCTGGTATTTTACCATAAAAATGAATTAAACATTGAAGGGCAATCTTGTATTTTCTAACGTTTTAAGGGTTTGTTTAGATCAAAATTTTCACAAAGGGTGTCTTTATCAAAAAAACAGCTAAGTTGTATATAACTGTTAATATGGTAAACCTCAGGGGGTGTCATTGTAATTAACCCTTTAAATTTGTATATTTGTCACCATTAAGGGTGTATTATGGTAGTAATTTTTTAACCTCGATGTAAAATAACTTTATTATGCATATTTTTTTATTTAATAACACATTTCTTATAAATTGTCCCTTTTTATCTAATAGACTGTCAGGACAGGTTTAAGGTGCAATTTATTTATTTATTTATTATTATTTTATCAATTTATACTCTATTTGTTTCAATGTAAAATATATTTTATAATTAAAATATATTTTTGTATAGATAAAATATATATTTTTATGGTATTTGCCAAAACCTATTGTGATACCCCCGGATTCCCGGATACGGGTTGGCTAGGCCCATGCCTGATTACCTGAGGATATCAAACTAATTAGTAATAAACGAACACAGAATACAATTAAGGAAACAGGAATAAATAAAAATTTGATGAAAATAAACTAGAATGATAATCCAAATACTGAAACCTCAGAATAAAATTAAATTAATAAAGAATTATTCTAATACATCTAAATTCTCCATTTCTAATACAACTCGGGAATCCATCTGGTGGACCCCTAAAAACTCCAACACTGAAATCGTCAACTGAATAACTCCACTGCTAAATCATGAGAAGCTCCTACGTCGTCAGAAGAATGAGAGGCCGTCTCTGCTCGGCACGAACAAGATCTAAGACCTGGAATCGTCCGTTACCTGAAAAAAAATAGTGGGTCAGGCCCACGAACAAGTTCTATCCTAACTACAATCCAAACAGAGACTCGATACGCAGATATATCCTAGATATCTCAACCATACAGTCCATAATAGATAAATATATATCCACATTACAGGACTCTCACTAGACTATGCTGAGGGTCTCAACCTGAATAGAAGGCAACATGCAAAACGTACCTGAGTGGGCATGACTACCTAAGCCTAACAAGGTATACCTCAACCAATATAGCTAGCTACGCATCCTACTGCATATACGCTCCCTAACTGTCGACTATGAGACTCAAGCTCAGATCGCGGTACAATAATTTATATATATAAATTTCCATCCAAACCAATGCAGTGCCGCTCAACAATTCGTTGCCATGACACGACATGAAATTAGGATTTAATTGTTTTAATTAAATCCCTACCCTTCCTATTAACAGAAAATATAAACAACCATCTAGTATGTCATTCAACCGTTTTAGTTGACAGGACATGAAACCATGTAGAATTTAACTGTTTTAGTTAATCCCTTCTGTATGTATGAATGGGTATGAATTAGCGTTATGACCTAATCCATCCCTCCGTATGACACCGTCCCATACCGGTGCATACATGCAAATGATCCGTTAATGATGCAACATTATGAGCAGTACATCAAATAAGTCCACAGTATCCATATAGTTGATAAACACAAAATTTAAACAAGTCATCAACTAAAAATCCAAAATCCATCCATGTAATTAAACAAGACAAAGTTTACTAATTCGTCAAGTTAAAATCCAGAATCCGTCCATGTAATTAACGAGACAAAGTTTAATGTTTCATCAAGTCAAAATCCAGAATCCGTCCATGTAATTAACGAGACAAAGTTTAATGTTTCATCAAGTTAAAATCCAGAATCCATCCATGTAATTAACGAGACAAAGTTTAATAGTTCATCCAGTTAAAATCTAGAATCCATTTATGAAGTTGATAACTTAATTTATTTAACTTAAATTTTAACTAACTTAAAACACAGTCCAGCAGTTGACAACATTAGCAATTAGCAAAGTGTCAATTATGTCAAAGAATGATTTAATATCATTCTGGAAACCCACAGAGCATATCACATTCAATTATATTTAAGAATAACCATACAAATTTTTTTAACTTGCTAGCATTACAACATGCAGTTAAACATTCTCTGTCTGTTTACGGTCTGTGATTAAATAACCAAAAATCCAGTTACTGATATATTACAAGTCAGATAACCAACAGAGTATATCATATCAAATTACCTTTAAAGTATAATTATACCGACCCCTACTACTTGCGAGAACAGCAACACACCGTCAAATCCTTCCCTCCCATGGATAACATACAATTTAACCATTAAATTTTCCGAAGTTAGTTAAGTTTAATTGCAGAGACTAACCATCCCGGGACTATAACAGATTAATTAAAATTGATTAGAAGCCCATTACATTTTCAGAATCACACCACAGCCCCTGAACCTCAAAAAAAATCACAGAATTACATATACTGTGTAGTTTTTTCATAGAGCAGGCTCCCCCACAAGAGGGAGCCGGCTGTCCCTAGTCCAGAGCCGGCTCTCCCACAAGGGGAGCCGGCTCTCACTCCTTTGAGAGCCTGCTGCCCTTCTGCAACTTCCACGGCCGTCTTCTTCTTCTTTAGTCACTTCCACCTCATTTGTTCCTTATTAAAACTGACCCTAAGCGTCTTAACTTACATCCAGTTATCATGTAAGTCCTTTGTTTACCACAATTTGCATTAACAAAACAATCAAAACCATTACCGATTTAACATGCTCAAACATCTACAGGTGAAACCAAACTTGCACAAACAATTTCAGTTTAAATTTCAGAACATACAGATAGTTAATTTAACCTATACAAAGCATGCATGATCTTTTTAATATCTGTTTAAGATCCTAGAGAACATCTAAGAGTGAACAGATCACAAGCCAAAGGGAGAGAGAGAGAATATAACTTGCCTCTGTAGTTTTGGTTTTAAACCTTTAACCGTCCTCTGTCCAGAATTTCCGGCGACCTCTCGACTGTCGTCCACTCCTTTGTTGCCCTAGGTTCCACCCATGATCACACCCCTTCTTTCCCTCCTTAGTTCAGACTTGGTTCTTGGCTGAAACCCTAATTCTTCCTCCTCTGTTTTCCTTCTCTGTTCTCTCTATATTATACTGTACGTGTATAGGGTTCTAAACCCTTTTGAAAACCTATAACAATATATATATAGGCACCCAATAAAACCCTAAGCCCAACCCTAATCCATCATGGAAACCTAAATGAGTCTTAGTCTTAGTCGGCGTGAGATAAAACTGCCTAGAACCCTAATCACATTACAATTTAATACACTATTAATTTATACCTAATTAACTCATTAAAAATAAATTTAATTCAATTACAAAAAATATAAATACAATTAAACACATAAATCACTCAAAAATCAATTAACAAATAAATTTAATTAATAAACCTTCCAATTCACACAACATGTAATTTAATTTCACATAAAAGAGGAAACCACCAAAATACCTAGCCACGTAACCACCTAATAATACTAAAATAAATAATGAAAACAATAAAATAAATAGTAAAATTTCAATTATATCCCTTTTAAAACTAGGGGTATTACACCTATAGGTGGAATCCATCGAACAAATAACTTGCTGATAATAGAAAATTTAATTTTTTTTTTAATTATAAAATAAAAACAACCAAATATTAGAAAATAAAAACATCCAAATAAAGGAGCCTTAATTAGAGGTCCACAAAAGAACCGTGGAATCGTGAGAACCGAACCGGAACTATGAGTTTGGTTCCAGTTCTCACAGTTTCGGTTCCGATCCCAGTTTTTAATTTTGGAACTGTGGGTGTACGGTTCTGGTTCTGTGAGAACCGGTAAGAACCGGAACCGTATATATATATATATATATATATATATATATATATATATATATATAAAATTAGTTATTGTCTTAGTAACTAATAAGTTCTAAACTGAACTATAGCCTTACGAGGCCTACAAACAGCCACGTGGGTAATGACTAAACCACAAAACAAAACACAAAAAGTGAAAATCTGAAAACTCATCTAAACCTAGAGTCCGATCTCTGCATCTTAAGCTGCCTCCGCAGTCCCCATCTCAAGCTAACCCTTTCTTCTTCAATCCCAATCCCAATCCCCAATTTACAAGTTGAATCTTCTATATCCCTAACCAATCTATCATTATCTGGAATTCCCATATGGGTTTCTTCCAAAACCTCCAGGTGGTCGAGATTAGGCTCCGATGAGGGCGTGACTGGAGTAGTTTCGACGATTCCCGCGCGGAGCTAACCTTCGCCTCCCCAGTTGCCGAAGCTCAAGCTTCCTCAAATCCTTATCGCCCTCAGCAGTCGACGCCTCGCCTCCTCTCATCTTCAGATCTTCTCATCTTCAGATCATCTACACTCATTCAATTCAGATTTCATCCTCACTCCTCATTGTCTCTTTTGTAATCTGTATTGCGGCTTCCACTATTACACACCATCCCAGACTTCTCTGATCTGTATTGCGGCTTACATTGTACTCTGTATTTATTTAAATTTATAGGGTAAAATGCATTAAACCCCCCCGAGCTTTCTTCTCTTTTGCCACAAAACCCCCCCGAACTATGACAAAAACACTTAACCCCCTAAACTATTCAATTTGTTGCAAATGTTAGCCCACAGTTATAAATTTAACAGAAGTGAGAGCACTTAAGTGATGTGAGGGGTCAAAAATTTCTAAAAGGACAAAATTAGCCCTTATAACACAGCGAGTAAACTAAACCCATCAGTATAGTCAACGCCCCCACCACCGTCGCCGACACCATCAGTTTTTCATTGTGAAACTCTCTGTCCATCGCCGACACCATCCAAGACGCTTCAAATCGTCCGTATTGTTAGCGCCAACCTTAACTCAGGTTTCTTCTCTGCTAGCTCCTCCAATTTCCGATGCTCCCACATCGTCTCACTCTTCCATTTCTCCATCGATTCTCGGCTCCTCTCCTTCACCTCCCTCTCTCCACCCACTTCCTGTCCATGGCCATCACCTCCACCGTCCGTCCAAGGCTGCCACCGCCACTGCTATCGCTCTCTCCCCCACAAAGATTCTTCTTCTCTCATAACCACCTCCACTAACCACGACCGCCGCCACCCCCTCTCTCTTTACAATCCACCTCCCTTTTTATTTTTTTTTCTATTTAACCTCAATTTCTGGCGGTGGCAAGAACGATAAAAGGTGGAAAATAATTTGTTTTGTTGCACATGTTAGTGTTTGGAAGGGAATTGATTGAAAGAAAAAAAAGAAGTTTTTGGGCAGTTGCGATTGGGTTGGTCCGATGGTCGGCGACAACAGATTTTTGGGGCTTTTATGACTGAATTTTTAACTTTTGTGATTTGGTCTAGAATTTGGGGTTTTGTGATTAAGTTTCCAACGATCGTGATCTTTGATTTTGCAGCAAAACATGAACATCTTCTCGTTTTGGTTCATTATAGGAAAGTTGGGGTTAGAAAACAAAGAACAATAAGATAAAAAAACAGGGGGTCTTGTTGCTTGTTGTAGCTTGTGTTGGAGGTGAATTAGAGAGAGATAGAGATGGACAATGCAGTCTCTTTGGAAATTGTTCCTCCTCATCTTCCTCCTCTCATCTCTCTCTCTTTTCCTCATTGGCCTCCAACTTCGGCTTCGAAGAAGTGGAAAATCATTCAAAAGGGGGTACGGGCTAAACGGTAATTCCCTTTTTCAGTTAACAATTGGTTGATGGTTGGTCCAATGAGTGCAACAAAATGATAGTTTAGAGAGTTTTACTTAGTTAAGGGGGTTTCTTGCAATGGAGTCATAGTACAAACGGTTTAGAGTATTTAACCCATATTTATATTTTTGTTATTGTATTAATGGAACAACACTAACAGTCTGTTCTCATGGAACCGAACTCGGTTCGGTTCCATAACTATATGGTAAGGGAATTGTGAACGGTTTCAGTTCCGATTCCGATCGGAACCGTAGGAACCAATCCCTGTGCACCCCCAGCCGTGATTGCAATCAAATATTCGAGGAAGGTTAACATAGTCATTTGGAGGCTGGTGTTAAAATAGTCATACGGGGAGCCTAGTGAAAATGGAGCCTCAGCCACCTCTGCCGCCGCCGCCGCCCCCAGCACAGATCGCTGCCCCGCACCTTGGGCTGCCACCATGCCATCTTCTTCGGAACACACTACTCCGACCCAATTCATTTCCTTTTTTTTTTTTTTTTTCTTTTTTCTTTTTTCTTTTTTGTTATGAATAAGACAGTCGATTTTAGATTATCTTTTTCATGTGTGGATGCGAGGATTTGAATTACATCAAGGCCCCTAACAATGCTAAGTTTGAGTTTTCAGGTGAATGTGGTTGTGGGACTTTGATAAACTTCACTGTTCCTCCCAGGTAAAACCACGATGCCCTAAATTTTGTTGTTTTATTTTTTATTTGGAAAAGGAAGAATTTTTTGTTATTTATTTATTTATTATTATTATTTTTCTGGCAATTGAAAATTTATTAATATGAAACAGAGTTACAATCTGCAAAGGCAGCTTTTAACAACCAAGAAGGAAAATTACAATGAAATATAAAAGAAGCTAGCTCCAAATATTACTTGATCATCACCTTAATTTGTTTGAATACATTTGACATATATTAATTTTATTTCCTTCTTTAACTGTGAATTAAGCATATATATATGTGACTTCGGGTTATAAATGAAAATCTCCAACACATTCTTTCCTAGCAAATGAGCAACACAATTTACTTCTCTTGGAATCCACTTATCTGATAGGCCAATAATCTACTAATATCATCAATAATCACTGTTGCTGTTTCATGTTGATGGGTTAATCCCATAACACCCTTGCAATCTGCTTCGACAACCACAGTCGCCGCAACCCCACTCTACCACCTCATGGAGTGTCAAAGCTTCCGCAACAAACACGTCCAACACACGAGGGATGAATAAACCAGCAGCTTTTAATACCTTGGACAATTCCACTACCAGCCTAACCATGAAGACAACTGACCCCTGCAGCAACATTGAATTTCAGCATACCCCATGGAGGAGGCTTCCAGCGAGCTGCATGTGATTGATTACTCACACTAATCCGAGGCCCCTTTTGTAACAAATGTTGTTCATCAAAATATTCATTGAAAAGCGATACGTCTCTTTGCACAATCATTTCCGGATTCCATTGCTTCCCATGAAAGTTCCAATCATTTCTTCCCTTCCAAATACTCCAGCATAAGGTTGCTATGAAAGCCTTACATCTGTCATTATCCGGAACTTTTTTCCACTTATCACACATATTTTTCCCCTGTTGCGGCCAACTCCTACCAGAAGAAAGATCCATATCAATTTTCAGTGGACACATTTTCCATGTCATAACCTCCTCCGGACACCTACATAGAAGATGATCAACAGTTTTTTCTTCCATCCTGCACCTCTTTTAAATTGGATCAACTACAATACCTCTGCAGCCTAAATTATGAAGAACTGGGAGTCTATTAAGACTACACCGCCACAAAAAGTGCTTAAGCTTACCCAGAACTTTAAAATTCCCTAACTCTTTCCATAAGCAGGTTGCAAAGCGAGACCCAAATCTGCATTATGTTTCTCTGACACATCATTCTCTGACAGCCATTGTTTTGCTACATAATATGCACTTTTAACATAGAAAACCCATTCTTTGTATGACCCCCAACCAACACATCAGAACCTCTGAAAATACTTAATGGAATTTTTCTAATCAACTCCTCGTCTCGTTCATAAAAAATGTTTTTCATCAAACCCCATTTCCATGATCCAAAATCATTATCAATTAGATCCGCCCTTTCTACCATCATACCCAACCATGGAGAAGAAGAGACTTTAGAATTAACATCACGTGGAAGCCAATTATTTGACCATATGTTGATGTTTTCCCCACCCTCTACCCTCCAACTCACTCCTATGCGAACTATCTCCTTAGAATTCAAAATGCTATGCCAAACCCACGAGACATTACTCCCATGGCCAGATTCAAGAAAAGATGAAGACCGAAAGTAGAAAGTTATCCTCCTTTGTTAATAGCCGAGCCTGTTTAACCCAAAATGCAAGATTAAACGCATCCAAATCTTTAAAGGTCATACCTCCTTCACTTTTTGAGCAACATAATTTTTGCCAAGAAACCCAATGAATTTTGGATCTCAAATCATCCCATTCCACCAAAATCTCGCCATTTTACAATTGAAAGATTAACAAAGAGTGCTTGGAAGTCAAAAACATGACATGTCATAAGTTGGCAAAGCTTCTAACACCGCCTTTAATAAAACTTCTCTACCTGCAGAAGAAAGAAGCTGACCATTAAAACCACATAAAGATGGCAGCCACAAATTTGACCACACAAAAGAGGACAACCGTAACAACGAACACATAGAATCTCTTATAGTTGCAGCCGTGTTACCACTAAAGAAGACTCAGGATTTATCATAATTTACTCGTTTTCCTGATAAGTTCTCATAAACTGTCTAGACTCTCTGAAGTCGTAAGAGTCTCCTCTCTAGTTGCCTTGCAAACACACCATCCGATCGTCTGCAAATAGCAAATGAGTAACTTCTGGTGCTTCCCTACAAATTTGAACATCACTCAACAATTTTCTTCGAATTGCATCCAAGACCCTCAGTGCCCAGCAAAAATAAATATGGCGATAGTGGATCTCCCTGACGAAGACCACGAGATGGAATAATCCACCCAGATGAACAACCATTAATTTAAACTGAATATAAGACTAGAACTAATACTCATTTTTGTCGTCTTCTTTTTTCCTGAAAGTTATGACTCATAATTAAATGAACCCAATGGTCAATAAAACCCAGTTTCAACATCATTCCTTCAATAAATCCCCATTTCACCATGTCATACGCCTTACTCAAATCAAGTTTTAATGCAATAAAACCTTCGTTTCCCTGCTTTATTTTATTTCAAGCAATGGAGAATCTCATTTGCAATCATAATGTTGTTGTGTATAAGCCTACCAGGCACAAAAGCTGATTGATGCTAACTAATTAGATTCGAAAGAAGTGGTTGATGTCTATTTGCCAAAACCTTCGAAAAAATCTTATACATAAAGTTACATAATGAAATTGGGTGGTACTGACAGATCTTTGTAGGAGATTTAACCTCAAGAATCAAGACTATATTTGTGTGATTAATACTTTAAGAAGATTACCTTATCTAAGGAAACTATTTAATCCTCTCAGTAAATCATCCTTAACCATTTCCCAATGCGCCTGATAGAAAATCTGGAAAAATCAGGATTTTTTCAGAAGCAAGTTTTATGTTGTCCTCAGCTTCTATTTTTGGAAAGAGGGGAATGAGTTTTCTTGTTGAATTTTGAAGTTTTCCTAGATATGGGTTATATCAGGATTGTCTTTTTGTTTTTCTTTTTGGTTGTTTTGGATACCCTATGAGTTTTTTGTATACTATTGTTCATATTTATGAAAAAATTTCCTCCATTTAGGGAAAAAAAAAAAAAACCTGGAAAAATCATCCGGGCCTGGTGCCTTGAAAGGACCCATATCATCGACTGCTTCCTTGACTGCTTCCTTGAGTTCTTCTACCGTGGCATGTTCAACAGTTCTCTACTGTTTTCATGTGAAAAAATCTCGTATGGAAAGAATCCTCTAAGCCTGTCGTCCTCGTTCTTTCGACACCGTTTGACTGTTTTCATGTGAAAAAATCTATCCTCTAAGGCCGCCGTCTCGTTCTTTCCACACAGTTTGACTGTTTTCATGTGAAAAAATCTCGTATTTCTATTTCCATGATGCAACAAAGCCACACGAGACTTTTGCTTCCAGTGTAGTTTCTCATCCCGCCACGCCTTAAGCAATTGACTTTCCAATAAAATATAATCTGATCTCATGAAACCTGTAGACGATTCCTTTGGTGCCTGTAGTTTCTCCTCCAATTCCTTCATCCCTTTTTCCAGAATTATGTTCTCTGCTCATACACTACTGTTTAATATTATCCTTAAACTGAAATTGGACAGAGCCATAAATTGGAGTTCCCCATGCATTCTTGACAATCTCACCAAAATTATTCTCATTTAACCAACGAGCATCAAAATGAAATTGTCGTTTACCCCATTCATATGTGAATAAGGCAAGGATGAAGTGATGTTTGGGACTCTTTTAGCAATAACATAGCGCTATGATCTGAACCAGCAACTAAAATATGCTGCAACTCTACTTCCTAAATTCACCAATCCATTCCACAGTACCCAAGTCCAGATCTAATGGTTCCTTCACATTGCACAACCATCCCTGTTATTAGACCAAGTCTATGAATATCCTTTATAACCCAAATCCACAAGACCGCAATCATCCACTAATCTTTTAAAGCTAGCCAAAGACCAAGCCGCACGAGTTCTACCACCAAATTTTCCCCCTACATGCAAGCGATGATTAAAGTCACCCAACAGTACCAAATTCAGACCAACTCATTTCTTTAATAGTAGTTATTTAGTTATAGATAGATATTAAGAATATAGATAAAAGATTCAAATAAAATGTAAATATATGATTAATTGGTGATATTAGATACCAAAAAGAGGGGTTTCTTCTTGATTTTTTCGAAGGAAAAATTAAAAGACGGTCTTACATAATTTTTACTCCATGCTCTTCCGATCACAATTTTTTTATCACTCAAGTGTTTTCTTAGAAACAATAGTTGCAATTATATACACTTTAAATAGGAAAGTTATAAACTGAAAATGAGTATAAATGCACACATGATTGACTTTGCCAAGTATGATTAATACCTTTGTTAATTTGAGAATAACAAGTGAGGAAAAATGTGAAGAAAAGGACTATTATTATTATATATTTTATGTAATTTACAAATATATTGTATACATTATTAGTTTTAATTACAAATATACTATATTATTGTTATATATAAACTATTCTATTTCTGACTTTTGTAATTAGTTTTAAGTTTTAACCCTAAAAGAACCAACTTTACTCTTCAGTCTTCACTTCACAGTTCACCACCGCAACTTGTAAGGCCTCACAAACCCTAAATCATCAGCCAAACCCTTCGTTGAGCGACCACTATCTTCGTCAAGTCGAATCATCTTCACCTCCTTTATACTCTTCACTTCACACACAAGAGATAGATCTGTAAGTTCAAACCGTCTTCTTCTCCACCATCTCATTTTCCACCATCTTCGGCGAGTTGACCACCATTTGTCACCGATCGACCACTAGATCTACGACTTCAACCGCTGAGAAGGCGTGAACTGTCACCGATCGACCAGTAGTGTTCATCTGCATTGTCATCATTTCCAGCGAGTTCACCAAATATATATATATTTTCATTATCTTCTCCGATCTATCTCTGTTATGATAAAAAAGAAGCAAAAAAGCAGATATATGTGCTTAAGTTGGTATGTGGTTTTATGGAGATAGGCATAATACAGTGGATTATTGTTGGTTTCATGTTGTTGATAATTCCTCTCTGAATCCAGATTCAGACCCTCTGAATTTCCTCTCTCAATGCTTAATAATTTTTTGCTTGCAGCTCTCTGCGTGTGCGTGTGTTAACTTACTACTTGCTTTGATTCATCCAAAATATTGTTGAGGTTGCTTCTGGCTTCTTGTTCACTATCTGACTGTCACCCAATCTGAAGCCTGATTCTTCTCTCAAGGTTTAATTTCCCCAAAACATTGTTGATATCAGTATTTTCTCCACAAAACATTGTTTTTTCACATGCATCATCTTATCAGCATCTTATTTTAATATTTGGAGATCGAGTACATGCTGCAACAAAATTTCTATTGCGTGCCAGTACTAGCGAGTTACTAGTGACCTTTCTTTTCTTTATCTTTTCTCCTCCTTTGTATATAGCCATACCTCCTCTATCATTCCTTTTCTTGATCTTTTTTCATGCCATATATTTGTATTTTTTATGCACTGTTTGCCAATATATGATTGTTGTGTGTGTGTGTAAAGTAGGGAATATCATTGTATAACTTAGTTTCTGTGTTTTTTATTGAGGAAACTGTTTGGATATGTATATGTTTTGTATAACTGAGTTTCTGTTTTTGTATTCAGAACCTTAGTTTCTGTGTTTTGGTTAATAAGTATTTGGCTTGCTTTTTGCTTTTTGCTTTTTAGTTTTTACTTTGACTTTATAAGTTTCAAGACTTCTGCAAATCACCATGTTATATTACTTTATTGTTTCTTCTTAATTTCACAATGTTGAAATTGAAATTCTGACCCTAGTGTGTGTTATTTGTGATCTACTCATTCTGGAGTTTTGCTAGTTGCTGTTGATTTGATGATTTTGAAAGTTTGCTCGGGTCATAGTGTAATGTTGCTCTAGTTTTTTATTTAAATTTGTGAAAATAAATCTGACTTGTTGGTTCTTCATTGTGTTCAAATTCCTGAAAATTTTGATTCAACAACAATTAATTTGGGTTTTTTTTTGAATCTTGTGTAAGTGGTGGTTTCACTATTAAGAACTATCATTCATTAGTACATTTGATGATAATGTCATGTATTGTTCTTTTATTACTGTGATGTGACATGCTTTAGAGTTTGCACATGATAAATCTAGTACTTTCATCTAACGACAGCGAAACTGTCTCCTCTCCTAAGCTTCGGAACTTCCGCTTTGTTTCCGACTTGAACTTACTGTTAGAGCTTCCCAGGCTCTAGGCTCCACAACGTTCACTCTTCCAACTGCAACACTTATTGAATGGTGTTTCTTGCTTGTGTATGTTTTGAAAAGGTTGTGTTCTCTTATTTTGTGTTGTTTGCTGGGTGATTAATAAAAGCTTGGTTAGGGAAAAAAAAAAAAAAAAAACTTTTTAAGTTGTCTCTTATATTTTATAGGCCTGGTGAACAAATTCAGATCCGGGACATCTGGAGAGTTACCTAGCAGAAATTAAGAGAGGTATGTGAGATAATTTTGACAAATGATTTTATATTGCATTATTATTTAAAGCTTATCCATATCTTGATATTGTCGTGTTCCTTTTTGTAGGAAGTAAGGAGGTTGGAGGAACTAACGTGGCTTAGCCTTGAACAAAGATTTAGAGATCAACAACTTTTTTGTTGTGTTGTAATGTTGGTGTATGAAGGCTTGTTATACGTGTGAACTTTGAACTAATTTAGGACTTATAATATTGCACTTATTATGAAGGCTTGTTATATATGTGCAACCACTTGTCCTTTTTTTTGCTGTTTGGGGCTCGTAGCGTATGTTGAACGAACTCAATTTTATGGCCCATTTGGGTATTCTCCCGGACAGGTCAGGCTTGCTGAGGATAGCTTTGATGGGGTGAGTCGTGGGCACTATTATCTGTTGTGCCTTGAAGTAGTGTCTTAGCTTTTTCTTTGCTTGGACCAAGGCTAGTATGACTTTTTCGGCTATCGAGTATCTACTCTCCATACCTTTCATTGTTTAACTCGAATAGAACACTGAGTGTTGCTTTCCATTCACTTCTCGGACTAAGGCTGCACTCTTGGAATTCTAAGATACAGCTAAGTAGATGTATAATGGTTCTCCAGGGGTCGGGCCGACGGTATTGGAGAACTGGCCATATACTCTTTTAGCTTAATGAGGGCGTCTTACTGTTCCTTCCCCCACATGTCTCGTCTCTCTACTTTTATGGCGTCAGAGAAAGGTTTGCACTTGTCAAAGAGTTTAAAAATGAAATGGTTGAGAGCTGCTATTCGTTCAATCAGTACTTGTATATCTCTCATGGTGCGAAGTTCTTCATTCTGAGCTAGTTTTTCTATCTGAGTTGGGTTGCTTTTTATTCCTCTTCTGTTGACCACGTGCCCAAGCAATTGGCCAGAGGAGACTCCAAATGAACATTTCGCCAGATTCAATCTCAAATTATTTTTCCTCAAGGTGTTAAATACCTCTTGTATATGTCGGTTGTGCTATTCTTGCATCTTACTTTTGACTACCATGTCAACATATTTTTCAATTTGCTTTTCGAATACTTTGTTAACCAGCCACTGATAAGTGGCTCCCGTGTTCTTAGGGCCGAAAGGTATGACCTTATAGTAATAGGTTCCTCGCTCGGTGATAAATGATGTTTTTTCCTCGTCTGCTGGGTTCATCGGGATTTGGTTGTTTCTTGAGTAAGCATCGAGGAAGGTCAGCTTCTCGTATCCGGTGGTAGCATCTACCATTTAATCAATTTTAGGGAGCAGGTAGCTATCCTTCAGGCACGTTTTATTCAGGTTAGTGAAGTTGATGCACATCCTCCATTTGCTATTCTTCTTCTGAACCACGACTACGTTAGACAACCATTCAGGATAATGTACTTCTCTTATGAATCTTGCTTCGAGAGTCGCTTGATTTCTTCTGATATAATTTGGTTTCTTTCCGGAGCGAACCTTCTCTATTTCTGCTTCACTAAATGGAAGCTTGCAACATTCAAGTTGTGGCAAGCTGTTTGTGGATCGATTCCCGGCATATCTAGATGACTCCAGGCGAAGATATCTGCATTCTGACGGAGGACTTCTGCTAAGTTCATCTTTTCTTCGGGTGATTGGAGTGACCCGATGTAACTTACTTTCGTTTGATCGTTCTTGATCAGTTGTATAGCCTTCAAGGGGTCTTCGGCTAGGATCCTTCCCTCTAGCCCCTTCTTTGCCTCAGGATCCGAGGGATGCTGTAGTTGCTATTTGGATGGTTGTTTGCCTTTACCCTCGGTCTTTATAGTCATGTGATAACATTACTTGGTTGCCAATTGATCCCCCATATGTCCATTACGTCTCGGCTATTGGGGTTTATGCAGCTCATGACTTGGTGCAAAGTGGAGGGAATGCCATTCATTCGATGAATCTACCCCCGACCCATTAGGAGGTTATAGGTGGGGTGAATGTCTACAATCACGAAGTTTTCTTTCAGAGTTATTTTGGCGATGGTGACTGATATTGTGAGCACGCCCATCGGCTCTACCCGCCTTCCATCGAAACCTAGCAGGGGATTCCCCATAGGTCTGACCTATTCTGGATCTATTTATTTTTATTTTTATTCATTATTTTTTTTCCTCCTCCTCCTAGTTGGTACTCACACACACATGTCTCCAATGAGGCTTGAACCCCTGACCTCCCATTGAGAGGTAAGGGCCTAATACTGCTAAGCCCCTAGCTCGTTGATGATCTATATTTAGTTGCTCGAAGGTCCACCTGGTTATTATGTTAGCACTGCTGCCTGGATCTATTAATATTCTCCTTACCAAGCAATTTGTTGCTAACAGGCTGATCACTAGAGGGTCTTCGTGTGGATGCTGCACCCTCTTAAGATCTTTGTCATGAAAGGTAATTTGAGCATAACTTGTTTAGCTCTTGACTAAGTTGACTTCTCTGATTCTACACAACTTATGAGCTTGCTTGAGCTGTATTCTGTAGGAATTCTCTGGCTCCTCATCCTCTTTTGGATGACCATGGATCATATTGATGACACAAACGGGTTGATTATCTGATAGTGCTTTCGATGCAGGCCTAGGCTGTTTAGATTGTTTCTGATTGACTGGTTCAAGTAGGTACTCGGTGAGTTTCTTTCTGTCAGTAGGGTTTCTACTTGCCTTCTTAAGCTCCTACAATCACTAGTTAAATGACCAAAATAGTTGTGAAAATCAAAGTGCTTACTCTAATCCCTTTGATCCATTGGTTGCGTGATGGGAGGAGGCATTTGGAAAATATTTATGCCCTTGTTTTCCCGGTACAATATTGCTAAAGTGGTTCTGAGTGGGGTCACCTTCTCAGTCACCTGTGACCTTTTCTTTAGGGCTCTGTTTTTGAAGCTTGGTGATTCCCGTTGTGCTTTTGGGATGCTCATCCGCTCTCTGGTACGGCTATCCACTGTGACCAGTGTCACCCTATGCTGCCTGTTGACCTTGCTCTCTTCGAGCCTTATGTAGTTTTGGGCTCTTACGTTTAATTTTGACATGTCGACATGAGTTTTATTTATTTATTTTTTATTTTTTATCAAAGAGTCATTGAACCTGGTTCCCTGGATCATTGTTATCTTAAATGCTTCCACAGTAGTTGTTTGGTTGTAGTTGGAGATTCCTGAGGATTCCATATTGAATCTGATCAAGAAATCCTGGAGCTTTTCTCCTTTCATTTGCCGTATAGTGAACAGGCTGGATATGATCTTCTTATGCTTTTTATTCCTATAATATTATGCTAGGAAGGCTGTGCATAGCGTTTTGAAGTCTGGGATAGACTTATAGGGTCTGTTTTGAACCATTCCAGTGTTATTCCAGTTAAGCTGATGGGAATATCTTGCACAAAAATAAATCGTGTCGTGCGTCTAAAGTCATCTCTTGGTTGTAGTGGTCCAAGTGTTTTATTGGATTTCCGTTCCCGTCAAACTTAATAAATTTCGACATAACGAACTTTTTGGGTCTCTTGACTTGTTCTATCTCGTCGGTAAAAGGAGTTTTGATTATAAAGTTGGTGAACTCTCAGGTGTTTGCGCTTCTCGGATTCGGCGTGATCTTCAAAGCCTTGGATTTGCGTCTGTCGCGGCATTCCCAATGTAGATTCCGTCGCTACTTAGGATTGATTGGCCACGTTATTTGCATTTTGTTCAGGTATGGCTCGAAACGTGTCGAAATTATGTGGAGGAATCCTCGGCTGCTGAAGGTTGTTATTGTCCCCTTGAACTGTTAGGACTTGTGGCGGGTTCAGCTGTTCGTTCCGTCGCTCGGGCTGTTGATCCTAGGGGATTTGTCGATCAACGGTTGGCGGGGGAGAAGGCATGTTGATCCGCTGAACAGCTCATTCTCCCGTCGTAAGACTTTGATTTGAGTGGTACTTGCCTCACCGGTTTGCCTTAAGGTATTGATCTATTAGGCGCTGACCTCGTTTGTTTGGCGCATAGTATTGAATTGTTCCTACATCTCTTCGCGCATTTTTTGTATGATTTTTAGTTGCTGTATTTGAACGGCGTCTGATCTCGTTGCCATCCCGGAGCGGTGTCACATGTATCAAAGAACTCAACAATGATGGTGAAAGGCTTTCAGTACCTTTCCTACAGACGGCGCCAAAGTGTAGTGCATAAAATTTCAGCCCGAATATGATGATTCGACCCGAAGGATTAAACACTCAATAAAAAATATGCAAACAGAGAAACAGAAGACTGAGAATGAGATCAATGAAGAACAAGGGCTAATGGCAACAGGTATCAGATGATCTTTATTGGGTCTTTGCCCTTATATTTATACTCGTTCAATGAGGATTTTTTGGGGCGGTTACAAGCGTTACATGTATATTATTTCCCATGATTATTAATAATTTATTGGTGGGCGCTAAATTTCATTTGATCATAAATTCATTATCACACGGAGGAGCCTTTCTCTCTCCAACTTCTAGAGAGAGAAACATCTTTTTTCAATTTGCTCTTCCCCTTTCATTCCTGAATCCCCAATCCGTTTTTGCCCATCCTTTTTGTTTGTTCTCTGTTCATTAGAGTTCTTCTTCCTCTCTCAGTCGAGGTTTCTCTATTCATCAGAGTTTTTTTGTTCTTTCCATGTTGTTTTGGTTTGGTTTTCTTCCCTCCAGTCTCCAATTCGCTGGCTCTGTGGGTGGTCGGCTTGGGTAGGTTCCTGGTTTCAGCGGTATGTTGGACCGGGAGATTTGCTCGGTGGTAATTGGATGGGTCCATATCCATTTCCACAGATCTTCCTTTTTGACTCAGGTGTTTGTCGCAACAAATCTACTGTCGACTTGTTCATAATATCCACATTAAACAAGGATCTTCATCTTTTCTATGCCCTACGGTGGATATCTCTGCTCGATCCTTATTGGAGACTGTCTTGCTGGATGGATTCGAGGTTGCGGCTGCCTTTGATTATCTCGATTCATTTGCAGGTGGTCGATGTTTATGGTGCCTGCTGTCTCGAGATTGTCGGATTCATTGGTGGTCGGGTTCGGCGGTCAGCTCTTGTTTCGGTTCGGAAAACCATGACGTCATGGAAACGTCTTCTAGAAGCCTTTTTTTGGCATTTGGTGGGCCCTGGCTATGAGTGCTTTGGGATTTCGTGTGTGGTGGTGCATTTATTGTTGGGTCATTCTGGTAGCACAAAGTAATGATTGTAAATTGTCTCAGCCAAATGCCATGGGATCTTTGGGTGTTTTGGTCGGGCCTTAATTTGAATATTTGGGTACTTTGC